CTATTTCGTTTGTATGCCTATCTAACTTGTTTGTACGCACTGGATATTTATCCAACTTCTTTGTGGTGGTTATCCAGTATTTTTTTTCCTTGCTCTTTTATGAAAATGATTGTCAAATTTTTTTGTACTGATTATCTAACGTGTTGCACTGATTATCCAATTATTTTCTATTGATTATCCAAATTGTTTGTAATGCTTATCCAATCATTTTTTCTTTCTCTTTCTTTTTTTCTTTTTTTGAAGAGTGAATGTCAAAAATATGATTGGATAAAAAGTTCAAACAGAATGGATAATCAGTCCAAATCGGTTGGATAATCAGTAGGAACACAACGGATAACCATTTTTCAAAGAAAAACGGAAAACACATTTCTTCATTTCTACCCGTAAAATTTAAATGTATTTAAAGTTCAAAAAAAAATATTCAACATGTATCTTATCGGATAGATCTTGTCGAGCCCTATAAATTTCAAGCATAATTCGTGTTCTAATTCTTTACGGATCAAGAGATATATGCAATACAAGAATCTTAATCTAAACTAAACTGGTTATCCATCTTTCTAAACTAGATATTCATCTTATTCTGCATCGAAATTTAGTCATTTTTAAACTCGGAAAAAATATTCGACATGGATCTTGTTGGATAAATCTCGACGAATACTATAATTTTCATGTGTAACACGTTTTCTAATTCTTCACGGATTGAGAGATATGATCGTTTGAATATTAGAGATGTTTTTTTAGAAGAGAGAAAAAAAAGTGACAGGGACTAAACTTACAAATAATAGGAAGATTATTAAAAAAAAGTAAAAAAAGTACAATAAAAACTAGTAGCGCAAAAAATAGGAAGGGAGTATGGTGCCTCGGGTATACTGGATAGAGACTCGTTTGACACATCATACTTTAGAAATTTTCCTTGTTATTTTTTCTCTGTACGTATCCCTGCTAAAAAAGAAATAGATAACAATTGCCACTTGGACTACACTTAATAACAAATTAGTAAGCCTCAACTCTCAAGTCTCTCAACCACTCAAAGGCGACAAACATTTGTTTCTTTTTTCTTCAAAAAACTCTCGGCTTGGCTCTTTTTATCATCCCCCATTAACATTGTCACAATAGTACAATTATGTATGCTTGTGTAAAAAGTGAAAACAGAAGTGATTTGTAGTGGTGTTCTGAGGTAAAAAGATCCTCTTAACAGTAGTAAAAGGAAGCTAAATTCTGATAAGGAGGGACAGAAATAAGTAGTGGCAACTCTATCTTTTGACTTAAAATTGACATACTATAGTAAATTAATGTTAATATATCCAAAGATTCGACCAAGTTGAATTATCTTTTACCGCCAATGCATATTCTTTAATCCTTTCTAACGTGGATAGCATTTGGGTTTAACTGTGTTGAAGATTTTGACGGTGCGAAAAAGTATTTCAAATAGCTCACATACAAAGTATGAGAATAAAAATCAAATTTGGACTTAACAACTTAAAATGCGCAGGGTTGATTAATGATCTTTATAATGTTTGTTAATTACTTTACGTGCGTATTCACGATACCAAAACTAATTCGATCAACAGTTCCAACTAAAATAATATCGCAGATAATTAGTAAATCTAATGGTGAAAAGGTACATTGTCTCATAGCAGATAATCATATAATTAGCAAATCTAAATGGTGAAAAGGTATATTGTCTCATAGCAGATAATGATTTCAAACTACCATATGCATTCCAGATTAATGCGATATTCTCATCACTTACCAGCAATCTTTACTAACTTTTACATAAATCCAAAAAACAAAAGAAATTAAAGTGGTATAGTATATACTGTAATTAGCATGGCTAGCCAATTATCATTTTTGTTTATCCCTAATAGTGTAATATACCGAAAGTAGTCCCAAAAAAAAAAAAAAAAGAAAACTACAAAGCTAGTTGTGTATTGGCGTTATCCCAAAATTGTCTCATTTAATTGTAGTGGCACTGAAGCTTCGTTTTCAATCTATGTGGATTTTGTCACGCATCCTCTTCAAGTTTATAGAAGTTATTGAAACATACAATACTCTTGTTTACCGCTTAATTAAGTTTTATTGTATGTTTATTACTCCCTCCGTCCCATAATTATTGTCCACTTTGCCTAAAAAATTTTGTCCCAAAATTATTGTCCAATTTGACTTTTTATGGATCAAGTTACACATTTGTCCTTAGTAAAGAACATTATCTATAAAATCTTAGTGGTTAAACAATTACTTATGTAGGGGTATATTCGGTTGTTTAAGATAAAATATAGTTAAGTTTGACCAAAAATAAAATCTTTCATTTTAGTAAAACTGGACAATAATTATGGGACGGAGGGAGTATTATATATGTCGAAAAAATAATGCTCAACTATTTTAGTATAATAAGAGGGCAATTTATATTGCAAACCAGGTTCTCACTAGATGGTAGACTAGTTATAAGAGTTGTAACATGAAATGAAAAGAGTTCAAGTTATTGGAATAATCTTACCCGAATCTAAGCGGAGAGTAAAACTTTGTGGGAACATGTTTGTTTTCTTTAAATGTAAGGGAAAAGAAAAAAAGTTTTAATATTTGTTTCGTTTTTTTAGTGTGTGTTTTTTGTATTAAGAATGTGAAAAGGTATACTGAAATTATAAAAAGGTATACTGAGAATTGGAATGTGACAGTTATTATTATATTATTATTTAAAAAAAAACCATGAAAAAAGGAAACGAACAGAGGATTAGAGGATTTCCAGTGGAACAAATTACTACTTAACATTCCAGCAAATACATTGGCCTAGTTAGTTCACCGGTCACTACTCTGTGAAAAATGGCAAAAAAAAAGAATTACAATTATTTTCATTATTAAATGATGAATCCAATGTATCATGATTGTTGGATGTGAAGTATTCTAACACCGACCCATAATCTGTAATAGTCCAATTTAAAAACAAAAAATTTGTCTCTTAAAAGATAATTTCTCCATTCCAAGTTTCAAAGCTAAAAGTTGTGTGTTAGCTCAGTTTGTTTAACATGATTATCTGTAGTTTGAAAACATAATAAATTGTGAAAACTGTGATAATTGTTCTATCTTCGTTATAATTTTATTCGGTACTTTGTATATATAATAAAACTATTAATCAGATAGATGGTCGAACATATATGACGTAAAATTAATCATGATTGCCCTTAAAAGTTTTTCCGTCGGTTAGGGTTCGATATCCCCCAACCCCCTTAAGAGTTATGCCCCTGACTACTACTATTTATTTTCCATTGAAATCATCCAGTACATTTTATATTCACAAGCAACTCAAAGATACCCATTAAAAAAAATCAACAAGTATTTGGATCCATGTTATAAATGTATAGGCTCAACTAAATTATAATCAAGGTTTGAATCTTGATACGTGTACTAGTGATTTATGCGTTATAAGAGACACCCGAGATTGTCCGGAGAATGCCTTTATATATAGAGTGCTTCATGCATGTATTTCTTTTAAGAAAAAGTATCAGTTAAAATATTTTTAATCTCCAATCCAATTATGAAAAAGCGCAAGTTTGATAATGCTCATATGAAAACAAAAAGGTCATCAACCAATTTGAGGCCATCCTATTCGTGTTGGAGCCCTATTTCATTATCAGTGGCAAACAAAATCTAATGAACTCTTCACTTCCATCGAATCCCACATTTTCCTCCATATGTTATTTGTATAATAAGTAATTAAGCATAATACGCACACCGGTCTTCATAATTTTTCGAGAACCCAAAAGGACACCCCCAAAAAATTCAATCCTTAGTTGAATAATTATAAACTATTCAAGTTTCTTTTCTTTTCCATCCATTTTCACTCTAGTCCCTTTCTTTGTGTTTCTGCATGCGTCTATTCTTGCAAGTTGGGGGGAGTCTTATTATCCTTAAATCAACAAAAACTTTTGGTGGATTTTGATATTATTTGGAGGAGAAATGTATGTACTTCACAACACAGATTCATGAAATGTATGTTGATATTACAATAACCTCGTATAGAAATTATAATACTTTACCGTATTAAATTATTGTCCAGTTTGAATTTTTCATTTTTATTACAAATTGAACTAAAAATAAAAATCCACCCTGAACAATGCCAATAATTTTATATGCAAAAACAAAACATGATTTGATCGACGTTTTATGTGGATGCGTGAGATTAAACGAAGAGGTTTAATGGAGTGCTCCCAAAAGGATAAAAGGCTCAAAGGATTGTGAACTTTGCAATAGAAATGTCTTAATATCATTGTTCCCTTTTATTTCTTTTTAGAAAAATAAAGAGTTTTTTTTTTTTTTTCTTAAGGTAGTTTTCGTCGTGCCTAATTGCAGCTCGCGTGTTCTGAAATCCCGTCCAACCATCGCCGGTGAATATGCTCAGACAAGCCAAAGTGGGGACCAAATTTCATAAACAAACTTCTTGTCCAGATAGCAACACTATAAAAAAAATTTCATAAGCAACTTATTGTCCAGAGACTGTAATCCTAAAAATAACAATACTCCTTCTGTCCTTAAAATTAAAAAAAAAAAATGACATTGTTGAAATATGTTTTTTTTTTACTCAATTCAATCTGTGAGCAATCACTAACAATTTCCAATCATGTCCCTATTCAGTTTGTTTTCAATTCAAAAAGGTGAATCACCTCTAGTTTAGTAATAACGATAATTTCCTAATGAATATGTCATTTCCTTCAGTGGTAAAAAATCCTCCAAAATAATGGTAAAATAACCATATCGCACGTATGGTTTCCCCACACTTTATATTTGCAGTTGATGAATTAAATTTTACACGCTAATTAGATTGTGAGACATTAATAAGAAGAAGAATAATAAAAGAATTTTGTGCAAAGATTCGCGAGAACTGTGAGTAAGTCTGAATGACGACATTATCATTTTCACCGAGGGTAATCAAAATCCTGGCAGATTTACATTTACTTGATCAAAATTATAGGACTACTTTATTAATTATTATTATTAGCAAAAAAAAAAAAGAGCAGAGTTTGTTTCTGCCACGAGTGCAGATCCTTCGGCGTCTTCCTATAAAAAGTTGGGGACTAAACTAATCTGAAAAGCTCAAATAAGCTCAGAGCAGATTTTAAAAACCAACAAAATAAAAAAATAAAAAAAAAGAAAAGAAGAAAACAGGGGAAGGAGTGTTTTGAGTTTTATGGTCAGAAATGGAGAACCAAATCTCCGGCACCGGCACCTCCTCCTCCTCTTTCTCTTCTCTCAGGACATATTTTCAGGCGGTTTCCGACACGCCGTACCGACTTGGCCGGCGAGCTTGGTCCATTTCGACGTCATTTGAGGAAACCAGCAGGGTGAAATCCCGGTCTGGTTCCGACATGAAAAGGACCCTCCGGTGGTACGACCTCGTCGGGCTTGGGATCGGCGGCATGGTCGGCGCCGGAGTTTTCGTCACCAGCGGCACCGCCAGCCATTCATATGCGGGCCCGGCTGTTGTTCTTTCCTACGCCATTGCCGGACTCTGTGCACTCCTCTCTGCTTTCTGCTACACTGAATTTGCCGTTGACATGCCCGTTGCCGGCGGCGCCTTCAGTTACATCCGCGTCACTTTCGGTCGGTTACGCTAACATTAATAAATGCTAACAATAAAAATTCAGCTCAAACCAATTTCCCCTTTAAATTTTTGTCCCCAAATCAATTTTGAGTCTCAAAAAAAAAAAACTTAATTAAAGAAATTGCAACATTTTGTTGTTGGGCAGGTGAGTTTCTTGCCTTTCTGACGGGAGCTAATTTGATCATAGACTACGTGTTGTCAAATGCAGCGGTGGCAAGAAGTTTCACCACTTATTTTGCCACCGCTATGGGCATTTCTACCAAATTACGATTTACCATCGATGGATTACCCAACGGTTTCAATGAAATCGATTTTTTAGCCGTCGCCCTGGTCTTGATTCTTACCCTTGTCATCTGCTACAGGTAAGGCAATTTAAAGAATTATTTCAATTTTTGTTTTTTTTACAGTAACAATTGGATTGGACTGATGAATTTTATAAATTTTCCCTGTTGTTGCAGCACAAGAGAGAGCTCGTGGTTGAACATGGTGTTAACGGCGTTACACATAATGTTCATCCTGTTCATAATAGTGATGGGATTTTGGAAGGGAAAGTGGAAGAATCTAACGGAGGCCAGCGACCCGGAATTCGCAGACGGGTTTTTCCCATACGGAGCATCCGGGGTGTTCAACGGAGCAGCCATGGTGTACCTGAGCTATATCGGGTATGACGCCGTTTCAACAATGGCGGAAGAAGTAAAAAATCCGGTTAAGGATATCCCAGTTGGAGTCTCGGGATCCGTGATTCTGGTGACGGTTCTGTACTGCCTCATGGCTGCCTCCATGTCCATGCTCTTGCCTTATGACATGGTATAGTAGTGATACCAAAACTCTTGTTTATTATTACAGCAGCATTATTAATTTCTTGTTGGGATAACGTTTTCTTTTCCTTCTTCTTCTTTAATGATGATGATGATGATGATGATCTTTTCGTTTTTCAGTTTTTGGTATTATGATGGGTTTTGACTGATTCTTCTACTGTTGTTGTTGTTGTTGCAGATTGATCCCGAGGCGCCGTTTTCAGGGGCATTTAGAGGAGGATCCGACGGGTGGAAATGGGTCTCGAATGTGATTGGTGTGGGGGCCAGCTTCGGGATACTGACGTCACTGTTGGTGGCCATGTTGGGTCAAGCCAGATATATGTGCGTGATCGGACGGTCCAGAGTTGTTCCTGAATGGTTCGCTAAGGTTCATGCTAGGACTTCCACCCCTGTCAACGCCTCTGCTTTCCTTGGTATATTTGATAATATTTCATTCTCATTTTATCTTCTTTTTTCTCCAAAAAAAATAAAAAATACTACCTCCGTCCAAAAAAAAGAAATTAGTACACATAGAGTTTTCAAATTTGTACTAAAAATTGTACAAAACTCAAAATTCAATGTGGACTATTTTTGTGGTTTTTTTTTTTTTTTGTTGTTCTTCTTCATCCACTGCTCAATATAATTTGGAATTAAGTGATGGTTTTTGAACGTCAAGTTATGCCGTTACTGAACTGGGCTCCACTCAGCAACCGTTTCAGTTAATGTGGATTTGGGGGGTGTGTTCGTGAATACTCCATATTGGTATATTATATCATAAATATGGAGGGGGATCGATTAATCCGATGTTGTTTGGTCATTTATTAATGCTCGAAATTTCTTGTCGGTCCTGAGCTTATTTTTTGCCGTGGTGATTTGATTACTTTTGATGTTTTTTTTTTTTGTTTTTTAGCAGTAGTTTGTTGATGTGAAATTGATGGGATTATCCTTTCTTCTTTCTTTTGCGGTTTTAATGCGGGAGTTGGGCTCTTCTATTATCAGTTCTATCACTTGAGACACTTTTATCGTTTTTGGAGTTTATCGATAATGCTAGATCTCATCTGGCCCAGTTTTCGCTTTCTGAAAGGTTTGATTTAATTGATTTTGTGGATGGCAGCTTCTGCCCATTTTTCGACTAAATGAAATTTTATCAAATGCTACTTTCTTTGGGTCCCAAAATAAATGATCTTCGACTTAAAGAATGATATTGGGTCGTCAAAGCTTAAATTAGTTAACTCTGCATTCCTTCGCAAGTTGTTATGAATTTGGAGTATTTCTTTTCCTTTTTGAAAACAGTGAAGTCTGTCTTATACTAATGATTCCTTTCTGTCTTATAAACTCGTTATATATATATATATATATATATATATATATATATATATATATATTGACTAGTTGAAGGGAATATGGATCATTCTAGGTTCTTCAGATTTTGATCATAATGGAATAAGAGAAAGGGATATGATTCTCAGAATCTCGAAGACTACTTCCACATTTGTCTGAATTTAAGATTTGAAATTATAGTTCATAAAAATCAGTTCTTGATGGCTTTGAATTGACATTTTGACTCCACCATGGAAGGAAAATGATACCATTTTAGCATATCAATGGTTTATGCTTTTGCTATCTGCTTTTGTAAAAATGTCTACCACTAACAACTTTGGGGTATTATTTGACATTTTTTTTCAGGGATCTTTACAGCTTCCATTGCCCTTTTCACTGATTTGAACATTTTGCTGAACCTAGTCTCAATTGGCACTCTGTTTGTGTTCTACATGGTTGCAAACGCTGTCATCTACCGGCGTTATGTGTCCATCGGAACGACAAATCCATGGCCAACTCTTTCATTCCTGATTTGCTTTTCACTCACATCCATCATATTTACTGCAATATGGCATTTGGCTCCACAAGGGAAGCCTAAGGCCTTCATTCTAGGTGCCTGCACTGTTATTGCTGTTGGAGTACTCCAATTGTTCCATTACATGGTTCCACAAGCCAGAAAGCCTGAGTTTTGGGGTGTCCCTTTAATGCCATGGATTCCATCCATATCCATCTTCCTTAACATATTCCTATTGGGTTCTCTTGATCGGCCGTCTTATGTCCGATTCGCCTTCTTTTCGGCCCTCGCCGTGCTCGTATACGTTCTGTACAGTGTCCATGCAAGCTTTGATGCTGAGGGAGATGGAAAACGTCTAAGCAATAGCAGCTCAGAATATGGTGAGACAGTGAAGGCATCCTATGAAACAGAGGACCACAAAGTTGAAGTATAACAATTTCTTTATTGTGGTTGTCCCTTGTTAATCTATAGTGACTTAACAACTTTTTGTTGGAAGTAAATGGATAACAGAACAAAAAACTGAAAAAGGGGGGAAGAAGGAAAATAGGTAGAGATAGGATGGGGGAATAGGCTGCCGAGAACAGTAGTAGTAGATGCAAGTTGTGTATAGTTGGAATTTAGTAGGAAGAAAATGTGATCAATATTAGGTCAACTGACTAGCTACCTTCTTTTCATGTAGTTTTGACATCCATCCAACAAGAAATCAATGAATGGAAGCATCAAACTTTTTGCATCACTCACATCAGATCAAAACTTACCAATCAACATTTACATTTTTTTTTTTGGGTACTGATTAATGAGAAGCTTATGGATAATAATAACATCTCATTCAAGCAAACTTTTATTACTTGCTTGAATTTTCTTCTATTCTACCTTCATTTTCAATCCAAGTCAATTTGTAAAGAGATGAAAGAACGTATAGTAGTCGCCTTATGGTTGACATTATCAAGTTTCTTGATGTATACATATACATGACAAACTGTCACGTTTTGGCATATTTTTTACACTACTTTCTCCGTCCCAAAATATTATTACGTTACAATGTCAATACAGTGATTCATTCATGATGCAAGACCATTACAAGTTACAAATAATTGAAAGGGAATAAAAGGTGAAGAAGAGAATGGAATCATGCATCAAAGCACCAAAAAGACTGGACCAGTGGGCTTATCTTCTTTATTTTTGGAGCTGAAGGGACGGTGATTCCTTGACGACAATGGAAGTGCTTGAGATGGGGGGGCCTCTTTTTTCCCTTTTCAAATGGAATCCCTTTTGTCCATTTTCCCTTACTCATTTGTCTATTTGTTTCATCCAATAGCATTCATATATTGGATCGGAGATTGCCGTTTCCTTTTTCATGGCTATAGGGCTCTACATAGTACGTGGCTAATGGGACTTTCTTAAGTCTTAACTCTTCTCCAGTGTCAATTTCCAAATCTAGACTAGGCTTACTAAACTGGTATGAGCCTTCGGTTTCTTTACACTTATTGTTCTTCTGAAACTAGCATTGTCTTGTTTGGAATCATGGATATATGCGCCTATAGGGCACCATCGTCGTGCCACTGTCTCAAAATTAAAAAGTCGCAAGTGACTTATTAGCTTTGAGATTGGAGTTAAGATAGAAAATTTGATCCCTTGTTTACTTTGGAAATCTTCTCTCGAATAGGAATCCAGACCAAGTATCTTGCCCTGCTGGATCGTCTTCAACACAATTGTTCCGACCGTAAAACGTATTATGAAAGCTATTAATTAACTATATCTCCTTAGTTCACTTGCATTATATTTAAGGCACAATTTGGTAAAAGGAACAAAATCCATGGCTATCGATCATGCAAGTTAGAATTACTTGTCTCTTCTTTGCTCCCTCGGAATGGAGAATCAATATCAGTTTGATTTTGTTTAGAATTCGATTAATACGAAGCCAACGTGATTCATGAATATCATCTAAAACTTCTAAACCAAAAGTAGTTTATTTATAGTGCAACAAATATTAGTGCATGATTGGTGGTTTGTTGATTTTTCTTTTTCAACTCTTTTTTACAACAAGTGTTTTCGATATAATACATCTATAGCCTCGTTTAATTAGTCATTTACCCCCACTACTCAACTTTAAAAAAAAGTTTCAAAAAAAGTGTAGACCATTTTGTACTTTAAGAAGGGGGTGCTTTGTTATAAAACTCTATATTCCCTTTTAGGAGGGGGGCAAGTACGTTTGTATGAAAGCTTTCACGTTGACATCAATGCCAATTTAAGAGACTAGTGATACCGCTCCGACGCCACACCAATAATTTGTTTCATAAGTGTACAAATTAATGATTGCTAAAAAGGGTTTAAATCCCAATTAGCCCCATTGGGATAGTGGATAGGCTATCGACTTTTTGCCTCACATTCCATTATCTTTCAAGGCAGAGGGGAAAAAAAAAGAAAGAAGAAAACGTAAATATACTCAATGGAACGTCGACTTAAATAAGATTATGTGTACGCCTTTGCTTTTGTCTTCCATTCATGTTGTATTAACTAAATGATACTCTTTTAATTCATAAAATTGTCCCCCCCCCCTCCTATTTACAACATTATACTCTCTCTGTCCCAAAATTTTTGTCCAATTTGAGATTTCACTTTTAGTATAAATTGAACTAAAAATGAAAATCCAAACTTGACAATAATTATGGAACGGAGGGAGTACGAGTTTTATATCTTATGATTCTATAAATGACCTGAAAAACTCCTCGTCTCGCAATGATATGAGTAAAGGAACGTTTGTAAGCAATTTATCCTTACCTTTCTCAAATATTCGCATAAATAATCCCTCACAATCCAAGAAAATACAACAGACGCATATTCTTACGAAGAGACGTACGACCAACGTATGCAAAAGGTCGGTAAGACTGAAAATCTCGTAACATTATCGAACAAATCTATTTTAAATACTCTTTGTGTAGTCAAGATGGTAACAAATCTGGCTGAAACCTTGGGGCCGAATGGTACTTTGGTTCGTGCTATCAAGGAGTTGTTAAATAGGCAATGGGAGGCGAAGCTTCGCTTTGAATGTCGGGAGGCAAATTTTGTGGCGGACTGTTTAGCCTCTCTCGTAGCAGCAAGTCTAAGAGGATATTACCGATTAGATATTCCACCAAATGTGGTTAAGTCATAGCTGATATGTGATATAAGTAGGCGTTTCGTATACATGTAACGTTGTAATGATGCATTCTTAGGCTCCGGCCTCCTTCTTTGTACTTATAAATACTCTTTGTATAAAAAAAAATGCATAGTAAATTACGTAAATTGTATTATTATTCGTAATATAAAATATTTTTATGACACAGCTATTCGACTTTAGTTGCGCAGCATACCGACATCTGTACACAGGTTACGAGTATAAGCACCTAGATTATGGCTTAACAGACATAAAAATGTCATCATCATTAGGATTGAAGATGATCTATTTTTCATCATGTTGTCTCTTCATTGTTTTGGCACGTATCAGTGTGGAAGGCCACAATATGTGGGCGAATTGTCCATTCCCTTCCAATCCAATTCTTTTGATCTTTTTTTCTTTTTCTTTTTTTTTATTAATAATAATTCTTTTGATCTTTATGGAGTGGGATTCAATTGAATGGATTTGGTATTGTTTGGTTACTATCTTTTTACCTTTCTAGCGATGTCTGTTTTAGGCCATTTGGGCGATTTCTTGAAACAAATTGTCCCCTTTAAGTACGACCCAATTAAGTGGTCCTATGACATTTACCATTAATTTAAAAGTGGTCGCTCGATTTCTTTTTTTTTTTTTTTTCCACGAATGCATTGATTGAAATTTCCTCTTTGTATGGACTCCAAATAAAGTCCCTTTTCTTTTTTTTGCTAAAAAAGGTTAACGTGACAAAGATGATTGGATTCTTTGATTAGATGTTTTGTTTAGTTGTTGTCAATCTATCATGTTGATTTCCTTTCCGTCGTCTAGTCAAAGATATGCAGATCATCATTTTTGAGAAACAACTTTCGCGGTTACGAGTCAAAACAATTCTTAATTGCAAAATTAATTAAAGCTGATATTGGCATGGTAGGTGCTTAGTCCGAAAAGTACTTGATGATTAGTATGATGTGTCGAATACAAAATGAATGATGCAAAATTGAAGGATATGATATGTTGAATACAAATCGAATGATGCAAAATTGAATTGAATTTTTATTAGCAAGCAATCCTATTGAACACAAATAATGATGAGAAAAGAAGGATCTTCTGAGGCCTAATTAAGATTGGCTTCGGCAAGGCAAGCAATCATGGCGTTATTGCAGTAATGATTTTTACAAAGACTTTTCACTATGAGGTTAATGATGTCAAATCTCAAGGAGTTCGTAGAAATAAAAAGGCACTTTTACTATCTTATAAAAATCATTTATACTGTAAAATTGTATTGACAATTATACAATTTATATTGTAGACTAATTTTGTAAGACGGAAAGAGTGTTGTAAAATATTTAAGTGCTACAAGCTTATAACCATTCACAATCATCAACCATCAGGGAAGATTCGAATTCCGGATATAGTAGTATTAACAACTCACCCTACTCAAGTCTAACATAGTCAAAATATTAGGTGAAAATTGGGATGAAATTTACCTCCAAATTACTCCATGTGGATTGCGGAAGCTTCCAACTTGAAACGTGAAAGCATCCATGTTTTCTTGTCACCATAAGATCGATCACGCACGTACATGTGTGCACTGTTGTGTCTGCTCAACAATCGTAATACGGATCGAATTTGATTGCGAGGGTTTGTTATTCTTCCAATGCATCTCGGACTCCTCGATGAGGAATTTATTGTTATTACTACTGATAAAATACGTTTTAGATACGTTGTTGATTTTGTTGAGATAAAACATTACAATAAAATGAGTTTGTATCTTTTTGGGACACAAAAAATATAAAACATCAATGTAGAATGACAGCAACAATTGTATGTTTTGAGCACATTAAGTATATATATATATATATATATATATATATATATATATACATTTGAGTGAAAAACATGAATAAGGGTCCAACCGTGGCCATATTTGGTTCATTAAACTTTGACTTCCGGGAAATAATCTTTACAATGAGCAAATGGCTCTTTCACATGAGCAAAATGAAAATTGGCCCTGAAGAATCGAAAAGGATCCATCACTATGCTTGCAAATCCGAAAAGGATTTACTGCTTCATGTCCTGTTTAAAAGTTAAATGTAGCTGCGGTAGTAAGATAGTAATGGTATATTTATAACAAATATCTACTTGATATGTTTGGATCGTCTTTTCAGTTTATGTTTTTAGGTGTTTTTTGTATTGACAATATAAAAAAGTGAATTAGAAATTTAAAAAGGTATGTTGGAATGAGATATTTATTATTTAATTATTTTTAAAAAAACCATAAAAAAACCTTCGAGATAGAGCAACTAGTGTTTGAACACCAACATAATGAAGTATAGCTGGCTATATTCCTATTTGAGTACAGCAACACACCAACTTTATAACAAAAATATCATAACTCTTTAAATTGTGAGTAACTTTTCCCGTAAAATTCCAATTTTGCTCATTTTATATCTCACAGTCCTACGTGATGCGGCTGTACAATATTTTTTACCAGCTGCCGAGCTTATCCAAATAGAAGAAAACTAAACATGAAAATCCGTACAGATAAAAATAAAATAAAACTGTAGAGACGAGATAAATGAATAACGGAGGCCCAAAAGATATAGATATAGGTTTCTGTTTGGCTAACGGGCTGGTCCAATCATGGGCTCAGTTTGATTTTAATGGGCACATATGGGTCATGTACTCTTAGTTGGGTTAATACCAAGTCCATCTTGAATTTTCTCACTAGCATTTTTACAATCTTGGCGCCGGCGCCAAAGTTCAGAGTGACGATGAATTGAAATGAGATGAAAGCGTTCAGGATCCAGAAATTGAAGATCCTTCATCCCAAATTTGCTCGTCGGAATTTTTTTCTTTCTACTGCTGTTAATTTTTGTGAGTTAGAACCCCCAGAACCTGAAAAATACCACGTTTGGCGCAGCTTCAACAGAATATCACTCCAGAGTTTGCACCAGATCATCCAAAAATGTGCAATAGAAAGAACAATCCACCAAGGGAAGGTTTGCCATGCCCAAATCATCAAGATGGGATGGATATCGGAGAATGTTACTTCGAATATTCTCATCAATGCGTATGCAAAATGTGGCTGGCTGGCTGATGCTCGGAAACTGTTCGACGAAATGTGTTACAGAACCCTTGTTTCCTGGAACACTATAATTGGTGCCTACACCCAGAATGGATATGCTGAAGAGGCTCTCATTCTTCTGAAGGAGATGCACCGACATGGGATGTCCCAATTCAGTGAATTCACCATTTCAGGCGTTCTTTGTGCTTGTGCTGCGAAACTGGCCTTGATTGAGTGCAAACAGTTGCATGCTTTTGCGACAAAAGTTTCGCTTGAAACCAATATTTATGTTGGTACCAGTCTTGTTGATGTCTATGGCAAGTGTAGTTTAATAGAGGATGCGGCTCGGGTTTTCGAGTGCATGACAGATAGAAATGATGTTACTTGGACTTCGATGGTCGTTGGGTTCGTGAAAAATGAGCTTTATGAGGAAGCTTTTGTGCTGTTTAGAAGAGCACAGAGAGCCGGCTTAGAGTATAACCAGTTTACTGTGTCTTCTGTGCTTTCAGCTTGTGCAGCTTTGGCTGCTTTGATTGAAGGGAATCAAGTGCATGCTGTTGCTTGGAAACATAATTTTGCTGACAATATCTACATAGCTTCCACTCTTATAGATTTGTACGCAAAATGTGGGATGATTGAAGATGGCTATGCTATTTTCTCATCTACGGATGAGAAGAACATTGTGTTGTGGAATGCTATGGTTTCAGGGTTCGCTAGGCATGGTAGATCTTTAGAAGCTATGATATTATTTGAAAAAATGCAACTAACTGGTTTGTTTCCAAATCAAGTTACTTATATATCGGTGCTCTCTGCGTGTTGCCACATGGGTTTAGTTGAAGAAGGGAGGAAATACTTTGACATGATCACTGCAGAGCATAATATGTCTCGGAATGTCTTCCATTATTCCATCATGGTGGACATTCTAGGCAGGAGTGGTCTAGTTCAAGAAGCTAAGAATTTGATAGATGAAATGCCATTTGAAGCTACCCCTTCCATGTGGGGATCGCTTTTAGCAGCCTGCAAAGTACATAAGAATGTTGAGCTGGCGGAAGTAGCAGCTAAACATTTGTTTGAGATGGAACCAGATAATGCGGGAAATCATGTCTTACTCTCCAATGCATATGCCTCAAGGAGAAGGTGGGAGGATGTTGCGTTGGCCAGGAAACGTCTCAAAGATAGTAAAGTCAAGAAAGAGAGGGGCAAGAGTTGGATTGAAGTTCAGGGCCAGGTTCATGTATTTATAGCCGGAGAGCGGCTTCATCCAAGGATTGCTGAAGTATACACGAGGCTTGATGGTTTTGTTGAGGAAATGAAGGAGCAAGGCTATAAAGGTGCAAATGAACATGAACTGCATGATGTGGATGAGAACAGAAAGCAGGAACTACTGAAGCACCACAGTGAAAAACTAGCTTTTATTTTCGGGTTAATGTCCTTACCTTCAGGGGTGCCTATAAGAATCATGAAGAACCTTAGGATATGTGGTGATTGTCATTCTTTTATGAAGATGGCGTCCGGCATCAGCGAAAGGCAGATCATTGTCAGGGATAACAACCGATTTCACCATTTCAGAAATGGGGTTTGCTCCTGTGGCGATTTCTGGTAGTAGGCTGAATTCGGATGCACTGCGGTTTTGGTAGGAAACGTAACTAGGATCCTCTAGACATCCTGTCTAGATGAAAGGATTGACTGTGGGATGGGATGACCAGTCGACATACAATTTCAACAACAGAATAAATATTTTTTGACATTTACATAATTACATTGATACCTACAAATGAAAGAAATTTTTTTAATCTAATAGGTATTAAAAAGTTCAATAATTATGTGTCTCAAGGTATTTATTTTGAATGGCTTCAAATTTCTAGTCTAATTTTTTGACTAGTTTCTCAAAGGTCATAAATTTTCGTAGATTTTTTAATCAGAGTTTATTTTTTTTTCAATTTTATAAAATTAAAAAAAATACAATATGTGGGTGTAAGTTCAAACATTATTATAAAAAACATAGTAATATGATAAAAAAACAAAACAATGGATTTTAACATTCGTCGACATTGTTGTATGCCTTTCTAAGTCAGAAGACAAGTCGACCCATACAATTTCAACAAAAAATACCTACAAATAAAAGAAAATCTATGAGTAATTTAGAAAACTTAAAATTATGTTTTTCAAGGGTTTTTCTTTTCTATTTGACTTTTACAGCATTACATTAATTAATTACAAAACATTAATCCATAATAAAGGATAAAAAGAAAAAGGGGGTTTCGATCTTCGTCGACTTTTATGGGTGACGTAAACGTCAGCTTTAATTTTTTTCTTTTTTAATATTGAAAATAAGGTCTTATTTGGACAAGTCTCATTTTGTCTTTTTATCTCATTTTATTTCTTAAAACACCTCTCAAACACAAAACCCAATACTATCTATAAAAATTTTTTAATTTATTTTTTAAAATTTATTTTAAACATTATTTTTACACAATTTTCATCCACAACCACCGGACCGCCACCGGACCGGCTACCGCCGCTGCCGGACCACCGTCGGCCGACGATCTGCGGTGGTCCGGCGGCAGCAGTGGGCGGTCTAATAGCGGCGCCGGTGGTGGAGGTGGTCCGATGGTGGTCTAAAAATATTATTATTTTATTTAAAATATTATTCAAATAACTTTTTAAATTTTATTTTAAACTACATTTTAAATCACATCTCAAACCTAAATAAAAAACTAAAACAAAAACTAAAACAAAATGTTAGCCAAACAAGCCCTAAGTATTTTGTAATTTTCACATTGATACGAGCGTACCATTGAATCAATGAATGTTTAAAATCCACCACAAAGGAATAAGAAAACTCAAAGTTCATATATTATTGTAGAATATTTTTTATTTTTTTTATTTTTTATTTTACATCCATTCAGTTTTTAATCTATTTATAAAAATCATGACAACAAGGTGTAATTTAATGATAAGACGTCTCACTTGTTGACCAATAGGTCACGGATTCGAGTCACGTCGGAAGTAAGTGGAGAATCACTATTGATCCTTTTAAAAAAAAATTTATTTATAAAAATCAACCACTAAATAGAAAATAAAATATACGGTAATCAGTTCGGTGCATGTCAAACTTCATATTGATATGCAATGTGAATGTAACAATTTTTACTATTACTTTTTAAAAATTGTTATAAAATAATTTATTTTTACTTTCGTTGATATCGACTAAAATGATTATTTTTTTCGTCCTTGAGCTTTTTATTTTTGTTTTTTTAGGATTGTCCTTGAGATCATTGATGAATTTGAAGAGATAGAGTCAAAAACAAAAAGTAGAGAAAACTTTTACTCAAAGTAAACGGAAGAACAAAGTAAAACTTCTTGGGCTGAATGCCTAAGATATAGTTAATATTGAATTTTGACACTAAAATAATACCTCTGTCCCAAAAAAAATTATTGTACAATTTGAGTTCTCATTTTTTAGTACAAATTTGAACTAGAAATGAAAAATCAAACTGGACAATAATATTGAGACGGAAGGAGTATCCTGATGAACTAGAAATGAAAACTCAAACTGGACAATAATTTTGAAACGGAAGAGTATCCTGATAATCATCTATTACATGACATGATACTGCTCTTTGTAATTTAATTTAATCATCACATTTTAGAGTGCCGAGCAATGTGGTGGTGTCACACGCAAAAGGCATACTGTATTATCATGCACATTCTAGATGTAGCTTCTCATACGAACAGAGATCTTAGACTGTTTTTATTAGAGTTGATTTGAAGAGGATAACCAAGCACAAAGAAGCAGGTGCATTGCAGATCTGTCGGGCTTAGATGCATTTGGATCGCTATAGCATGGTCCGAGAACTGCCTTCTGCTGTCTAATTGGTCATCCGAATATGGGAAAAGAATCTAAATTCTAATATTATACGTTTCAGTTGAATCAAGTAAACAATGTCCACCGAGGAATGTGTAAGAAACAAGGAAGATGATAACCAGAACAAAGAGGGCAAGCCAAAGTAACTAGCTTAAATTCAAATTTAAACTCTGATGCTGTAAAGTAATTTCGATTTCATTGGAGATGGAGATATAACCAGCTCGAGGAGGAGATGAAGAGATACACAGGTGTTTATGAGAACTGAGAACTCAAATTATCGGAAGAGCAATTGCCGCAAGTACACAAGTTTCACCTATCAATATTACCAAAACTGAATTTAACACCAAAGTGATAGAATTTGCTAGCTACTAACCCCAGAATACAGAACATGATCACTAGTTTCTTCTCCGGCCAAAACCACCTGGTCCTCCACCTCTTCCAAAACCAGGAGCTACAGGCACAGACTGGGGGTCCTCAGCTTGCTTAACAACCCCAGGGAGGTCAGCAATGCCAATGGCTGCAAGCATGTCAATGGTCTCCTTGTCAACCTCAATGATATCAGTCCTGATGGCAGATTCATCAGGTACAAAGTCCATGCGCCTTTCACGCTCTTCCTCCTGCAGTTTAAGTGAGATACCTCGAACAGGACCCTTCTGGATCCTCTTCATGAGGTGGGTCGAAAACCCAGCAATCTTGTTGCGCAGACGCTTGGAAGGAATGATAGCAACTTCCTGCAACACCTTCTTGTTTGTGTGGAAATCCAGAGTCATTTTAGAGTAGTACCTCTCAATCACCTGTCGGGATGACTTCTTCACTGTCTTGGTGCGAACACGACCCATCTTCCCAGCAACTCTTCAGAAATCCTGATACAGAGGACAAATTGAAAATACGATCAACACCTCACTTCCACCAATACCTAAAAAAAGCTTTCAAGTTGCGGAAGTAGTGTATAATGCTCAAAAGCAAGCCATAACAGATACCATTGAGACTGAAAAGACTTCAACTAAAACTAAACACTTTTACACAAACACAAAATCAAAATGCACACAACATAAACTCGATTTATTTAACACAATTCTCCACTATCTGTAAGCATGCACCCATACTGATTTAAGAAGTCTCAGATGCTCACCCAGGGTTATAACAAAAAGGGATCCTACTACAGAAACAGAATGGGGATCAAGAACTATATTTAACAAAGGTGATAAATAAATTTAAGGAATTTAACACCCCAGAAATCATGGCAAAACACAATAGCAAGGTCCTAAACCAAAAATCATCAAGCATTACATATCCTGTTCAAATGACAGGTTCTAATCAATCAAAAAGAACAACGAATAAAAATCCGAAGTAATCGAATTCCAACAGACCATTAAAATGCATAAAAAAAATCATACTACCGTTTCACAATCACAATTACAGACATAACATTAACATCATATTTGCACATTCACATTAAAACAGTAAACAAGGGGAAAGAAAAGAAGCAGAGTTTTACCTGTGACACAAAAGGGACAGAGAAATTACTTGTGATTTTGCGCAGCAGCTTTGGGTTGGGGGTTTTGCAAGGGGGTATGTTTGTTCAGTGTTTAAACTAGGGTTTAATGTGCGGGGTGGACAGGCTACAGCCGTAATGCACGTATAACGTTTGGTTGGGCTTAGAAACATCGAACGATTTGGGCCTAATGCAATTTGTATCCATTGACTTTTTTCTACCTTTTTCTTACCAACTCCAAGTCTCCCAACGAATAATGATACCCCTTTTACCCTATTAAAGCAGAAAACAGGATGCTGATGTACTATTTTCTTATTAAAATATTTTGGCTCCAAATGCACCATATTGCATTAATCATTCTGCCACGTGTCGCCTCATTTTAAAAATAAAAAATATATTTACAATATTAACGAAGAGATCAGATGGTCACGTTCATTTAAATTTTGAATTTGACAGTGTATGAAATTTTCCATCTCCATTTATTTAGGACTTCCGAAAAAATTAATTTCTGGTCAATCAATTATCTTCATCAAAAACTAAATTCATTCCTAATCAGTTTTGATTATTTACATATCGATTTATTAGGTGGGACACTTGCCCGGGACAAACATTTAGTAGAGTGTTAAAAATGATATACAGTGTTAAACGTTTATGGAAACATATATCTAGTTTCTATATTGTGTAATATTTTCTAATCATATTATAATTTTGATGTGACTTTAAACTCTCTTAATTTTAGAAGAATAATAAACTGTTGAACTTAAAACCTTAGAATAAAGTAGAAAATGAGTCAAATATTTCTTGAGACAAAAGGAGTAGTGTATTAGTGTGTGTTTCCCCCGTTATACGATGCACTTATATCCTATCAAAATAACTATACTAATTGGATTGAATTGGTAGATCCCTGTCACGAACCAACAGTCCTAATTTTCATGTAGTAAATTGATAGATTACATTTAACACCCACACATGATGCTTGTTGATTGTATCATCATGCGAAAACAAAAAACTTTTAGAAATCTTTTTGTAATGTTATTTTTTACGCGTTAAATGAATGATCTAAAATCTTACAATAATTTCTATGAAGAATAAACTTGTTTTCCATAATTTTATTTACAGCGATTATGCATCCCAGTGAGTAAGTAAAGTGAAAATATATAATGACAAATGAAAAGACAAATACACAATCCGCTTATTAAATATGTCTATTTATTCATTAAGGATAAAAATGTAATTTCAAGAGAAAATAAAACTTCAGGACTATGATTAATTCACATCAATCGTTATATTTGCTACTATTTTTATTCACTAGATTTATCATTTTCCTTTTATTTAAAAGAATAAAACTTAACATTAAAAATTTTTTAACCTTATTTTACCACCCGGAAAAAAATAATAATAAATCCTCTAATCAAGATGATATCTTCAAATTTTTCATTGGGTGTTTTTCTCCTTTATTACAATTTGTTAATCAATCCTGTACTTGAAAGGTTTGAGTTTTGGAGGAGTTGGTAGAACAAACGATGAAGTGATGGAGAAATGGATATCTTCACTCTATCCTCGACCGCACACTACCCAACCCACACTCCTCAGCCGTTCCCCGCCACCATGCTCGCCGCCGTGAGACCCCACCACTCTCACCGCCCCACCGTCTTCTCCCTCAAACAATCTTCAGACCCACCTGATGACACCCCTTCATCGACCAGTCTCCGGCGACCTGCCACCCATAAACCTCCCAAAACCCCCATCACCTCAACTGACAACTCTAAACTCCGCAAGAAAAATCCCCTCAAAGACCTTTTGCTTACCCAGAACAGTACTACCCCAGCTCCCGTGACGGTCCCATCTCTACCGCTTCATACTCTCACCAGTAAGCTTAGGCTATCCAGCAAACTCTCTCCACCCCCGCCAGTAATCCCCGAAGAAATTCCATCTGGAGATACTGACATTTTAGAAGGTTCTGAAATTTCCGTGGAAAATGAGGATAATGGGCAGCTGAGGAATGATTTTGTGGAGAAGGGCAAGATTTTTGTTGGGAATCTTCCTTTATGGATAAAGAAAAATGAAGTGGCCGAGTTTTTCAGGCAATTTGGACCGATAGAAAACGTAATTTTGATAAAGGGGTATAATGAGACTGACCGGAATATGGGATTTGGGTTCGTAATTTACGGAGGCCCCACAGCTGAGAAGGCTGCAATGAAGGCTGTAGAATTTGATGGAGTTGAGTTTCATGGGAGGGTCTTGACTGTGAAGTTGGATAATGGCAGGAGATTGAAGGAGAAGACGGAGGAGAGGATAAGATGGGTTGAGGGGAAGGTGGATGGAAAGGTGCATAAGTCCAATTGGCATCAAGAGAGGGAAGGGTCCAGGATGGAGTTGAGGAAGGTTATCGAGTCTCATCCGGAGAATTGGCAGGCTGTTGTGACAGCTTTCGAGAAGATTAAGAAGGTAAGCCACTTGCTGAAATGTCTTAACTAATTGCACTTTGCATGCCCTGTCTTTTGAGCCTTCTGGATGTTTGTATCCAGATTATGTAATTGCACTGCAATGGGAGCTTTAATAAATGCTATGGGATGTAATGTCTGCTTGGAATTAAGCCGTGTACTATGAAATTGTAGTGATGCAATTATTTACAACTTTTGTAGCCTTCCAGGAGAGAGTTCGGATTAATGATCAAGTATTACGCAAGACGGGGAGATGTTCATCGAGCACGTGAAACTTTTGAGAGAATGCGCACTCGAGGAATAGAGCCATCTTCACATGTATTTACGAGGTAAATGCCTGTGCTGGGTTGCGGTTATAGTTCAAGTTTTCTTTTCTTTTAAGTATTAGGAACCAAAATGCCGAGTGCATATCATTGCAAGTGCTTTAAACTTTGCAAATTGGTCACTCATTAGTTTGATGTTATGTTTCATTTGAAATAAGCACATCTCTTTGCAATGAAACACTATTGCCTGGTACTGATAAGATTCGTTGTTGCATACCCACATTTTTGTACGGAATTTATTTCAGCCTGTTGCGGCGTTCATGTTGAAGTCTTGAACTACTACAATTTATTTGTTTATCTGGGATATGTTCTTGTGTTTTATCATTGTTAATTAACTTATTTCCCTGCAGCCTAGTTCATGCTTACGCAGTTGGTAGAGACATGGACGAAGCGCTATCTTGTGTGCGCAAAATGAAAGATGAAGGAGTTGAAACAACGTTGGTCACCTACAGTATTCTTGTCGGAGGATTTGCAAAAGTAGGAAAAATTGAGTAAGTTTTGATCCTTAGGATTTTGAAGGATTCCATTTCATGTTGTGAGTAATATGACGATGTTTTTTTTGTTAATTTGGTTGTTTCCTTTATTTTTTTATTATCTTTACCTAACCAAATTCTTCAGCAAAGTTACTGGCTATGATGGGGTTCATACATGAATTTTTGATTGTTAAGTTATTATTTATGGTGTAACTTGCTACCCATTTTTATGGCACTCATTGTTCTGTTCCTGCACTATAAAATGTTCCTTTAAAAAAATAATAAAATAAAATGAAACTCTTACTAGTTTAGAGATTTTCTTGTCCTAAAATTTTGTGGCTATTGTGATCTGCATCAATCATAGAAGATATCTGGCTCTTGATCGCGACTCATCTTTTTCATTATTCTTACTAATTGTCCCGTTCCATGTTCCTGGAAGTGATGCAGAGTTTTGGTTCAAGGAGGCTAAACAAAGATTTGGAACCTTGAATGCCATTATCTATGGGAACATTATTTATGCTTATTGGTGCGTTTTTTATACCCTTATACTTCTCTTTATAGCCTCAAGTTTCTTATTCATTCAACATTTTTAGTGTCCTGTAACTCATTGTAACTTTAACATGTTATTTTCTATAACAGATTTTATTGATCTTTTTGCTCTTTTGACAAAATCATCGAGTAATTTTGAGCACATACTCTGATCAGACAATTCATCCTTTATTTTTATGCACATTACAGTCAAAGTGGTGACATGGAACGTGCTGAAGCATTGGTCAGGGAGATGGAAGAAGATGGTATTGATGCCCCGATTGGCATTTATCATACAATGATGGATGGCTATACCATGATTGGGAATGAGCATAAATGTTTGACTGTCTTTGAGAGGCTAAAGGTAAAAGCTTTGTTGTTTATTCTGTACTCATCATGGCTGGTTGAGAGAGAGTTATTTTGTGGCTTCTGGTCTCGAGCAACTTGCTTTTTGGTGTAACCATGCAGTTTCAACTTGTTACCTTTTTGTTTTAATGATTATACAAATAACATGAGCAGACTGGATGCGTATAGGTCAGTTTGTGGCTCTGGTCCTGGGACTAATACGTGGTGTATTACCTTTTTGGGGATTAGGGAATCTTTTATTGGGTTTTGGTTTTGAGATTATCATTAATGTTGAGATATTACTCATGACCATCTCTATATGATCTAGTGTTAGAAGTGACACTAGAATTTCTCTGGTTTTACATGCTGCATAGTTGTGAAGATAAAAAGGACTTAGTGCTAAAGCCTAAAGCTGGATGGAAATAACACAGAAAAAGTAACTCAGTTTGAAAAAGTTAATAAAATAACTTTTGAATGCGTCATATACCTTTGGATTAGTAATCAATTATTCATGCGTTTGAGGTCTTCTATCAGCTTCCATGATTGTAACATGTTTTGTTTAACCTGTTTGCTTATTAAATTGTTGGGTAGGAATGCGGCTTTACACCTTCAGTAATCAGCTATGGCTGTCTTATAAATCTTTATGTTAAGGTAAACTCATACTATCTTTGTGGTTGTTTTCATTCTTGATTATTGTGTCTGTTTGCTAATTTTTCGTTGTGTTCTATTAGTTGTCACTTTCCCGTGTCTCGTGGTTCACCACTTTCTCACTGCAGGTTGGTAAAGTTTCAAAGGCTTTGGAAGTCAGTGAAATGATGAAATCGGGTCATATAAAGCACAATATGAAGACTTATTCTATGTTGATAAATGGATTTATTCAATTGGAGGACTGGTCAAATGCTTTCGCAATTTATGAAGATGTAATTAGAGATGGATTAAGGCCAGATGTAATCCTCTACAACAATATTATTAGGGCATTCTGTGGCATGGGCAACATGGATCGTGCCCTTTGTACTGTCGAGGAAATGAAAAGAGAGAGACACAGACCAACATCACGTACATTTATGCCCATAATACATGCTTTTGCCCGGAGAGGAGATATGAGAAGAGCTCTTGATGTTTTTGATATGATGAGGATGAGTGGATGTATTCCAACGGTGCATACATTTAACGCTTTGCTTGTCGGACTTGTGGAGAAGCGTCAGGTACATCTTGATTGAAACTTCAATGCATTGACACTCTTGTCTGATAGTTTTAAAAGAAAATCTTGCTAGGAAGTTTCATGCATCTTTCTCCTTTTTGTTTCCCCTTTTTTCTGATACCAGCGTACATGTTTAGTGATGGTGGCTTTACACTCATGAATTTCTTCTTGTGCTTTTTTCAGATGGACAAGGCTGTGGAAACTTTAGATGAGATGATACTTGCAGGCATTAGTCCAAATGAGCATACATACACTACTATAATGCATGGCTATGCATCCGTTGGTGATATTGGAAAAGCTTTTGAGTACTTTTCGAAGTTAAAAGAGGAGGGTTTGAAGCTTGATGTTTTTACATACGAGGCATTACTCAAGGCATGTTGCAAATCAGGGAGAATGCAGAGTGCTTTAGCAGTTACAAAAGAGATGAGTCAACAAGGAATTTCTCGGAACACTTTTGTCTATAACATATTGATTGATGGGTATGGTCTTCTCACTGCTGAGATGCATTTAGAATATTGAGAACATGTGAATTTATTTATTCAAGTTTTCTGCTTTAACTCATTGCCTAATTACTCTTAAGAACATGGTCGTTTCATGTATTCCTTCTGCTTACTTTGTGAGTTTCTAACTATTATTTGTTCACTCCTTGATTTCACTCTGCAGATGGGCTCGAAGAGGGGATGTTTGGGAGGCTGCTGACTTGATGCAACAGATGAAGACAGAGGGAGTTCAACCCGACATCCATACTTACACATCTTTCATAAATGCTTGTTGTAAAGCTGGGGACATGACGGTAGGTGTACATTCGAACCGTCACTTCTCTGCTTTTGTTATATGATGTTGTCATTAAGCTTTTAGGCTTTTGTTATATTATGTTGTCGTTAAGCTTTTAGAGACATGATGTTTGCTCTCATACTAAAATCTGATATATCACTGAGCTTTTGCTGTTCTACGTTGAAATTTGTAACTTCATGCTGTACAGAGAGCAACGGATGCCATTGAAGAGATGGAAGCCCTCAGGATTATGCCTAATGTAAAGACATACACAACACTCATAAAGGGCTGGGCGCGCGCCTCTCGTCCAGAGAGAGCACTAAAATGTTTTGAAGACATGAAGCAGAATGGTCTCAAGCCAGACAAAGCTGTGTACCATTGTTTAATGACATCACTTCTTTCCAGGGCCACTATGACCGAAGAATACATTCACACCGGTATCCTCAGCATCTGCGCGGAGATGGTTGAATCTGCAATAACCGTTGACATGGGAACCGCAGTTCATTGGTCGACATGTTTACACAAGATTGAAAGGTTTGGTGGGGAGATCACTGAAGCCTTACAGAAGACATTTCCCCCTGATTGGAATTCACATAAAGTTCTTAATACCATTTCAGATGGTAATGACAATAATTATTATGAACTTGATAATGCTGTTAATGATGATACGGACTCTGACGTTAATAGTGATACTGAGGATGACTTTAGCTTTGATGATAGATCATAGTTTGGCGGAACCTATTTGGCTTTATTCCCATTTGAATTTGACGGGAAACAGGAGAGGGGTAGGTGACTCGGTGGTGTGGAATCATCCATCACTGATGTAAGGTGTTTGTGATTACTAAGATGATTAAAACGTGTAAATTTTCCATGGGTTAATTCAATCTTCAGGATTGGAGTCTAGTCTCCATGCTATCGAGCCAGCCTTGATTAAAGAGGAAGAAAGGAAGAGCTTATGCACAAGCAGCTCAGGATTTTCTCAGTAGACCTTTCAGAAGAATCGAGTGAATGCTTATATCGTGAAGGAAACATATTTATTGTGTATATTGATTGCTTGAAGCAGTATTTCCTAGTGCTTATGTCGACAAATGAATTTGTCGATTAAACCTTCTTAGCTGAATCACAGAGCATTGCCCGTAGCATTTGGTTTCCTAGTATATGATCGCAAGTGTCATGATCCATTGTCTAAGATTTGGCATTTAATACACTTAATAATAAATAATGCATTATGGTGTACTATTCTCATCGACAATACTTTCGATTCTTATCAGGAGTTATGAACAATTCTACTACTTCTCCCGTCTCCTAATTATTGTCCAATAGGGATTTTCAATTCTAGTTCAAATTATACTAAAAGTGAAATCTCAAACTGGATAATAATTTTGGGATAGAGAGAGTACTTGCATTTTGTTAATGTAAGTTCTAGTACAATGATTGAAACATTTTTACTTCCTTGTCATAAAATTAATGTCCAGTTTGTATTTTCAATTCTAGTACAAATAAGACTTAAAATGAAAATCCGAATTAGACAATAACTTTGTGACAAACGAGTACAATTTTTTAATTCTCCGTGAGATAGAAAAAGGAGGACGATGACGACCGGTAACTGTAAAACAATGAATGTTATATGTGGTATCCAGTCAAAAGCTCGCCTATCCGCTCTAAGGAAGTGTTTGTTACCAAATGAGATAGGGAGTGATCTGAGATGGAAAAGTTTGAACGTGGCATTGCAGCTAATTTTGGAACAACTACTGATTTATCCATACCCGGAAAGGTATCCAGCTCTTGGATATATATAATAGGTTCCTTGCAGATAGCGGATGTCAATCCCCTATGAGCAACCACATTGGGTTGGTTGATCGTTTCATGTAAGTTGTGTTACCAAATCCAGGTTTTTTTTTTTGCGGAAAGAGAGAGAAAAAAGTGATCAAAATGCAACCGTCCTTGACCCAATCGATTGTCATCAAAATCTCGCCGACCCAGCGACGGCATTTTTGTGAAAACTTGCCCGTCTGAAAGTCGATAAGACAATGACTCTTGCTTCGATAAAATCTTCAAAGAAGACATAAAAATGGTCGTAAGATCCATCGGATCTGCTGGGATAGCAAATCAAACAATAAAAACAAAAAAAACAAAACCATATATAGAGACAGGAAATGAGATTCCTTTACATCCCAATGGTATAGAAATGTGTGATAAATGTGGTAATTTTGTAGAATGGTTGATGTAGGCATAAAAAATACTCCCTCCGTCCCATAATTATTGTTTTACCTAAAAAATTTTGTCTCAAAATTATTGTCCAATTTGACTTTTTAGGATCAAGTTACACATTTGTCCTTAATAAAAAACATTATCCATAAAATCTTTGTGATTAAACAATTACTTATGTAGAGGTATATCCAGTTGTTCAAAGTAAAATATAATTAAGTTTGACTAAAAATAAAATTTTTTATTTTAGTAAACTGGACAATAATTATGGGATAACTCACAACATTATTCAGCAGGCTTAATCTTTTTCCTAAAAAAAAAAAAGCTTGAAAATCTTACCCGTTAAAACACCATGATCACTGAAACGGCCATCTTCCATCTCAATGTTGGTATAATGTGTGAAAGTAATTTTCAGTCCAAAAGCTGAAAATGATCATTTAAAAAAATCTAAAGTTGAAAATGATCATTTGAAAAATAACTCACAACATTATTCCCGCCTCTAAGTAATTTTCAGTCCAAAAGCTGAAAATGATCATTTGAAATATAACATTCATTTGTCACATCAAAAGCATGTAAGCAAAATGGATTAAAAAAATAATATCATTACTGTTAAACTATATTATTAAAAAATTAATATGTTTATGTAAATCAACCATGAGGTACGGATATGCATATCTATAAATTTGCACAATAGTGTTTTAAAAATAAATAGCTTTTTTTTTAAAAGATTATATAATATATTTTTATAGTTATGAGAAATAGTGAAAAGAAATAGAAAACAGAAAAAATTAAATAAAAAGTGAAAAAAGACTGTTTGGTTATTTTTATAAATTTTTGAGGTTATTTTTATAATTTTCAAAATTATTAGGGTATTTTTTGTAATTAAAATTAACGGAATTCCGTTAATTTAAACGAAAATTGACAAATTGGACAAAATCAGCTAACGGTTGGATAGCTTTAAGGTAATATTAGGTACCAAAAAAGAATATGGTAAAATTGACATAGCATGTCAACTTTTGGTAGATCGGCCAATTTTTCCGATCAAAATGTCTCTTCTTTTTCTGTAGACTACAGAGGATAAGCTTCATTCCTCATCCTCCGCACAAAAAGGGCACTTCAGACTCTAAACCACCGTCTGAGAGACACATTTCAAGGGCTTAGCCGCAGTCTTTTGTGGAGCTCAGACGTTTGCGAATAAGCATTTCTCCAGCGACTGATTGTTTCATCTAAGTTGTGTTACCAAATCCAGATTTTATTTTTTTTTAACCAGAACAAGATCCAGCAGTCTGCAGCCCAGTTTGACACAATCAATTATCTTAGATACTGACTTATCATCAAAAACTCCTCTCCTACCCGGTGATAACATTTTATCAAGACTTCGATTTGGAAAACTTGGAAGAGGGCATCAGATTTAACAAGATTCGTCTCCCCTGTTACAACAACAATAATCAGAAAGAAGAAAAAGAGATCTCTTTATCACATACATACTGAATTATCTGTGGATGGGAATTTCTGATCAATGTGATAATATTGCAGAATGCTAGAACTTAACAACAATGTGGGATTCTAATTTCTAACAGATTTTAAATCTCTACGAGAAGTTCATCAATTCATACCCGTTAAATCAGCATCATCATCAACTGCGAAAAAGCTCGAATTTTTTTTCAGTTGAATCCGGAAATCAACAAACAGATCGGGGTTCACCAAGGCCTCCAAAGCTTAACTCGTGGGACTCATCAAATCAAAGCTGGTTTGCATTTGTGAGAAACTTGATGAGAGTGTGTGTATGTTTGTTTCTTTGAAGCTGAAAAATAATGCTAAAAAAGCTCTAATAAGTAGCCGCCTGCCAACCAATTCACCAATTGTGAACTAAATTTAAGTTATAGGGCAGAGAGGACAACCCCCATTTTGGACTACATTTGTCTTGGGCATTCGGCCCAGCCCATTAAAATTTGACATGCCTTCTATTCTTTGGGCTCATTATTTGATATATTGTCCCGCTTAGTTTTTTTCTGTGCTCAATGGATTGGAGTCCTCGTAGATCGACAGACGACTCGTGCAACTGTCGTGCATATCAAATTGTTTCCATTTCATGCACCAAATCTGCACGTTTTTTTGTTATACAAAACCGGAGACAACATTTAAATTTAATCATGCATCAATGGTCATCCAATGAAGGTTAAAATGCAAAGTACTCATTCTGCTCTTTTTATAAGTACTCTCTCTCCCTAAATCATTGTCTTGTTTGAATTTTCACTTTTACTTTAATTCATCCCAAAAATAAAAATCGGAAATGGACAATAATTCGGCATGGAGAGAAGATTAATTTTGTGTCTTATCTTATAAATCTGACTGAATAAAAATATTATATTCACCGCGTGTAGACAAGATGAACTATCATGGCTTCTAACGATCTAAAGTAACCTTTTCATCTTTAACATTAACCGTACTTCACAATAGTACTGGACAAAAATAAACCAATCGTAACGCTAACAAACTGATGTGAAGTGATGAAGTAAAATTCTCAAATATAACCGAATAGAATGTTATATCTACCGCATGTTGACGAGAAGTACCATCACGTCTTCTAACGAACTAGAGTAATATTTTTCATCTTTAACATCAAACGTACTTTACAACAGTACCCGACAAAGATGAATCAATCGTAACGTTAACAAACTAGCATGGAGTGATGAACACGGTTCTCAATATGACTAAACCTGTCGGCAAAACGAACCAACGTGGCTTCTAACAAACTAAAGTAATATTTCGTTATTCTTAACAGTGAATTTCACGACAGTTCCGGATAACGAATCATAACGCTAACAAACTGGTGCGGAGTGATGAAATAGATTCTTAAATACAACTGAATAGAATATGATGTCTATCACGTGTCAACTAGATGAACTATCATCGGCTCTAACGAACTACAACAACATTTTTCATCTTTAATATCGAACTTTACAACAGTCACGGACAAAAATAGAACAGTTATAACGCTAACAAGCTGATGTGGAGTGACGAACTAGATTCTCGAAAAAGTTTGTCTAAAGCTCAAATCCGCCAAAAAAAGCATTCATACTCCATATTAAATAAAGTAGTTTTGAGAGTTGTCGTATTCTTTGATATGTTAGATATGAGAAAATCTTGATTTTCAACACCGGCTTTCTAGAAGCTTATTTTAATTATTCAGTAGGAAGGAAGTGTTTGAGAATCGTATTTACGTAAGAATCTACCGATGATATCTAATTCCTTTTTACAGGAACGAAAACTTGTGTCTTAAAGTTGACAAATTGTTGTAAATATTGTTAAGTTTAACTACAATTATCTCTTGTTTCTAAAACTCATTTGATCATAGAAATCTAAGGAGACGACATTTTATCGATGAGACGATGAAGGTGGACTTACACATCATTCAATTTAATTATTGATCAAATTAACTTGACAAGCATTCTAATTTCATACACAAATTCTTTTCATTGTTAATTAAAGTAATCACACTTCATTATATAGCAAGCGAAAGAGCATGTGCCTTCTTGGCAGCAACCTGCGCCTTTTGACACTGACAAATCAATTGAGTTGGAGCTGTTGCACACATTTCATATCTTACCTTCCATCGTTTTTTCCTCTACTTTATTAGAATCTCTTCATTGTAACGACAAACAAAAGGTTCAACTACAAATATCTCACACCCAACAACAACATCAACAACAAAGAGTTTTAACAAAATCTTTCAGCGTTTTGTATTGATCACTAAAAAACAATAAGAGAATCCCCGTTGTACTACCAAAAAAAAAAAAGAAGGAACTTGAGGGGGTGGGGGTGGTTTAATCTATTTGATTTTGAAATTTGTTAATTATAAATGGTCGAGGTTAAGTGTGAGTCGTTCATCAATTCTTAATGTAGAGTGTTTGGATTCCGTACTGGACATTAAGTCATAAATTATTTAGTTGATTGTTTCACTTATCAAAGTATCTTCGACTCGATGAAAGGATCATTTAGTTAATATTGTGGACTATGAATGCAAAGAGGGGAAAAAAAACCTGAATTTGTAATGACATATTTTTTTCGCCAAGATTAATTACCAAATTTTTATTTTAATCAAGAAAATGCTACCAAATATTCTAGTATTATTAGTATTATTCATAAGATTGTATCGTCATGTGTTCAATTATCGTCATATCAATCCGGTCAATTATTATCATGGTTTTGTTTGTCCACAGGCATATTAAATAACAAATCCCTCGCAAACATGCCTCATTTCATGATCGTCAAAAGTACTATGATTGATTAGCAGTAGTACTGAAAACTGAGGCCTACAAACATTTACAAGAACAAGAATCATAGGAGAGCTGATCAGGTAAACGTGGTGTTGGTCTAATCATACGTTTGGGGTGCCTGAAAAGCTGAAACGAACTGATGAATGAAATTGAGGAAACAAAAGGACCCAATTCTTTTTGTCTTTCTTAAGGTATCAAAATTATGGTACCTGGATTCTTTTCTCATCGCATCACACCCTATCAAAATCATCGAACTTGCTACTATTTGATTAATCATCGATGGGTCGGGTTGTACTTAGTTTGCACATGATAAGTCATGACCCAATAATTCTGAAAGAAACCACGTCCTGTCCCTTCACGAATAATTAAACATTCATAAAAAAATAAAAATAAAAGGTACAAATTCTTCACCTTTTTTTTTTTTTGTGTTTGGAATTTTGTTTTTAGTTGTAAAAGAAAGAAATGTTTTAAGAGAGTTTGAGTCAACTAATTAATTTATTTTGTGACAACGATTCTTGTGTCCTAACCAACTGCTGAAAAGAAGGCACGGCGAATTTTTTTTTTTTTTTGATTTGTTCCAACATATATTTTTTTTAAAAAAAAGAATTAGTGTATAAGTTCTAGCAACCGACCAGACGAAAAGAGTGTTTCTTGTAAAATCTAAACTAATACTACTAGTTAATACGTGCAATTTTAAACAAAATGAAGGAAATAAGATTTAACGGTGTCATCATGAAAACCTATAAAGATTCACTAACCACCAAAAGTGTAAAATCAGCCCAAATTTGAAATGAACATATTGCTAGGTGATGTAATTGGGAGCGCTCTGCCTTGATTAGAATATGATGTAATTGGGATGGCATATTTCTATAATGTTTTAGTTTAATCTTAGGCACTGTTGCCTCTTCTATTGTAACCAAAAAAAAAAAAAAGGACAAACAACAAAGGATGAGTTGACTTACTAGATTCAGGAACTCACATCGTAGAAACTTTGGACATCTAACAAAATTTAAATATTGGTTGAAATGAAAATTTAATAAGTGTTTGACTTTCAGAAAAAAAAAAAAAAAACAAAAAAACATGGTAGAAACTTTTATAATGATACCGTATATTATTTGGGATCCTTCCCTGATGTGAAGAGGCATTGGAAGTTATGTTGCATAACGATCTCAAAGGAACGCTGATGGGAGATGTGGTATTGATCACCAAATTCTGGTTGATAATTCGATTTCGTAGTTCTCCCTAGACATGACAATTAAACCATAAGAAATCTGATACCTGCCTCGTACTAACAACTTTAAACTAATCTATCGATCAAATTTACCAATCAAAATTGGTTTTGATGTGATTCGGGGGCTTGCACAGAATGATTCTTGATAAAGGTGAACGGCCTTTGTAATCAAATTTAATATATAAAGCATGCATGCGCGAAAAGTCTGAATTTGGGGTAAATGAAAAGATGAGAAACACTAGTTTGAGTTTTGAGGTCCCTTTCCCCAGTTTCCACTTCTTTCAAAAAAACAGCTCTTTATTATATTTCTGACCAATTCAATACAATGGCCAGGACAAACATGCATTTTTCTTTGTTGCATTACCAAAACCAATTTGGTCCTTTTAATTTAAAATACTTATGAAATTCACATGATGTCTGCTCCCTCATGCTCTTGTGGGATGTTTTTTTTCCCCTCAATTTGTCACATCATATTCCATTTTTATTCCTATAGTTTATCTCGGTTGACATTATGCAGCCATACCTAAGCGACTGTTCCAAGCTGACTCTTACCTCATTAATACTCTTCCGGACTTTATTATAAAGCATTTTCATTTCGTTTTACTTTCACATAGGATTTTTTTTTAATTGAAATAAAAACTTTAAAAATATTTCATAATACTTATGAGAACACAACGAATGTGAAAAATATATTTTTAAAGTTTCTTTTTTCCAATTAAAAAGACATCCTAAGTTAAATCTAGTACGAAATCAAAATGCCTTATAAAAAGGACCGGATGGAGTAGTAAATTAGGTTTTGGTGCTAAAGTAAATGTTGTTCTCTATTAAGGCATCAGACGATCGAGATACTCTATCTCAGTTGTTCCATCAAGGAGAATGAAGTATCAATTCACCAGTGACGCGATTGATGTTCGTTAATATATACATTTCAGAAATCAAGAGTTTGAATCTCATAAACTAAAAAAAAAACAAAAAAAAAAAAACACAGAAAAAACGCAGACACACAATGTTTTATACCTAGAAGAAAAACACAACTAAAGAGTTTGGATTTGGAAGTCAAATTACACAATTGCTCAAATATGGGGAGAAGGGAAAACCATGTGCCAAGATTAAGAGGAATTAAGAGAGCCAACACTAATTGACCATAATACAAGCTGAAGTAAGAAGAGTTCAATTCTTATCAATCATTTCTTGATTTGCTAGCTCGGGGCAGAATCTGTAAGGGATGATATGTTTGGAAGTAGGAAAGTGGAACAAAATCTCCAAAACCACGTTGTCAAATTGGGATTCTCGGGGGTTATCTTCAGACATTAGGAACCTACATTAAGCAAGTTTGCCTTCTTCATCAACTTAATTTAAACATCAACCAATTAACTAGCAATTTAGTTGACATTAAGGAAAGTACTTTGTACGTCAATGTCTTTTGTTTGCATTTGTTGTAAGAGGGAGCATGGCATTAAATAAAATAAAAAAAAAAAGAAAAACATTAAATTCTTCCAAACCCTCCAAAAATTAAATACTACACATGAAAGGTCCTACCAATTAGTCCCCATCTCCTTTCCACCTTCCCTTCCTCATATTCCTTATGATCATCATAAATACCGACCTCCTTCCCTCATTCATTGCAAAAAAGAAAACACACACTCACACACTCACATATTACAAGCTTCAAGCTTTAAGCTCCCAATTCATTTCATTCACAGAGTTGCGAAAAGATGAAGCTCCCTTCAATCTTCAAGAACAAAGAAACAAACCCAACATTATTGAGGCAATTGAGTTCATGTAAGCACCCAAAGACTCTGTCTTTCAGAAAGGAGGATGAGATTTTCAAGACGGTTAACTCTGTTTACTTTGACCCTTTGGATATTGGGATTGGTGACACAAGGGAATCATGGTTTACAAACTCATCAGCATCAGCCAGCTTCTCCACAGAGGAAACAGAGGAGGATTCGGTGGAAGAAGATTCAGTACTGGAGACTATAGTTCGTGGGGCCAGGTCAGACAGGTTGTTCTTTGAGCCTGGATTTGGAACAACAAGCTCAATCTTGGAAGAAGAATCAACCACCCCAAAATCCAGCTGTGAAATGTTTCCATTGAAGGAGAGTGTGGTTCTGGCCATGGAGTCAGAGGATCCTTACTTGGATTTCAAGAGATCAATGCAGGAAATGGTGGAGACAAATGGGCTGAAAGATTGGGAATCTCTGGAAGAGTTGCTTGGATGGTACTTGAAGATGAATGGGAAGATGAACCATGGTTTTATTGTGGGAGCTTTTGTTGATTTGTTACTTGGGCTTGCTGCCTCTTCTTCTTCTGAAGAAGAAGAGTCTTCTTCATTTTTGTCAGCCTCCTCTTCTTTTTCTTCTCCCTCTTCTTCTTCTTCTCCTCTATCCTCAGTCGATCAAAAAACAGATTGATGTTGCAGATTAGAGAGGATGGTGCAACTTTTTTCTTGTAGCTATAATTAGTGTTTAGCATAGTATTAAAACGGTGTATATTATTAGGCCTGCAACATATATCATGAGTGTGTGAGATATGGAATTTTGATCTCTTTTTTCTATCTCTGTCTCTGTCTCTAGCTCAATTTTACTTCATGTCTTGTTAATTAACACTGAACAGAGGGAATTCGGTTCTGGCCAGCCATATTAGCAGGGGAAAATTAACTTTAAGAAGTGGTAAAAAAAGTCTATCTAACATTTTAGATGGTTGAATCCTGATTTGAAGATTGCCATTTCAAGTTGGGCACACAGTAATCCCGGTCCGGGGCTCAAACAAAAACAGAGCCGCAGTAAAGGGATTGATGAGTTTTTGATCGGCCATTGTTCCTCATTTTGTAATCATTAGACAAAACAACTATCTTGCTGTTGCTGACATACATGAGATACACAGATTGCAGTATTTAAAAGGTTCTTCTCGTTTGCCTTACCAATTTGGTTAATTACAAGCCACGGAGGTTAGAATCCAGGAAGAGGAGAGAATGGTTTGTGGACATCATTGATGGATTGGAACAGAGTCGGAACTCGGATGTGGAACTCTGGTGGTGGCCGTTCGTTCGTTTGGACACAGCCTGGACTGGAGTTTAAAGGAAGTTGTATATGGTGTATACATCTTTTATACACCTTTCCCCCCCCCCCTACAATTAACATCTCACGAATGGAAAAATTGGGCCAATCTATCTAAAGTTTGACATGCGTTGTCAATTTTATTTTATTCTTTTTCGATTAGCCAATATCACCATAAACTATCCAACCGTTAGCCAATTTTGTCCAATTGGCCAATTTCCGTTTAAATTAACGGAATTTTGTTAGTTTTAAATATAAAAAATACCCTAATAGTTTTGAAAATTATAAAAATAACCCTATAAATTTGTAAAAATAACCAAACAGTCTTTTATTTAATTTTTTCTATTTTCTATTTATTTTTATTATTTCTTATAATTATAAAAATATATTATATAATCTTTTTTAAAACAATTTATTTATTTTTAAACACTACTGTGCAAATTTATAGATATGTATATTTATAACTCATGGTTGATTTACATAAACATATTAATTTTTTAATAATATAACTTGACAATAATGATATTAGTTTTTTTAATCCTTTTTTCAATTTAAAGAATAATATTTTTTGACTAAAAACCAAGTTTTTACAAAAAAGTAAAACATTTACCATAGATTAAAAATTAATATATTGGTACATTTTAATTTATTACAAATTGAATAAACAAACTATAGATTGTATTATCCAATTCAAAAAATTACTAAACTAAAATATAGTGTACAATCTAGTGTTTAGGGTGTTGAGCTTCATGATAGTAGATATAAGATTAATTCTCACTAAGGATTTTTAACCAGGAGAGTGATTTTAGCTACATTTATGCATGGTTTACTAAAGGTGAGAGGGTTGAGTCGGATGGTCAGGTGATTTAAGATGGGAGATGATTATTACTGTGTTCGAGGCATCAATTCTCACTGGGGCGATCTTTTTTTTTAAAAAAAAAAAGGTGCAGTCCAGTACTGGAGCATATTTTTTTTATTATTATTAAAAAAAATTCCTTGCTAAAGTTAGATGTTAATATCTCAAAAAAATTATCACGAAATGTTAAACTCTCGCAATGATAAATATACACATTTTTTATAAAATATTTTGTACCATTTTTTTACTTTCTGTTTGTACTTGGCCTTTTAAAGAAAATGTATATTTTAGTTTAATTATTTTTTTAATTTTACAATACAATCTAAATTCTGTTGAATTATATTGTAATAATACATTAAAGTATACCAATAAAAAAATTTAATCTATGCTAAATGTTTTATTTTTTGTGCAAAATTAGGTTTAGTTAAATAATCTTATTTTTTATATTGAAAAAAAGATTAAAAAAATAATATCATTACTGTTAAAACATATTATTAAAAAATTAATATGTTTATGTAAATCAACCATGAGTTACGAATATGCATATCTATAAATTTGCACAATAGTGTTTTAAAAATAAATAGCTCTTTTTAAAAAAGATTATATAATATATTTTTATAGTTATGAGAAATAGTGAAAAGAAATAGAAAACAGAAAAAATTAAATAAAAAGTGAAAAAAGACTGTTTAGTTATTTTTACAAATTTTTGGGGTCATTTTTTTAATTTTCAAAACTATTAGGATATTTTTTGTAATTAATTCCGTTAATTTAAACGGAAATTGGCAAATTGGACAAAATCGGCTAACGGTTGGATAGCTTAGGGTAATATTAGGTAACCAAAAAAGAATAGGGTAAAATTGACAACGCATGTCAACTTTTGGGTAGATTGACCAATTTTTCCTCTCACAAACTAATGCTGGTGGTGAAAAAAATCCAAATGATTCTTTGTTGTTTGTTGACATCATTTTTGTTTTCGAGCTCAACAATTTTACCCCCCAAAAAAAAAACCAACAATGGTTCGTCGACTGCTTTATCGAGTCCACAAGATAGACGATAAAGCCGACGAAATGCGAAATTTCTAATTTCTAACTTGAAGAATACATCGTCGACTTCAGCATGGTTAATCTTATCGGGACGACTAGATCGACGGAAAAGGGTGTCGGCTGTTTCGTCGATATAACGTTCCCCAACGTCAATGCCGAAGAATTGTTTGTGCTTCTTTGTTAACCGAAACGTGTGCTTGAATCAAAATGAGGAAGGAAAAAGGAGACAAAAATTGGTTGCTGTCTACCTTGCTGTGTCTAGAATCCACCTGTGTGATTCCTGATCCTTAATGTGCATGTTATAAAGTACTTTAATTTGGTGATTTTTTCGGCAGATGATATGGTTTCATATCCTGCAAATAATCCTTTTGAACTTTCAAGGATTAATATGATCCCCAAACAAGTACTTTCAAACCATGACTAGGAAACAATGTTGTAGGAATCTCTCTTTTTTTTTTTTGATCAAAATGTTGTAGGAATCTCAATTATTAACACTATAAATCTAAAGTTGCAAATTTATGTAGAGGCGCGATACATGCAAGGAAAATTTAATAAGAAATTTTGCAGAAAATGAGATGCCTAATTTTAATTATCCCCTAACCGTTAAAGAGATAAACCCTTAAATAAAAGGTATAAAATGGACAATTATATAATATTCTCAGTTAAAATTATCTGTAAAATTTTCCTACACAAATTATTATCCATTTAGTAATCTGTAAATAGAAGCATGCCCTTCTTCAACTACATAAAAAAGAAAAAAAAAATTTTAAAAAAAGAAAAAAACAGTCCAACATCAAACATTTAGCTAAACTTTTGGTTGTCCAAAGAAAGTACTTAGTAGGTCATGGTTTTGTTTGCATTTGTAGTAAGGCCAAGCATGCATCAAATAAACAATAAATTATTTCCAAACCCCTCCACACATGAAAGGGTCCTACAAGTAGTCCCCTTTAGCTATTTTCCTTTCCACCTCCTCTTCCTCATATTCCTTATGAACATCATAAATACCAACACTCCTCCCCCCTCATTCATTGCAAACACACACAACAGAACCCACAATCCACATCCAAACTGAAAAACAAAAAAAAGGTGACCCCAATACTTTTAAGGAAAAAAAGAAGATGAAGCTGCCTTCAATCTTCAAGAACAAAGAAACAAACCCAACATTATTGAGGAAATGGCATCCATGCAAACACCCAAAGACTCTGTCTTTCAGGAAGAATGATGACATTTTCAAGACTGTCAACTCTGTTTACCTTGATCCATTGGAGAATGGAACAGTTGATAGAAAGGAGTCATGGTTCACAAACTCATCAGCATCAGCCAGCTTCTCAACTGAACAAACAGGAGAAGAGGAGTCAGGGGAAGATTCAGTGGAGACCATAGTTCGTGGGGCCAGGTCAGAAGAGAGGTTGTTCTTTGAGCCTGGCCGTGGAACAACAAGTTCAATCCTGGAAGAACCGAAGCCGGAACCGAAAAACAGCTGTGAATTGTCTCCATTGAAGGAGAGTGTGGCTCTGGCTATGGAGTCCGAGGATCCTTACTTGGATTTCAAGAAATCAATGCAGGAAATGGTGGAGACAAATGGGGTGAAAGATTGGGAGTCTTTGGAAGAGTTGCTTGGATGGTACTTGAAGATGAATAAGAAGATGAACCACGGTTTCATTGTGGGAGCCTTCGTTGATTTGCTACTTGGGATGGCTGCAACTTCTTCTGATGTTGATGATTCTTCATTTTTGTCTGCTCCATCATCTTTTTGTTCTTCTCCTCTAACCTCAGTCGGCCCAAAAGAAAATTGATGCTTTTTCCTTGTAGGCTATAAATTAGTGTTTAAGCAACAGTATGATAAGGTGTATGTATATATTAGTCGGCCTAAAACAAATAATCAATGCATAAGAAATGTGGTTTTTTCTTTTTTATGAGTCTTTCTCTTCCTTTTTTTTCTTTTCGGTTATAAGGGAAAATTTTCATCGCAACATGTTTATACAGGGATATGCCACCCCTACAATGTCAAGGTATATAACCATTGAACTGCACCTGGCGGTGGCGAATCCAGCCTATGGACACCGGGTGGATTCATCGCCGCCGAAGATGCCAAAAAATCAGCTGAACAATTACATTCCCTATGTACTTGACATATAGCTATTAACAGATTGAACGTTGTTCCAGTTCTAAGTTAAGTTCTAATCCATCAGAACTTGGGGAAAAATGATCTTTAAAAAACTTCTTCCGGTAGAGTTATTTTTTTAAGAGTTTTTATGAGCACCTACTTTTTGGCGCACAGTAATTCTTGACTCACGCAATACAGCTCATAGTAACGGCAGCTTACGAATCTTTTTGACGGTCATTGTTTGTCGTTTGTAATCATTTTGACGAAAACAGAAATCCTCGGAAACATGCATAATACGTATGAGTTCTCTAATATAATAATACTGCGGCTGCGCACGTTTGTATCTTCTTATCAGCATCCGAAAATGGTGTATTTACATGTACAACGAGCTAAGAAGCCAGAAGGGGAAGAAAGATGGAAGGAAGATGGTGGATTTATATCTGGTGTCCGAAATCACGGCCCGGCTCGTATTCGTGCCTCTATTGAGGGATTATTATTTATTTAACTGAGATGAAAAGCATGATGCTGGTAGGGGTAGGGGGTGTTTTAAGGGAACATGGGACATGAATTGTGAACAGTAGCGTAGGACCATTTTGTAGTCATCAAATTCACCATATGAGAATGATGGATTTCAGGCTTCAATCAATCAAACCCGGAGCACAGACCATCCATCATTTTGTTTACTGACATCCCACTATAGTTTGCCAATTGCAAATCTCAGGAGACATTTCTCCAGCTTCTGTTTTGTTATTATCATGCTTATTTAAAGGCAATGTAATGCTAGAAACAAGTATCATAGTGATAGACTGATAGGGGTTCTAATATCCTGATGGACAAGTCGTTTAAAGGCAGACTCTAACCTCCTGATGTAAATATTTGTTCTCTTTATAAATTTTTCTTTTTTTTTTTTTCAATATATGGTTATCGTATTACAAAAAAAAAAAGACAGAGAGAATAAGTGATAGGGGTTGTAAAGCAGGATTTGATTTGATTTGGGCTAATAAAGTTCGTTAGATTCTGATATTGGAGAAGAAAGCAATTTGATGTTTCACTTTGTCACCTTCCTCATTGATGAAAAAAGGGTACCACCAAGGTGCCCAGAAGTGAGAGTCCCATCTGCCTACTGCCATTCTTGTGTATATATAAAACGCAAGATGAGATATCTGAGCATCATAGGGGACAGAGAGTCATTTTTTACAACGGGAAAAAATATGTAGCCAAAATTGCCTTGAATAAACTGGTCCAGCACCGCCTGGGAAGCTGTACATTTTCACATGCATTTGGTGAAGATTCAAACCACCAAGGTCGTGCAAAGCACCCCCAAGTAGTCCGATCCAAACAAGAATGAAAGCAAAGAGGAGAAGTTAAAAAAAGGATAGCAGATTGGGGAATTAGTTAAGGAGTTGGGACAACCCAACAGTGGTCACAATGGAAATGGACTCTCCAATTAATCCCCGTCATATCAACATTCGACTATCAGTTTCATAGGGGTGGGAACAATGCACAAACCACTTTAATCTTCAATGTCTCGTACTACTACTGACTACTGTGCAATAAAATTTGGTACCAGGAAACTAGCATTTGCAAGTGGGTAGGGACTAACTCAAGGGTGAAAGCGGCTTTCTCCAGTCTCGGTACTATTGTTCCTGTTCACTGTAATGTGAGAATCAGGTATGAGAACGGCTGCTACGTACGATCTTAATGAAGCAATTTAACAATTAGGGTTCCATTTTATCCAGTAAGACCACTTATTAGATTACAAAAAGTGCTGGGATGTGTGGGATTATGAAGGCTACAAGGTTAAGGAGGGCACTGATAGATCTGAACGCAGAAGTGTCGCGTAGCTTTAATGGGGCTAAAGTTATATTGATTGCTCTCAGCAGGCGACAGAAAAACATAGTGATGTTTCCCTTAAAAACCCGAATTCAGAGAACCCGTTGCATTCAGACCTTAATTAACTTCACAAATGCATCACAATAGTCAAGTAGTGAGACTGTTCGCTTCAGACATTCCACTTGCTAATTTCTGACCTGCGCTCATTATAAATCTTCCTGTCACATACCACAACGAGAATTGCACACCAAGCATCTCTTAATCACTAGCGGAACAAAATCACAAAGCAGTATGGACTCAGATTACCCAGGCAGACTCAAAATTTACCTCCCGACTCTAAACACACCTAGATCACACTTTTGTGGTCGCAGAGAACCTCTCTGCTCAACTGCTCATCATGATCAAAAAACATGCACCAAAAAGATTGCAGCTAAACAATCAAAATCATCTCTATAAAGCTCCTAAAAGAGTGCATACAATCCCATACAACAAGAAAATCCAATTTGCTTGGCTCTAGCAAAATGCAATTGTGCAAAGCAAGTACAGGCAAACAAAAAGAAACAAGCATTCATGGAAATTCTGTAAGTAAAGAAGTAAATATAACATCTAGAACCTCTTGGGCCCAACCACAATTCAGCCCATGCATATATCAAAGCAGCTAAGGGAGATGCAGGAACATGCAACTTAATCTGAATCTTCAAAGGGCTCTCCCTCATCAGATGGCTCATCAAAGGACCGCATATCAACCTGGTATCGAAGGATTCCACCAATGCCACCAAATCCTCTGCAGAATTGAGATCCTTCTTGGGATTTGTTCGTAACAAACTCAAGCACACAACCAAACTGCTTGTACTCATTAGCAAACCACTCCAACAATGGCATTTTGTCCTGAACCTCCAACTCACTCGCTGTAGCTGCGTCCCTAAAGTTGCTCTGGTCAGCCTCTTGCTCCTTGTTCAAATGTTTTATGATAATCTCATTCGTTGAACTGTTTTTCAGCACAAAACGATTGATGTCCAAATTTTCCCAAACAATAAGGGTTTCCACAGCTCCCATCTCCAAAGCTTTGAGAGTGTCATCAACACCAAACACATACTTTCCAGTGTCCTGACTGATTTCCTCAAAAAACTTTCCTATCAATTTCTTCTCTTGTATGAATTTCACATTAGCCAAAATTTCGGCAGAGAGTTCAATCGCCTGATTAAAACCATTTTCCCCTCCATAGGATACATCTACTACATTAAGGATCTTGGTACCAAGACGAGGATCAAACATATCAGATTGGCTCAACTCTGTCTTGAAATCAGCGGATCCAGCAAGTATCAATCCAGAAACATTTGGCTGACTAGTAGCAGGGTTGATGAAGAATTGTGTTGCAAGCTCAGCGGTTTTTCTCACATAATTGTGGCGCTTCTCCATTCGAAGACGAGCAAAACGAAGAGCTGATTGTCCTCCTCTTCCATGTTTCTTTGGAAGGTCCACAGTGAACTTATGAAGTACTTCTCTGGTATTCCCACTCAAGGTACCAAAGAGAGTTCCATTTCCATCCATGACAATGAAACCAAATTTTTCATCAGATTCTAGCAATTCACTTAGTGGTTCCGTATGAAACTTGTTATCACAAAGGTAGAGAGAAGCATTTATAGGTTTGAAAGGTTCAAATGCAAATGTAACCTTCTTTTCCTTCCCGTCTTCAGTAACTACAGTTCCAGTATACAAAACTAATCCATTAGGAGGAACCTTATTGTAAAGTTTAAGCTTCTGCTGAGCAGAAGTGATTGCAGCTAGGACAGACTGACGGTTCACCCTACTCTTGATATTTGATGCCGTTCCATATTCTTCAGCCAACATCTTATTAACTCTAGATATTTGATCACCAGGGGGAATGATAAGGGATATCATGCTCGTGCCATTTCCTCTAGCAGATTCCAGGGCTTTGATTAACTTCTTAACTTTCCAGATTTCAATATTCTTATCATTTTCCCCACCGTCAGCCATTGCAAACTAGAAACCTGAAAATATAAACAGGGTGAAACATGTCAAACCTATCCGTTAGAGTGATGAGAAATAGTCACTGACTGACATTTGCTTAAGGATGACAAACATAGAACAAAACAAGTAATTAGAGTTCAGAAGAAGACAAGCAGAAAATATAGCAGCATCGAATCTAAAACATTAATGAAGGCAATACGTGGCACTCCCTAAGTATAAATCCTCAATAAAGGCAAAATTTAGCTTCTGCAACACTCGTGCCAGATGGAATAGAGTTACCAATTACAACAAAATGCAATCCTATTCATAAGAGAAAAAATCACAAACATGTCCACGAAAAGGCTCATAAGAGAAAAACTCAAACATGCAGTTCAAGAATGATTATGAATTGCTCAAAGACCTTACAAGCGTCCCCACTTTCAACAGTGGTCCTTATTTTGTGGATAATGGAATGCAGTGAAGGTAATTCAGGCTTTAAAAACCCAAAAATAGTGGGGGAAAAACAAACAGCATTTTCAATAGAAAATAGCCGAACCTGAGTCTCCCTTTATATAGTTCCAAAAGTTTTTGTAAAAAAAAAAAAAGATGAGTCAAGGAGTGTTGAAAAGAAGCTCCAGGAAACATTTTTAGAGTTCTTCCCATGCAACCATGAGCCCCAACGGGCAATCAACCTGTCTTCAAGACATGGATTTTAGCTGAGCAGATTGAAAACCTCTTTTGACACGTTTGTGGAAGGGCCCTTTAAGCATTTGGGAACTGACCGGAAGAATAACACTATCAGCAAAAAAGAAAGTAACTATACTAGGAAGATTCTGGCGCCATCTATGTGAATGCATTTTCACTTAAAACCCACAGGACTTGCTATCATGAAACACCAAAAACAAAATTTCCCAAGTCAATTCCACAGCAGGTGTGGCAACAAAGCAAAGACACAAATGGATTTTAAAACTGTGAAAAACATCAATAAATACGAACTCATACATTGTTTAGTTCGTAACTACATATCCGCGCCCCATTTTTATCTTCAGTCACCTTCAAATCTTGAACTAACTTGGAAAAACCCTCAATTCCCCCTATCTAATTTCAGTAGCCAAGCAAAATTCAATCAAATTTTGCCAGAAGAAAAGTCTACTTGCAAGTTCTTAATCCCTTAATTTCAGAACCCCCAAACGCAACGAATCCTTAGAGAAAAGAAACGGAAAACGAAAAACCACATGAGCCTAGCTCCTAATTGACAGATTCGAAGCTCAATCCGGATATCCAATCAGAAACAACGATATAAACAAAACCCACATCAAGAAATAACCGAATTCAAGAATTAACATAACCACATGAACTAAAAACTCCAGCAACTGATTATTCAACGAACAGGAAAAGAAAATAAATCTGCAAGATTGAAAGAGAGATGGATGAATAGGCAGGGTTAGAGACGATACTTTTCGATGAATCTGGGGAGAAGATTGCGACCTTGGGTTGTGGGCTAAAAAGTTTGGTCGGCCTCCACTGAAACTGTAACGACGGGCAGCAGCAGGAGGGACGCAGCAGCAGCGCAATATATGCCAGCTAATACGACCCAAGTAAATATAGGTTCCAATTTCCTTTGTTCCTATCTAGGGTAATTTTTACCCACTTTTAGACTCCAAAATTCTATTAATTTCGTGAAAAAAATAAAATAAATCCAAAAAAAGAGATATGATTTTGAATATAATGATCAGAATGCTTGTTTGGGTTTTTCAAGATTTCACATTGAAATGACTAAAATTTGTTTCCTTATGTATTTATTAATCGAATAACATATTGCTTAATAACTTATAACGGATTATATCATAACGGCGATTGCGGCAGTTATAGTTGTAGTATTGGCGGCGTTTTTCATTAGAGTTGTTTGTCGATTTGTCTTGTACGGTTAAAAAAGATTCAATTATTACAACCGACGGTTAGTGTTACATTCTTGACCAAATCGAAAGCCTCGCATGTGATATATTTATTATTTTATTAGATAGAGCTATATAAGTTTATTAATATGAAACATAATAATGATATTATGGCTGACTATAAGTTGTATTTTGCTGACTATATCATTTTTCATCAATTGACGGTTTTCAATAAATTTAATAAATTTATATTTTATTTCTAAAAAAAGAGTATTAAATATTTTAATACTAAAGACAAAGAAATCATGTGATTTTTAGAATTCAATATAACATTTTAACGTAAGATAATCATTTTATTAACATTATTACTAGTACTCCCCTGCATTGCAATTAAAAAATTGTCTATTGAGAATGGTTAGTGAATTTGCATAGCATAATGGTTAGTTAACTAGTCCTAATAAATTTCATTTCTCATATGCATAGCATGATATAACCCCAAAATTATATTCTTATGCACATTGGTCGATAATATTCTATCTAATGACTATTCACATTACTTTTTCTGTTCAAAAATAATTGTCTACTTTAAAATTCTATTTTCATATATAATTATAATAATAATAATAATTAAAATTGAGCAATCATTTTGAACTCGACGAAGAATTGAAAATTAAAAACAAACAATGGAGAAATAAACTTCGCAAACGACCATCTGTGCCATGACTCATGACTCCTGAGGTCCATGACAGACTCGATTCCTTCGTAGTCTAATAAACGGGTTGGTTTATTAATAGATGTTGGCCCATGTGTATAATTAATGGGATAAAATCATCTCATTGTTTGGGTTGGATCCCCTTATCCACTGCGTAGGAGCCCAATAAATTTCCAATCTATTGCCAACATTGAAAAGCGAATTCACAACCGATTTGAGCCCAAGTTTTTAGTTTTTTCATTCTTTTTGGAAATCATTTACGAATTCACCAGTGGCGATGAATTGCTTTCAGTTTATTTATTTATTTTTTATTTATTTGTTTGGGGGATGTAATATGTTTCACTAATTAAATTTTTTTCTAAACGAAAATGAATTTAATTGACAATTTAAATTATCATCATTTAAGTTCACATAAAATATAAATAATAAACAATTTAAAATATAAATAATAAAATATGTTTCATGAATGTATTACACTAGTGTTTCTAATTTTCTGGTCACGTATCTATTTTGAAGGTTTTTCTTTTTTCTGATGTAAAGCAGGATATAGAAAGAAACATGAAAAAACGAAAATTGATAAATTCATAGCCAAATAGTAGACGGATGGGTGGCGGTGGCGGTGGAAAATTTGGTGTGAAGTAATAAGAAACAAAAGCAGAAGGTTTTAAAAAAGAAAATTAGATCATCTTTTTTGGGGACCCAATCCAATTAAAGCCTAAAGGAGCTAAGAATGTGTCTTCATGGATTTCAGGCATACAAAATGTAGAGAGATAGAGGAGGAGAGATCCATATCATCCTTCTTCATATCATCCTCTTTATTCCATCAATCATTCCAAAAATGCTTTTATTCCTTTCTCTCTTAATAACATCACACACAGTCACACAGTTCCCGATTCCATCATCCCTTCAAAGTCTTTTTTCCCAGACAGACAGTCCGCTCTCTCTTTTGATCATCAGGCCACCCCCCTCTCTTCATTCCTCGTAATTGATGTTAGTTTTTTAGGAGTTGTTTCTACTTTTTCTTTTTTCTTCCCTACCTTTTTCTCTTTTCCCGAAAGTTTTGATTGTGATATTATTTTTCGACATTCATCACACTCTTAGTTCATTACTACTGACTGCTACATTATTATGTAATTAGTGTTTTAGCCTGCTTAATGATGATGACGGATACAGTGAAAACTTACCAAAAGTGATTTTATTGTTTAGAGACACATATCATATATACTTTCTCGGTCTCAAAAAAATAAAGACATAGCAAGAAATATAACAAAAACATAGATCGGTTCATGAAATCATTTTACAATATCCACAATCCAAATCTTTATCATTTCTCAGTTCTAGTAATTACTAATTAGTAGTGCATAATTGATAATTCTACTACTTGCAATCGGAAGCCATGCAAATGTGAAGGACAATATGTTAACAATGGAGAACTATATTCTTTACGCAATTTAGCAACTTCTCCAAATCTATTCATTTTTGCTGAATAAGAATATACTCCCTCCGTCCCATAATTATTGTCCACTTTGTCCAAAAAATTTTGTCCCAAAATTATTGTCCAATTTGACTTTTTATGGATCAAATTACACATTTGTCCTTAGTAAAAAACATTATCCATAAAATCTTAGTAGTTAAACAATTACTTATGTAGGGGTATATCCGGTTGTTTAAGGTAAAATATAGTTAAGTCTGACAAAAAATAAAATCTTTCATTTTAGTAAAACTGGACAATAATTATGGGACGAAGGGATTACTTATTATGCAAATTCATAGTCATTTGGTAGGCACAAATGCAAGATAATCCAATTTTCACTTCACTGTATAATGTGTTATACGGAAAGTAATGATAGGAAAAGGAATGTGTGACCGGTAGCCCTACATTGAAAAGGAATTGGTCCACATTATAGTAAGAATGACTCAGAAGTAAATCATATTCTATAAATCTATTCAATAATAGTTTTTTTTTATTAAAAAAAAAAAAGCCCTAAGATCCTGTAACCATCTCTAAGCGAACTCGATGTTAAGATTCAGAAGAGGCTTAAGCAGCCTATCATCACGATAATGCTTGAGTTTTCGGTTGTGTTTATGTACATCCCAGGTCCTTTTTTTTCTTTTTTCTTTTTTCTTTTTTCTTTTTTGCTTGAATGTAAATTTAGCTAGTTAAAGTTTTCAGACTCAATGACAAAATTTCAAGAATTGACCCCATTTCTTCTTTTCAAAAATAAAAATTGCATTATGTACTGCTTTGTCAAGATTATGTTTATAAACTTTAACTTTCTGCTAAATATATATAAAAATTAGTGCCATCAAAATTAGAAGACACTATTCATTGTTGAAACTTTCTATAAAAGATATCCAGTCCAACTTCTGATTATACATATCTACCTTTATCCCTATGAAAGAAAGTTAGAGTAAACACCTTTAAGTCCTCTTTAACACTCCCAAAAAAAAAAAATAATAATAAAGCCAAACAAAAAAAAAAAAAGAAAAGAAAAGAAAGAGAGACAACTTAGCTTTGTCTCACATGCATTCCACTTTCACAAACAAAAACCAACAACTACAAGAAAGGCACAAAACTCACTTCACATCTACTACTCCTTATTTAGTTCTCCCCTTCTCACTTCCAACCCACCACATTTATCCTCAGCCAACACTCTCCAACAACCTTAACTCCAAATGAATCCCAACACAACAAACCTTCATCTTTCTTCCCTTGTTCTTCTCCATCTCTAAACAATCCAACAAAACCGTAATTTTCTAGACTACAAGAACACATCTAGCTACTTAATAAGAGACATTCATAAGATGAGAACTGGAAGTTATACTCTCCAACAATCTTTGACACCTGAAGCTACACTTGTGGTAAAACAAGCAGTAAGCCTAGCTAGAAGGAGAGGTCATGCACAAGTTACTCCTCTCCATGTAGCTAGTGTTATGCTTGCTTCTTCATCCGGCTTGTTTCGAAGGGCTTGCCTTCAAGCTCATTCACATCCACTCCAATGCAAAGCCCTAGAGCTTTGCTTTAATGTAGCCCTAAATCGCCTCCCGACTTCGACCTCCAGCCCTATTTTAGGCCCTCATTCTCATGTCCCCTCCCTCTCAAACTCCATTGTCGCAGCGTTTAAGCGTGCGCAGGCGCATCAACGCCGCGGCTCTATTGAAAACCAACAACAACCCATATTAGCCCTAAAAGTAGAGCTAGAACAGCTTGTGATTTCCATCCTTGATGACCCTAGTGTTAGTCGAGTCATGAGAGAAGCCGGTTTTTCGAGCACTCAAGTTAAGACCAAGGTAGAACAAGCTGTTTCCTTGGAGATTCGTACACAAACTTGTCCAACTGTTAGTACCCTTGATTCCAAAGAAAGTGTGAAACCATTAGTCCTCGGGAACTCGAGCCAGTTTAGGGTTTCAATCGGAAGAACAACAGCGGAACAAGTTAGGGAGGATGATGTGATGAGTATTGTAGGAGCAATGATGAATAAGAAAACCAAGAACACAATCATTGTAGGGGAATGTTTGGCCACAGCTGAGAGTGTGGTCAAAGGAGTGATAGAAAAGTTTGATAAGGGAAATGTTCCTGCGGAAATGAGGTCAGTTCAGTTCATAAGTGTCCCACTTTTTACATTAAGGAACATTTCAAGGGAAGAATTTGAAGTGAAGCTTGGAGAGCTTAGGTCATTGGTGAAGAATTATGTGAGTAGAGGGGTTGTTTTGTACTTAGGTGATCTTCAGTGGGTGTCTGAGTTTTGGTCAAAATATGGAGAACAAAAGACTAGCTTTTACTCACCAGTAGAGCACATGATAATGGAGTTAAGTAGATTGTTGTGTGGGATAATTAGGCCGGAAAATAGCGGAAAGTTATGGATTATAGGGATTGCTACTTTTCAGACTTACATGAAATGTAAGACTGGTCGGCCTTCTTTGGAGACTCTTTGGGATCTTCATCCACTCACTATTCCTGTTGGAAGCTTAGCACTCAGCCTTAATCTTGACAGGTAAATAATTTTTTTTTTTTTTTATAGGAATACTAAAATTTCCCATGCACATCACTACGTTATTATTTCTAGCGCGTCTCAAAATGATAGTCATATTTGTTGAACTGTTTCTTCTATTTGTCACGATATTTTCTTTTAAAAGAAAGTGGGAACAAGGGATCTGAATCTTTTTCTTTTTGTTCTTGCAGTGATTTGAACCATCATTTCAGAAGCAAAGCAGGTGTGGAGGGGTCCAGTTGGTTACTTTGTAAAGCAGGAGGAGCTGAGAAGAACCTAAACTGCTGTGCAGATTGTGTGGCTAATTTCAGAAGGGAAGCTCGAAGCATATCATCAAGTGACTCCATTACTAATAATAACACAAGCTCCAGCTTGCCTTTATGGCTTCAAGAGTATAAGGATGAGAAGAGAAGAGAAACCATTAATCATGATCAGGTATTAATTATTTCTCTATCCTAAAAACAAAACTTGAACTTGTTTTACAGTGCTGATGGATAGTAATAAATCAAAAAGTTTCCATTATGCTGATTCCTTTGTCATTTTGTATGTGTATAATCAGGAATTTGAGAAGATGAGAGATCTGTGCCAAAAATGGAACTCAATTTGCAAATCTGTTCACAAAAAGCATCCACACTTTCTCGAGAAAGCAACCAACTTTTGTGCATCATCTCCCACTTCCTCTGCCTCAGTTTCTTCAAATGACAAACACAACCTCTCCACCAACTTGCACCATCACCATCATCAAAGCATCCTCTCCTCATGGCCATTGATTTTTGAATCTAATACGCCTAACAACAGCATCCAGTCACCTAAAGAGCGTAAGTTCTTTGTGTCCGAAAGCGAAGTCGAATCATTTGAACCAAAGGTGTTTTCAATGTACAAGCCATCATCAGCTGATCAAACAAAGCCTGAACTTTTATCCAATCCAAACTCAAGTCCTAACTCAGCATCCTCAAGTGAAGCAAGTGGAGATCACATGGAGGCCTTGTTGCCTAGGTTCAAGGAGAATAATCAAGAGAATCATGAGATTCTTTGCAGTGAACTGAGGAAGAAAGTTCCATGGCAAGAAGAAATTATCCCTGACATTGTGAGTACAATCTTGGAATGCAGATCAGGAAAGAAGAACCAACATCCCAAGAAAAACCAATTGTTGAGTAAGAAATTGGATAGAGAAGAAACATGGTTATTTTTCTTGGGGGTTGATGCTGAAGGAAAAGAGAAAATATCCAAGGAACTCTCAAGGGTTATCTTTGGTTCTCAAGATAACTTCACTGCCATTAGTCTCAGCTGCATTTCATCAAACACAAAATCTGCGGATTCAGCGGAAGAAGTGATCAGCAAGAAGAGACAGAGGGATGAACATGGAAAGAGCTATCTTAACAGGTTTTCTGAAGCTGTGAATGAAAATCCTAACAGGGTATTTTTCATGGAAGATGTTGATCAAATTGATTACCATTCCCAAAAGGGTATAATGCAAGCCATTCAAAATGGATACTTTACACTTCCTGATGGTGAAAAGGTTTATCTTAAAGATGCCATTGTCATATTCAGCTGTGAAAGCATCATCAGTTCCTCTGTATCAAGAGCTTCTTCTTCTCCTTCATTGGAGAAAGCCATTGTTAATGATGATGGTAGTACTGAAAAGAAAGGACAGAATAATCCCACATTGGATCTGAACATTGCCACTGAAGAGGACGGAGATGATGATGACCGGAAATCATTGTTCAATCATGAAGCTGGAATCAAAGATTTGGTGGATAAGCAAGTTCTGTTCAAGGCTCTGAAAATGGGAGGGAGCCTTTAATTTGTTAGATTAATTTCTGCTTTCTTGTTAAATCTTTAAGCTTTTTTTGTTTTTTAACCAAAAAATGTTATAGTTTATTGGGGGGTGAGGGACAAATATAATGTTAACCATAGATCATCAAAGAGAATTTACTTTTGGTTTTAACTAAGGGGAGGTGGATATGTAGAATTAGACCAATCATTGTATATTAATTAATTAGTAAATTTTCAGTTTTTTTTTTTCTTTTTTTGTGAGGAGGATTGGTAGTCATGGTAATGTACTAATGTATCTTTACTACTACTTTTTTTTTTTCATCATTTTATTTGAACTGTTTAGTTAGCAAACCTTACATTTCAATTTTAACTTTTATAAATATATATACGTACCAAATATCATTCTCTAATTATTTTTTACATCACCGCTCGCGAGCGCCACGGAGCAACCCACTAAGGCTTTGTTTGTTAGGTTTTTTTATGGTATTTTCAAAGTATTTAAATAATAATTGTCCCATCTCAACATATTTTTTTATATTTTCAATACATTTTTTTACATTTTCAATACAAAAAATACTTAAAAACACACGTTAAAAAAACGAAACAAACATACCCTAAATATCGACAGCCTCCGGAGCATCCTACCGACGTCAGCTTCTAGTACTAATTGGAACTTTTTTATTTTTTTTGGGTTCGGAAAAATGTCAATCAATTGATTTATTATGCACGGAGAATAGTTTGAAGTTTGAACTTGTTGGAGAAATTAATCGTCATTACAATATTTGATAATTTTGGACCGTCTCTATAAAAATTTTATTAAAATTTGGTTGATTGCTCAGTTTTTTAGAGGACATTCAATCACGGATCGAACTATTCTCATGCATAAATTTTTTTTTATAAACGTACGTGTAAATTATTTCACATATCTGTCACACCCCCACACACACACACACACACACACAAACCACTAAAACCTTTAAAGCCATATATTTATTTTGTGAAAAAAAGAATTGGCGTGAAGAATTTCCCATTTGATAATTAAAGTATCTTTATTCTTCCACAGTTTCAAATGCTTTTGAACGTAGCTTTGAGTTTTAAATAGTTTGAAATCCTAGGCCATTTCAAAGTTTTGCATGACTTGTGGACATTTAGAGTTTAACTTAACTGACTAAAACAAAAACATAAAAAACTTTTTATGTCTTAGGCAAAATATCATTATTTCCACTTCTTTTTTTATTCTTTAGTTTTTTAACACTACATATCTCAGTATTCAAATCACTATTTCGACTAATTTAGATAGAGATAAAGTCACTTTTTGGCTACAATTCATCCCTTTGTTTTTTTTTGGTCTGTTAAAGCAATATCCAAGCTTTGAAACAAAACCATACCACTACAGTTTTCCGTTTGAAAAATTACTTTTGTACCTTTCTTAATGACAGGGTTTCATTGCTGCATATCCATTTTCCTCTAATTAACAACCCTAATTGAACGCCTGCTTTTTTTCTTCTTCATCCCCCGGTGGATTGTAACCTCAATTTAATTATTTTCCAATAAAAAGAAGAGAGAGGGCATACGTAAAATAGGTTCCATAATGTATAAAGAAATAATTATATCTCATTTTTTAAATTAAAATTGGATGAACCCAATAATAATCGAATCCTTAACCTCCTCCTCAAAATAACCATCCCCAAACTAACTCGTAACCACGTACTACCAAACTCTTCTCACCCTAGCGTATGTGTAATGTGTAAGTGAAATAAATTAAAGATTCGTCGAGATAATCTTGTTTGCCCCTTTTAATTCTGATTTGTTACATCTTATATCTTTCTGTCACAAAATGAAAGTCTCTATTGTAAAAACAGTTTAATTGAACAAACAAGACTCTTGTTATGTGATGGAATGAGCCATAAAGAGGGAACATTGAATTCAAAATGGTGCTTAATTACGTAGTAAAAGTTGAGATATGGTCATTCAAAATTTCGACACTTTAGTTTGAATGGACATAAAAAGAGAGGAAAAATTTGCGAAAACGGAGATGGACTCATCGAGATTAGAACTAGAAGTAGTCGGACGTCCATCTGGAGAGTATAAATGACTGGAGTGATTACTTGAGGATGAAGGCCGATCATTCGAAAGGGTACGTTGCATGAGAATATAATCTTTTCTTAAAAGCATAAACCATGGGTCCTAAAACTTCCTTTCAAAACTACTAGTACAACATTTACTACTATTTGCAAAGTATGAGAATAAAGTTATCCTAATCTTTCCTTGAATCTTTTTTTCTTTTTTGTATGTACAAACAAAAAAATAAATAATTTCACGTCATTTGTTCAAGGCTTGAAGGAAGCCCTTTAAATAAAAATAAAAAATAAAAAAATTCAATGTTCATTTTCCAAAAAAATTCGAGTTCAAATTTCCCTCCATTGGGAGTTTAATTCATCGTTATAAATACTGTTATAGTCTTCACGATCATTTTCTAGGACTACAATTAATTTTCATATTTTGTAACGTGAGGTCCATCTTGCCTTGCTAAATCTTGGAAGTTTATATATGTTTATTACTCTTTCTTTTACTCAATGTACAATCGCAATAAAACTTGATTTAATTTTTTTTTCTAATTAGAGCAGAGGCAAATACCTAAACAACCATAGAGCCACATCATGGATTTATTACCCAAAATAATATCACGACGAATCGATCCCAAGATATATAGTAATCATTTAGGAAGTCCATTTAAAATTTCATATTCCGGGTACGAAGTTAGCTTCTTCATAAATATATATTTCAATCACACCTATCAATCCAAGCACAACAATTCCCTTATGCCACTTACAATACTTGATCGTTATGTCTGCCTAGATATGCAATCACGCTTTTAACATTATGACAATTCACGATTTGTGAAAAAACAAAAAAGTGGGAAAATAACGCATGAATGAATTATCCTAGTTACCTATAGATGAAAATCACAGGAACAAAACGGTCTGGAGGGAAACAAGTACAGTATTTGGGGTCCCTTAATTTTTTTTTCCTTCCTCTGATTTTCTAGGTTTTTCCCCTAATCTGGGAGGAAGATCGTATTAGTTAATGTAGCATGTAGTTCCTCGTCATATCGGGTCTTGTCGGTTGTTGGCATATAGTACTAGCTAACCCTTCCATTATCCGTATGTCCACGGATAAATTAATGTATAGCCTTTGAAAAAGCACCCTCAATTTAGCAGGCCACATGTTGAAATAACTTTTATGTTTGAATCGGCCTCAATATTAGAAATAACAAAGTGATCAAATCTTTGCGTAATTTTGCCCCAAGGATCGATATATCAATTTTGATTTAGGAGGAAATAATTTCTTTTTTTTTTTTTTGTCAGAGGATCGGCTCGCATGCAGGCACGCAAACAAGAGATCGGGGCAACCTCACAATGTTGCATGGGAAGTTGAGACCCGATTTCTTGAAGAAATGGCTGCTTCACACTGCATGCACATGCCAAAAATCCTTTTGTAGCCCCCTAACAAAAGAAAAAAGATTTATTTATTAAAACAATCATTGGTGATGCCATTATCTTAATTTAATTATCTGACAATGATAACATTCTCTTCAACTTTTTATGTAATAAGGCAGCGACCTCTTTTTGACCATAGTCCTCTCTTCCCCCATTATAATTTTTTTTTTTTTTAAGAAAAGAATTTCAAACGACCCACTAACTAAAAATTGCATCTTGTTTGTAAAAATCTGCAAATAAATAAATAAATAAAATTGTATCAGTTGAGTCTGATGTGTTCTTGGCGATGGATCCAAGGCAATTCATCATGAGAAAACCACAAGGAAAAAAAGAAAGAGAGGAGAAAGAAAGAAAAGAAAAGAAAAGAAAAGAAAAGAGAGGAAAGGATTCTATCAGTTAGTGTATTATTCACTCTCGATCATTGATACAAAATGGCCCCCTGAGAGTTTCCCAGATCCAAGAACTTCCCTTACTTTCATGCAAAAATCACTTCCTATAAGGAAGAAAGGGAAAAAAGAGAAAGAAAGAAAGGAAAAGGCTTTAAGTAGATGGCGACCATATATAAAAGAGACACAACTTCTATCCATCTATCTCTGTGATATCCATCATCTTTCTCTTTTCTTAAAGAGAGTCTGCAAAAGGGATTTCTAAGTGTGGAAACTTTGTCTCCATGCATGCCACCACCCCTCCTCCTCCTCCTCAATCTTTCTTAAATATATACCACCACCCACCACTACCTTTGTTCTTGTTTTTCCTAGCTAGGAGCAATAAAAGACTCATAATCTATTAGTACAATGAGCATTATTAATCAATGACTGATGTGATACACACATCATCAAATATTGTATTGTTTTAGAAAGATATCAAGTAATAAAAGATAATCGTTCTTCTTTTCGTGTATGTCACATAATTAGTCATCAAGTCTCAAAAAATATTACATATGTTTTGAGATTTGTATTATTTTTAATACAACTGTTACAAATCTCAAATTTAATTGTGGATTATTTTTTTGAGACGAGAGAATTATTTTAACATAGATAGAGTGTGTCAAGTAGTAATTTTCTTAAAAAATTAATAAAATTCAACAACGTTTATTTTCCTACTGTGAGTAATATTTAACATAACAACTAAGAGCAATACGAGAGACATTATTGATGACTGATATGTTAATAATAATTATAAGCAATATGGATTGTTATGGTGATCAATAATAACCCTAAAAAAAAAAAGACGGACCCTGAATTACTATCTTTATCATTACTCTCACCTATTAATTATAATAAAGGAAAGGATCTTGATGGGGAAAAATAAACCAAAAAAAAAAAAAAAGAGTAGAAGGTTGTCTTTGGTTGTAGTCTTCACTTGATCAAACTGGTCTTACAAAAAGAAAAAGATGGATGGGGTTTAAAAAAGTTGCATTGCCTTTCAAAAGTACATTGCATAATGCTTTACTTTTATGAGCATTAATTAATAACAAGTCATGGAAAAAAAAAAAAACCCAACTCCAAAAAGAAATATTTAGTGCTTTTTTGCCTTTTGATTCTCCCTTTCTCTTTAGCTTCTTCCCTTTTTCCCAAACTGTAATCATTCTCTCTAGATCATGTTCAGAGGAAACACCAGATCTCATTCAAAAACGGCTAGCTTCTTAGCTTCTTCTCTTTCTGCCTTTTAAAAATTTATTGATTTTAATTACACAAACTTTAGGACTCTAAATGAATTTATATGCCACCTCAATCATTGGTTATAGGAGAAAGTGGGAACAGAATATTAGCATTTGTTTATATTTCCTTGACCGCAAAGTACAACATTCTTCTTTTCTTTTCTGTTTTACACCTATATTTATGTATCTACCAACAAAAGAGATATACTATCGATCTTCCTTTTTGTTTCTCTTCTTTTTACATCAAATTCCCTCTTAATTAGCATTATTAGTTAATTAAAATGGTATACATTTTTCTCGTACATATGTTCATTTTCAATTTTAATATATCCCTCCTCCTCGTTATTGCAGCTGATGTACCACGTAAGATTGTACAGCCAAACACAATAATAAAGGTAAAATAGTAATTTTGGGGAGGAGAGATAATTTCTATGGAATTTATACCACCAAAATAAGGGAGTGCTAGTACTTGGTACATTAAAAACTAGAATACATCAGTTGTACCCAATAATTTTTATTCATTAATATACTTTCACATTAGTTTTTTTAAATAAAAATGCTCGAATTCATATTTTATATTATTATTATTTATTAAGCTCTCTCTGTGTTAAAATGATTGGACGAAGAAGCATAACTTTATTTATTATTAGTGGGATAAATGGATCCAAATCAGGTCTTTAAGGAACTTTTATTGTCTGTCTCCTAAAGGAATGTGTGCCCAATTAAAGAGATAATAGATAGAGAGAAAGTTTGACATAAGAATGACGATTGATTCCATGATATACTATTCTCAAAAAATGAAATAATACGTAGCATGTTTTCTCAAAAGCCAATTGAGAGAGGAGGGGCCAACAAAAACAATGTTCTTGTGTTCCAATTAAATCAAACTCCCTCTATTAAAAAAAAAAAAAAAACTGTGTTTAATGAACAGGAATTGTACAACAAATGGAGCATTTCTATATCGTGCAAGAGGAGAAGCTAGTCCAAAGGATTTTCACATTATTCAAAGTAACAAGTCCAGATCTTACATATATATTGGTTGTAAGTATTAGAAATTCACAATCGTTAAAACTTACAATTAATGTTATGGTGGATGATGATATACAAATAAAAAATAATATTCATCCCTATTTTCAGATAAGGGTAACTAATTAGTTGAATATATATATATGAATCAAGATAAATTTTGTGCCAAAAGAGAAAAGTTTAAACAAAGAAGCCGTCTATATATGTCTAGATGATTATCATTGACGACCGGCGGCTGCTCCGAGGAAACAAAAACCTCGTACCGTTTAGCTGGCCAGCTAGTTCACTTTACGGCCATGCTGGCGGCGTTAAGGTTATGTAATTTGCGTCTTACCCTTTTTCAACCAGAGATTCTGAGCATTTCATGAGCACAATGATGCATTTGCTCCCTCATGTCCTTGGTTAAAACTTAAACCCTTTACCTAATAACATTGTGTAAATGGCTATCATTGATAATTAGCAGTAACATTTTAATCCTTTTTCATGTAATTCATAATAAAATAAGAAAAAAAAAATCAGTCAAGTTACTATTACTCTCGTCCTAGACCAAAAAAATCTTTAATTATTTTAAAATGGACGGAGTACCTAAAATCCCCCGGTTATTGCTGTGACTAATTGAGGTCCAACATATATACAGTGTGTACCAAAATTTAATTGCGTAGTCACTTGCATTATTGCAGACATAAAATTATGCAAATCTGTAAATAAAAGATTGATGATCCTGTACCTATTAGGAACACAAAGCTCGAGGTGAATTTTTGCAAAATCAAACAAATTTAGGCCACTAACTAAAAAAAAAAATTTATGATGCATTGATTTTATTATAAAGGATAAGATTAGGACGTATAGTTTGTCAAAACGGCGACGCGTGCAGTCTATATTTAGACAAAACCCGATCTTCTGTGTTGGAAGATTTCCAATAGCCGCACCCCGCTGTCAAATAAGATTTTTTAAAAGATGTGTGAAAGGGGCAAAGTATGGAACTAATATGGAAAAAGATTTTAAAACGCTTTTTTAGACTGAGATAAACTCAAATAAATTCATGTTAGAAAAAGTTAAAAAGTAAATTAACGGCTTTACTTTGAAATTTCTAGTAACAACAACGTGGTTCAAATCCATAAGAAATTATTGTGAAAACAATTATTTTATAATAGAGGAAATATATTATCTACAGATACTATCATTATTATAATAGGTCACATAATCTCATTCTATGACATAAAACCGTGGCGACGCCAGAAAATCTAGGTTGGGGGTGCGAAATTTAGAAAAAAATTTACTAATGAGCTAAGAAATTAATATATGGGGTGAGAAAATTATAAAATATATAATTTTCTATTAAAAATTTAAGACATCTCTACTAATTACAAAAAATTTTCTATTATAATTTTCCGCGTTAACATTTTTTTCCTGAATGACACAACGTTTTTTGTAAAAGCAGTCACATATTATGTGATACAAAGAACTGGTAAAAATAAAAAATAAAAATGCAAAACATGAAAGAATGATACATTCTTTGTTCACATACTTTGAGATTAATGTACAGTAATCGTTGTTAGTTTAATTTGAAAGATTGAGAACCCATGAAAGTATTTAATTGTTTATGCTTTTAAGAAAAGATTATATTCGATCATGCAAATTGCAAACCTCGACCGGCCTTCATCCTCAAGTAAGTGAAACTTATATTCCCGAAATGTAGTACTTTGAGTCATATTTTCTTGAATTCTGGTTATGAGAATGTTCCATTGCTTTTATTAAAGGAAAAGAATAGAAAAGGCAAGCGATCGACTAGGGTTCTTAGTTGCAGTAAAAGTTCTTTCCCCCCTTTTTCTTTTGTAATAATTGGGGTCTGTCTTAGTTTAAAATGGATAATTTATAAAACTCTATTAGTTAGGTAGCTAGGTACAGAAGGATTATCAAATATCAATACTCTTCATTCATGTCACATACACTAGTGTGCTGTTTGGTTACAGAATTTCTCCATCTCTTAATGTTGCATGGAGAGGGGTGTTCTCCCATATCTTGTAAGCATTACTTTGGACAAATCATTGTAATGTAAAGTTTACGTAGTTATGTATGTTATAATGAAAGGAACATTTACAACTCAGATCGATCGATCGATGTGTTGTTGAACTCTGTATTTGGCTTGAAAAAGAAAACAAATTTTGCTTCTGACTTCAAGACATGATGAATTGGGAAGTAATACAAAAATGGTATGTACCATGCTGTCATGATCTCTCAAAGATGCCCTTAACATAGACCATTCCCTTCTCTTTGAGCTGAAGTTCCCTTCTCATTTGATCAACCTGTTGATCATCTCCTTGAACAATGATCTCTGACAGGCTTCCGTCTTCTGCTACCATCATCTTCACTTTGATCTCCTCCTTTCTAGATGCCTTTGTCCAATAGTACAAACCTCTGTGTAATAAACATGTACTGTATCTATTATTTTTCAGTTTCAAAAGAAATACCAAAGAAAACAATCGATGGAAATTGATACTCACGCAAGTGGACTTAAAGCAGTGAGCCAAAACCAAGAGTTCCCCAGGTCAGGTACAGCTATGGTGAGAACAAGAGCAACACTGGCAAGACTTATGCAGGTACAGAATGTTAGTAGTGCGGCTTGACTTCTGCTTGGGACCATTATTCCTTCAAACCTACGACCGGTAATTCAAATTCCTATCATGAATGAATGTGTGATATAATAATCTACAAATCACTTGCATTAGCATAAAAAGAAGGTGAATATATATAACATACGTGATAGTCTCTCCTCTATCGGACACTGTAAAATTGTTGCGAGTGAAGAATGATAAAATTTGTCCAGCCACCTGGTTGGGCGCTGTCTTCCCATCCCCATCTGTTGTAAATGTCTTTTGCACTATCTGATATAAATACAACAATCAACCAAAACCATCATCAATATTTGTTGGCATCAAAATTTGTTGAAGGAAAAGGCCAATGGTGGGGTGCCTACTGGGGTTTGTATTAAGGGGTGTAAATGAGCTGAGTCGAAATTTAGTCGAGCTAGATAAACCTCAACAATCCAGCCTGAGTAATTCAGCTTAAATTTTTTTCAACTAGCTCATCATACAATATTAATGCACGAAAGGCAATGGTCAGGGTGTGATATCTGAAACAGTGAAGATCATTTATGCGTATAATGGTGCTAAGATAAACAACTCAGCGAGACACCATTACCTGTCCAAAAGTTCTATTTTTGCTTATATATTTCTTACATCAAATGGTTTAAGGCCATCTCCTATTTCAAGACAAGCAAGTTTTGATCGAGCACTAAGCAGTAATAGTAATGAACTTCTGGCGAGTAAATGAATTTGTTTCTAAAAACAGATGAGTTATATAGGTTGGTGGTAGTTACCTTGGATTTGACAGAACGTTTGATGAGGGACCAGAGTCCAGGAACGGAGATGACAAACAATCCAAGGGAAGTGTAATAGCTGGCCTGGGAGTAGCCCACTCCCCCGCCACTCACTACATCACTACTAGCATCACCCAACAGTATCAGCTGCCCAATCTCAGCTGAAGTTGTGAGAGTTTCGTGAAGAGAAGACCGTACTACTGGCAGCACTCGGTGGCGGCTACTCCTTCGATCCAATGACAGGTTTTTGATAGGGAGTCTACATTGCTAAGATAAATAGAATCAGAACCGCTTACTAATGAACTCTGAGATAATCCACTTTGGCACTACATTCCATAATTTTTTTGTTTGATTTCTACTGGAGTAGTAGTACACAGGAACTAGGATAGCTATGATTATGTTCAGATAAACATTATCAACTATCAAACCCCATTCAATGGGAACCAAGAAAAACACATCAAACAATCGAAATTCGAAACACATCATTTCTTACATCTTCAAACGAAAAATTATGGAGCAAAAGACAAAACCCTATGGTAAATAAACATCCAAATTAAGCAGCAGAAGAGTGGGAGTACCTTCTTACTGTAAGTGTCTCCTCCTCCAAGCCAGAAATTCTTTTGGGATAGACATTTGCAAAGTTTAAGCTTTTGCCTAAATGGATAACAAGCATTAAAGCAAAACAATAAAATAACAAAAATAAGGCCAGAACCAAGAATCACCGAAAACACACCAAAATAAGCACAACTATAAGAAGAAAAACGCAAAACAAAATCATGATTCTAAAGCTTAAGTCAGAGGTGGACATACCAGAACGTAGTGGAGGGGAGAAGTGGGGAAGTGGGATGTCCCCCATGAAAGGAGTTGAAGATAGTAATGATGCCGGGGAAGTGGGTTCGCCATGGGCGGAGGTAGTGATTGCTGAGAACCGCCGGAGAGATATTGAGGTTCCAAATGAGCTGAGAAAAGCCATTCCTGATTTCTCCCCCCCGCCAGAAACAGAGAACCGGGGAACAAGGATAACGATGATTTTTAAGGTTTATGGGTCGGGCCGATCCAATTTTATGGCCCTTCTTGTGATCACAACATGATCTGGGCCGTAACTCTTGGAAGTCTAGTGAATGAGTTCTACTCGAGTGAAAATTATAGGGTTAATAATTCCACGATAACTAATAAATTAATTCGACGAGATTTTCTTCTTTCAAACAAATTAAGGTAAACATGATTATTTATGATTTAGTGTCTTTCAGAGCAATGATCTCCCCCCCCCCCAACCGATTAAGGTAAAAATGACTTTTGTACTTTGTACCTTACAGATATGACCTAAGAGAACATAAAAATTATACTCCTTCTGTCCCAAAATTATTGTCCAGTTTGAGATTTCACTTAGTACAATTTGAACTAAAAATGAAAACTTAAACTGGACAATAATTTTGAGACGGAAGGTGTAATTTTATTTTATTTTATTTTATTTTCCTCTTCTTCTTTCAGATCTCAAGCTTTCTACTATTTTGTTTGTAAAGTGCTGTGTCTTTCGCTCTTTCGTTTCATCTCTCATTAAATAACCTTTCAACCCAACGGAATTAGCTGATGTACAACACAGCTATGAAGAATAAACAGAGGAAGTAGGAAAAATTCCTTTGGGGACATCCCATCAAACTAGTTGTATACATGTAACCAAAAGTACACGTACAGCGAGATATTTATTCAACAGCAGGAACAAATACAATCTGGTATTATATGCATATTCCTCATTCTGCAGAGCTAGTTTACATTGATGCGGTTGGATCCTTGCCAAACCCCATCATCGCGTGAGTCGCCAGCATGGATCCCCGGCGAGTCAGTTCCAAGATCCGTCCTATCAGCGGAAACTGCACAGTTTCTCTGTTTTTCAGTGGCTTTTTATCCCACCTGCATGCATTCAACACAGTATCACTCATTGTTAACTTCATCTTTATTTTTCCTCGTCAGATCATGAACAAAAGTAAAAGAGTGAATGGCGCTTACAAATCTTCATGACGGACTATTTTCCCATCCTTCAGCTGTAACTTTATAAGTGATATCATATGTATATCCCTCCCCATGAACTTGTAATATTGCTTGTTGTCCATGAGTATCTGAATCAATTAATGCCACAATAATAATTACCATTCTAGCAAGGAGATTGTGATACTACAAAGCTCGAAGGGTATCATGTAAGCAAGCGCAATGTTAAACCTCTTTATTCCCAGGCGAAATGGTATTCTCTTTGATGCTGTATTCTACAATTCTCGATTCACTGAACACCTGAAATACGGAAATGTCATATCTGATATGATCGTAAAACGCTACAAGGTAGTTAATTTGAATTTAGGCTGCTGCATGAGTAAGTCCATTAAACTTATCGTCATAAGTAGAAAACATAGTGCACCCTAAAGCATATGTATTTAGATTCCTCCCGAGTTCAAAGCCGTGTATTCTAGTATTCCTATGGACGCTGTGAAAAGGAAGGGTATCTTCTAATTCGACATCAAATCAGACAGCATACTTTCAGACATCTTCTAAAGTTTATAATGCCTAATTAAGAAGAATAGTGGAAAAATTATTTTTCAGATTTGAAAAACAGGTTAGTAAGCCTGGCACCTCTCCGATTTCACCTTTAGTTTCTTTCTTACATTGCAACTCGTCTTCATATAGGTTACTGAAATGGAAACAATTCCTAGGAAAGTTAGTTGGGGAATACCTTAGGAATTGAATAAAATGCCGACTTTATCTGCTTCAACCTGCAACAGTTCACATACACGCATAAGATAGAAAATCAAGGGCATTAACATCATCCTACAAGTTACATTATAAACTCTCTTGCAGATGAGGCATACCCTTGAGCACGCATGAGTGGATCTTCAAAGGTTGCATCAGGAGCATAAATTTCGAAATCTTTAGCTGTGCCACGGGATCCATAGCTGAAATAGATGGAATAAAGGTTATCTAAACAAGCTTTGGGATGGAAAACAGCACGAATGAATTCGAAAAGGATACATAATTATGTTGGTTTCTGTTTTTTCTCTATACAAGAACGGGAAACTTGTTCGCGTTCCATTGCTAAATTCTGAGGAGTTTCAAGCCATGGTATCCTTGTGATTCGTTTAATTGATAAATTGACAGAACTAGGTACGATAAAATATAGAAACAAGGTACTGTTGGATGACAATAAATCATCGTCCGATTATAATGAAAATTATAAACAGAGGTTTGATATGCACTAACATCTCATTGGTAAAATAGCTAGCTCCTACTACCACAGAATGCATAGATCATATATCAATTAACAATCAACACTGGCGAGATAAACTAGTATTTCGTCCGTGCAGAATAATTGTTCTGTTTCATATTGAGACACAGGGGGGTGGGACAACTACGAACAGGTGATCAGAAGCGAATGATGATCAAAGAGGAAATTAGAGCGGGAGGCAAACAAGAAAAAAGACTTACATGTTCAAGAGATGAGGAAGAATCTCGTGGAAGGGTGGGTTTGAAGGATCGTAATCGCAGGAACTTTTGGCGAACCCTTCTCTCTGCTGATCCTTGATTGACTGCTCGTCATCAGTACGACCATCTTCACCAGCAGCAACCCCGACAAATAACATGCACAACATGACACCCAGAAGAACAACTAATTTAAATCAAAAGGGGGGAAAAACACATTATTCGAGAAAATCCCCGAAATGAATTTAGGAAATAATGCAAAAATCGGGAAGAAGAATGAAATGGTAAAAACTAAAAAGAGAATGCACCTTTGGAGTACTTTTCCTTTTCCATGGCGGGGAGTTCCGAACTTGTTGATGAGGAAGAAGAATAGTAGCAGTTCTTCAGAGAAGGAAAACGGAGGGAGTTGTAATGGTTTGTTGAACAAAGATGATTCAGAGGTGAAGAAGGTGATAGTATTACAATTACTGGGAAGTTAATTAGACGAGGATATGAAGAAGAAGATTCATTCCGAGGAATTGTACGAGGAACGCCAAGGGAGACAGCAACAGCAGAATAACAAGGGGAGAAAGTCATGCGGCTACGGGGGCTCATACGTGGCAGAAGCTTGTCCGTTTGCAGCATCCTGGTCACCCGCTTCATTTCGTCTCTATTGGTTGTTTGATTTTTGATACACACATATATAATAAGTATATAAAGTCTTAACTCACAAGTTTCAAATCAGAAGCTTCGATTTTTTTAGTAGCTTTGTTTTGTTTGAAATATCAAACTCGTATTGACGTTTGTTAACCTCAATCCGCTCGGATTTGGACCATTCGCGTGCCTAATAATAATCGAAAACCATTTGTGCTTTCTTTGACCTTAATACAACCCTGCGAGTTACATCATTCTGTTACGCATTTTAGGGAGAACATTTACAACTCTCTTTGCACCAAACACATGAATGGTAGGTACCCGTTTCCACAAACATCTCCCAAGTTTTTACAACCAAACCCCTTTTTTCCCCTAGAGAAATTTTTACAATATGACGGTGATGATTCCGCATGTCTCCTCCTACACAACCATCACCCCTTTTTTATTGGATATTGAACATCTACCCTCTTTTTGGCTTCTTTGTTTGAATCATTCCTACCATCCTTCCAAACTAAATAATGGAGAGAGCTACAAAGAATAATACAATCACTACCCCTACAAAGAAATCCAACAACCCATTATGTATACCAAGGACCTCCCAAACCCAAACCCAAAAAAAAACACAGCAACTACAATCACAATCTCTGAGGACAATTCTCGCAGGGCTTTACATGCGCGGGCTGCAAAGTTTATAATTGGATTCCATTTACTTCTCTACCGCTTGGGCTCGTTTAAGGTTTTCCCTTCAAAAAATTCATTCAGCATGTGGTCCAGATCCTCCGGTTTGTATCTGATGTATTTCTGGGGATTCTTTCCAGTCTCAACCAAAGGCCTGCAACAAATCATCACTACCCTACTTTAGAACAACAACAAGACGACTTTTCATATCCATAGGTTAAGAACCGGATCTCTTGCATTCATTCTCAAACAGAGTCATTCTAACATTTTCAGGTATATAGGCATATGCTATCCCATTACGATGTAAGACTGTAAGAGAACGCAAACTTTGTGAATGTGTGAGGAGGTACATTACCCAAAGCGTTTTAGGAAAGATCTGTATGCTGGCAGTAAAACTTCCGCAACAGCCAGTTTTAAGGAGTCACGCAGCTCCGTATCAGGGACAGTCCATTGAGTTTGTCTCTGATGGAGCTCTTCGAATTGGATATTGAATGACTTCAACCTAACAAAAAGAAAGTTATTTTTAGCACGAGACACAAGTTGAACCATTGATTTACATTAATTTCAACACGAGAGCCAAGAAAAGCATCAGGACGTACCGATCTTTAACAATTGCTCTTGAAACTCCGCTGCTATTTCCTCCATCAGCACTAACTGAACTACCACCTGATGATGTCAGACCTTGAATGGAAAGGCACTGGAGAATCTACAGGAAGGAAAGAAACAAAAACAATACAAACTTAGAACAAAGTACAAGGTAGATATGCAAAAAAGCTTAGGCTCTGCAGAGCTCTCCTGAAGTCCTAACTAAGAGAAAACTCAAACATTCCAAACTGATTTCATAGATATAAGGAACACCCAGCAGAATATCCGATCTTGCAATGGGGAGACAGATATAATTGTTTTCAACTTTCTCTATGGTGCGCACGATTCAAGAAAATCCAACATATAGCAAGTTCGCAACAGACAAACAGCAATGTCTCAGGACAGAGGGTAAAAAATAGATAATAATGGCACAGTGGTAAAACCTTGGACCAAGCAATCCTCTTGTACTGATTTGCATGTTGCTGCACTGTTCTCCTATGTCTTTGCACCCAATCATCCCCCAACAGATCTTTGGCTTCAGACCTAAAAGAAATTTTGTACACATAAGCACCACCTTGCAGCAAGAAACGATAACTAGGTCCAAAATATTCACAAAACAAAAGACAAACGAATCGAACCTGCGCACAGATCTGACCATGTAGTGGATGTTATTCATGAGAAACAAGTTGCTAAGTGCAGGATCTTTATACTGCTTGGATTTGCCATCCAGATTGTTTTGCAAAGCCTGCATTATTCTCATTGTCACTGCAGCTAATTCAGTGTTTGAGCCATCTTCATTTTCAACTTCTTGGAAAAGCTGCTTTAATGTTGATTGGTAACTGGAAAAATAAAGTTGAGAAAGTTGCATCAATAAAACTGTGGAATTTATTTCAAATGAATACACTTAGACCAGTTCCACGGTAATGAAACAAATTTGTTCTTAAGTTTCACAACGCAATCAAATTAATTCATGAGCAGAACTAGATTAGATAAGCTCAGACTAATACAAAAAATATGCAAGCATATATTTCTGCCTCTACTCCCAAGCATGAAAAGAATTTGTTAAGCAGTCGGCTAGTGAACGTATGTACAAATTACAAAAGGGCCAGCAAAGTAGCAAGTTTCACTTACTCGAACAGGAACTTCACATAGTTAATCACATAACTTGTCAAGGGATGAACAGTTCCATCTGCAACTGCTGTTTTTGTAGCATCTTTTTCAACTGCTTCTTCAAAGTCACTAAATGTATCTTGTGCTGTCCGAGCTAGACGCTTTGTCAAACCCAAGGCAGATTCTCTAATCTCATTGCAAGGTTTACCTCTGAAAAGACTTTCGATCTGATTACACAAGAAAACAATTCTGAAGTTACAAAAATTAACTCCACCATAGTGCATAGTTCATCTAGGAGAAACAAGAGACATGTCACGCAACAATAACTAAAGCCCCCAAAAATAAAGGTGGAGTGATATAAATCAAGCCCCCACCCAGAGTTAAAAGTCTTCCATGAAAGATTATGTTGCATACCTCAGAGTGAAGCTCTCGCATTATTTCATACATATCAAGCAGCACAAATAACTTTTCTGGGGATCTCTTGCTTTTAGCAATTGCATCCCCAAAACTAAGCAGTACAGCAACACTCCCGGCAGTGACTTCAGCAAAACACTGGTCCTTGAGGGAGTCAAAGCCCTCAAACATTTGATCACAAACCTTGCGTTCCCCAGCAAATAGTAATTTGACCTGTTCAAAAATTATTAGCTACTGCCTACTAAGCAATTAAAAACACATAAAAGATAGTGTTCAAGAACCTACAGCAATCCGCATAAAATGTATCCAGTTCCCGATCTTTGCTTCCAAAACTTCCCACTGCATCTTCTGAACGTCATCTTTGCTAAGTTTCTCCACTCCCAGTTTTCGTAGACTTTCTTCGAGAACAGAAGAACGAGCATCTCTGGACAAGTCCATTAATGAAACGGTAAATACAGGATTATACTGTCATCGCATAAGCACATCCTAAGAGTTTGTAAAATAAGTAGAAGCAAAAGTCAAATGACCAATAATTTAATTAGGCCTTTGCATGTTGAAGGTTCTATTAATTCACTGGAAGACCATAAACAGTATCAAGTATCATGCCACAATGCAAATGCCCATATACACAGATTTCAAATCTTCCATGTGCATAGATGACTATGGTCAATTAAGCTGCCTCAGTATTAAAAAAGTAACAGCATCAAAAGAATTTCAATCTAAAATGTTCAAAAGTAAATGCTATAATCAATGGCATTGAATTATTTACTTTTCCACGTATAACTCCATGAAAGGAGAGCTAAAGATAACGGCTTGTACCAATTCAACCTTGAGTAGAAACAGAACTTTCAGAACTGAAATCACATTGTTCAAACCATAAGTTCAAAAGATAGCTGACGGAATAATGGAATTATCAAAGAATAGGCAAGCTCTTTCAACTTTTCCTGTACCTCACAATGGCAAAGATAAGACCATATAATGCATTTAAAGTCCCCTTGAACAAGTCATGTGTGCAGATAAAGTTCCATGAGGACCATCTAAACGATACAAGTCATATTACCCAAAACTCCTAGCCAGTACCAAAAGCCGGTCTTTAAATTGTATATAGCCCAGAACTAAAGAGAACTTGAACAACTAGCCTATAGCAAAGCATTTTCATGGAAAGCTTCAATTCCTTAAGAAAAGTGGAGCTTTCTAAGAGCTCATTTAATTAAAATATTGCTTCTTTCTGAAAGCTGAAATAGAAATATTGAATTCATTGAGCCATTAAAAAATATACACTAAACTCAATCTTTAGGTTGTATTTTGCCAGAGTAGTCTAGGCACTTCTTAATTCATCATGAAAAGATCAATTTATTGGTTACCAAACATTCTGAAATATAGGAACTCTTGAACAAATAATTTCAAGCATTAATAGGAGTTATCAAACAGCCCATATCAAGTCTTTCTGCAGAGGAACATAAACTATTTGTGGAATATTTTGCTCCACAGATGACCTTATTTACCTGTAAATTTTAAATAATTGTTGCTGATTCCCAGCTTGAACCATTTGTACAGCTAAATCATGCAACAATGGCAGAATCCTTGGTGGTATAAGAGTTGGCAGTGTGTAAGTAGCATTCTCTGCATTAATATGGTGGTGGTCATGATGGTGACCATTAGCTGAAGGATTCTTTCCATTTCCATCTCCATCAGCTCCAGCTGCATCAGATGATGGTCGCATAGCACTAGGAAGGCCTTCAAAAAGACGATCCGGTTCGATAGGTTTGCTGGAAAAAGGATAATTTAAATTGAGAATGAACACAAATAATTCAAGATCCAGGAGTAAATGGAATAAACATTCGAGTTTAGAAAATTATGAACATAAGAAAGATCTCTAATAGTGCATGGCTGAAATTCCTTTAACACGCTGGGGAGTTAGCCAAAACTATTAGGATAGAACTCTAAATGGAATAAGTAATAGCATAAAAAAATAAGATTCCCCAGGTTACCTGTAAGATGCTAACAGCTGCTTAAATTCCTCTTCCAGCTTTGAAATAGCCGTCTTCAGAAGATTATTAGCATGGGTGATCACTCCATCACTGCTTTTGAAACTTTTGTTACTGCTAAAGAAGCCTATATTTTCACGTAGCTGTTCAATTGCGACGAGATAAGTTTCAAGATCCTCATGTGGACCTTTAAGTATTTTGGCCTCTGCCTGCACGTGATTTAAGGACGAAGCTGCTGAGTAAGGCAGTAATGAAAGAACTAACAAACAAGATGGTTGCAAAACGATAAAGACAAAATACAAAAACTCTTAAACGCCTGATTTGAGTCAAGCGACTTCATTTCAGATGCAAGAGACGTCTAAATTTCACGTGTAATGACCGGAACAGTGTCAGATCACCATGAGGAGAGATATGGGAGACATAGGCCATCACTAGTGCTTATGCTGTTTAGCGTATCTGGTTGAGCTCTTTTGTGAATAGAAACGAGTAATCTCCTCACGGTAATCCCCTACAAAAGTGGCCTATGATTTCATTTTTATCAGTTGCATTTTGAAGTAACATTTTTGGCCAACTTTGTAAAGTTTGTGGTTCTTTTGTTGGCTAGTGGTTACAAATGCACAAATTTTCATCACATGTACCACCATTATTTGAAGGGTAAAATGAGCAAAACCCAGAATTCAGTTAAAGATAAATCATGGTCAAACAAAAATGTTAAAATTTTCCATGAGACGGTATGCCCACTTTTAATCAGTCAACATGTAGCTAGAGGGAACGAATAAGGTATAGTTTAAAGTTCTTAATCACGACAAAATTCTAATGAATGAGGTAATCAGCATTACATTTTTCAAATTTGCCAACAGAATGATGGATATACCAAAATTACAATTATGTAATGAACACACGGTAAATGAGGGAGCTGACCTGACGAGTAAGATCAAATTGGGACAATATAACATCTGCAGACTTCAAAGTCTTGTCAATATTCTCATGAGCTCTCCTAATAGCATGAGTCCTAATCTGTAACATTTTTGCCAATGAGTAATAAATTAGCGAAATTGAAAAGGAAGACCCATTTATCCAAAAAAAAAAAAAAAAAAAAGAAAAAGGAAAACCCTCCCTAATGTCATAATCACTAATATAAGCTTCAGGAGCACAAAAACATCCCACAAATATAAGAAACAGATCCACTAAATAGGTCAAATTATCCTGAACTCCACCGTTAAATTTAACCTCCTCCAAACTAGCAATGTCTAGCATAATACACCTCAGATCCTCATTATTTCTATATCATTTTACAACTAAATAAGGTAACGAGCAGCTCCTTGAGCTTTACAGCGAAAGGCCGGGAAAAAGTAGATCCAAAACACCCAACTATCCGTTTACTATTCCCCCACACCAAGTCAAAATCACCGTCAATTCTTGCTGAGGCTCCTACTGCCTTTTTGCCCCAATTATCAAAAACTACATAATCAAAAGATTGACGAAACTAAAGTAAACGCAAACCAGAAGCATCCTAATTGAGGCGAGACAAAGAGGGGATCAACGAAACAAACCTGAGTGGGGCGCATGGCGGTATCAAGAGCAGTGAGGCGATGATCGAAAGAACCCAAGATTGTAACCATGTTCTCAGTAATGGACTGACTCTTGAGCAGCGATTCCCTCATCTTGGATGCTTTTTCGCTCAGCAAATCCCCACTACTCCCACCGGTGGCTGCTGACCCAATCGGAACCCCCATCTTGACTTTTCGAATTCGCTCTTCAAAGTTGAAGCTACTTCAAATCTTCCCCGCAGTTGTTTCTTCCCTGAGAAGAATTGATAAAATGTAGACTCGTTCCGACCCGTTCTTGAGCTTCGGGTTGAAGGAAGGAAAACGGAGGAGGGGGAAGCAAAACAGAATTTTCACAATGGAGAGAAAATCAGAAAACATTACCAAAAAAGAAAGAGAATCAGTGTGAGTTGGTCAGTTATATGAGTTGGCCTGGTCCACATTTGGGTATTATCATTTATTTATTTATTTTTGATAATATCATCTGAGTAAATTTACGCTTACAGTAACTTTTTCCTTTATTGATAGTTTTAGAACTTTGAAAAGCTAATATTCCAAATTAAAAACAAAAATTCTAAACTGCATTAAGAATTCTTTAGATTTAAATTTGGAAGAGCATATTACAGCAGATAGTACGAATGAAGAAATGTAGGATAAATGAAAAAAAAAGAATATTTTTAAATCGTTACTTATACAAACTCTCAAATTTTTGGTTGGCATGACTAATTTAAATATTGAAGTTACTAATTCAAATACTGATGAGGTAAAATGATGGGAAGATGTAAATATAAGTGATAAAGAAAGTGTTGTCTCATTTTCTTTTTTCGACTGATAAAAAGACTAAATCAAAGGGGTTGTGGTGGAGTAGTAAGGACTCTTCCACCTTTAATCATAGGTCGAGGTTCGAACCTCGTCATTGACATAGAGCAACATTTAATTCTTTGTTCAACTCTCCCACCCATCGAGATGCCTACCATGAGCAAGGGATTAGTCACTGTTACTAACAGTAGATACTCTGTAATATGTAAAAACAAAAACTGATTAAAAGACTAGAGTATTATAGAAGGGTACTACAATACTAAAGTCCTAGCCGTATACAGAGTACTAGTATACTGCCTCATCTACCTATTGACCTGTGCAATATACGGTCAACCGACTACCAACTCACCGATGCACCTAACGTACCCGCAGTTGCCCGGGCCGGCGAAGGTCCTGGTTGAGTTTATAATTGAAAAAAAAAAAAAAACCTAGTAAACTGCCTTTAAACCCAAAAAAAAAAATTATGAGTAAGGAAATTTTGTGATAAATATTGCAAATTCATACACATGAGATTATGTTGAAAGAAATGTGGTGCATATTTGTAGTTTTACTTTAAATATTTGGCAAAATGTTTTTAGAGAGTTTTATCTCGAGATCTACCCATCTCAAATTTAGATTAATCACAATTATAATTTTGGATACTAAAATATAATATTAAAAAAAAAGAATTTATTTACTATTTTAGTATAGGATACTAATTATAAATTTTAGAGTTCGCGTTTGGGAATTGAGGGGTGTGCGGATTATTTAGCAGTGAAATCAAATCTAAAGATGCCCATTAATTAATCGATTTGGGATATAAATGTTGCATACAGAAATTGGGGAACTTTATTAGATTCATATTCTTCCATTTTTCAACTTGTTCACAGTAAATTTCTCTCAAGCATAATTACGAGTCATTTATGTATCAAGTGTGAAATTTATCGTTAACAAAAAATTCTTCTTTTTTTTTTTAAATGAAACTAAAAGATTATAACACAAGTAGTTAGCATATCAGGAGGCAGCGGCAGAACTAGGGGGACAGAGGGGTGCGGTCGCACCTGATCAAATTTTTTGTAATTAGTAGAGATGTTTTAAATTTTTAATAGAAAATTATAGCCTCCTACATTAATTTCTTAGCTCATTAGTAAGTTTTTTCTAAATTTCGCACACCTCAACCTAGATTCCCTGGTTCCGCCACTGTCAGGAGAAATTACGTGACCGACTGGTTCGATGAAAGTGTCAATGCAAGGATTCACTTACGTTCCGTTACACAGCATTTTACACCGATCGGAAGTAATACAACTACTAATATTGATTATACGATGAAATGTAAGCATAATACTTGTACAACTCACACAATAGGTAGCTTTTATATATTTTTGCTACGAAAAAAACTATTAAATTATACTTTAATAAAATAACATTTGTGTTTTAGAACAAGGGAACAATAATGTATATATCCCAACGTTTATATCCTGCTAGCGAATTCATTCCAAAGTTTTAGAATTGGTTAATTACGTCTCAAGGTTATCAAAATTGAGCAGATCCATTCCATGATCTGCAAACCAACAAAGTGACCTGGAATAACATTTAAATTCATTTAGATTCCATATTTAATATTTTTACTTTTTTTTTTTTTGAATTTTTGAATTTTTTTTAGTTTATTGAAACAAAAAAAAATTTCATACATGGAGAAATTAAAAATTTTAATTTATTTGTAATGAATCTAATTTATTTTATAATCAGATTCATCTTAATTTTTTGATAAAATTTAAAGAAATTTTTCAAAAAAAAATTCTTCATTTTGAGCGAAAAATAGAATGATTATGCATTTATACACACCCACACACACATATATATATATATACATTTATATATATATATATATCTTGTATTCAAAAATTAATTAATTTTGAGTTTATTCAAAATTTAAAATTATTTCATTTGTGATGCATAAATTATTCTGATTATTTAAGTAAGTTTTTTCGAGTTTTTTAATCAAAAAATTTTGTTTGTTTTTTAATGAACTAAAAAATGACAAAAAAAAAAGAGAAAAAATGAAGAGACCTATAGATTTTTACATATTATATCAGGTCATTTTTGTTGTTTTGCAGGTCATGGGATGGATATGCTCAATTTTGATAACCTTGAGACGTAATTAACCAATTCTAAAATTTTAGGATGAATTAGCACACTGATTTAAACGTTGGGATGTATCCACTCATTCACCCAATAAGAACAAAGAAAGTAACATATTGTTCAAAGTTCAAACCGAATAAAGATAAAATGACAAGATAGAGAGGTATCATTAGCCAAAGTAGGCGCAGATGCCGGTGGGATTATCGGGACCAAATATTCCACGATTGGCGCATCGGTAAGCCCCGCACTCGGGATGTCTTTCAGGGTTAAAACAGTCTTTATCCCCATTACACAGCACCTCATCACAAGCCAGCGATACGTCTTGCAGCATTTTCCTCCACATCATCATCTTTTTCCCTTTGATCATCACAGTTTCCTTCACTTCTGATCCTTCCGTATTTGCTGTCAGGGACACAACTGCGATCGAGAAGAGGAAAAACAAAATAGTAAATATAACTTATAATTTGATGCTTGTAATAATAAGGAGTCAATATTAATGGGAAAACCCCGATTAGAAAATGAGGGGGAAAAAACATAGACGTACAAAATGATAGGATGAACAAAAATGCTAGGATGTTGCGCTTAAGTGAAGCCTCCTTCTCCATGTTGTCGTCTTTTAATGATGATCTATCTCTTTGAATTCAGAAGTGCATATGCTTAGTGCTTAGTTTGATTGGAATGTTTTCTGCCTCGATGGGTTTATATACGAAATGATTTGGACATTGTGGGTTCGGCGCATGGATGTAATATCTCACCACAAAACTCCAAGGCTGGCTAGTTAATGTATTTATTTACTTCTGCTCTAAATTGACTGAGTTACGACAACCTTCCAACCGATTTGATGTTGGTGCGATGAAGTTACAATCAACCAACTTTGCCGCCCTAGCTACTTGTCCTTCACCGCTATATACAATAAAGGAATTTTCATAAAAACCTTTGCTTTGATCGACGGCGTATTATTCCACTTTACTTTGAAATGTTAGTAGTTTTGTCCATATTAGCAAGCAACTAGCCAGGTAATGACGATTAAAGTTATTATGTTACGCTTTGATGTTACTTTCTCTGTTCAACTATTTAAATAATTGATACATGTCTAATCATTGGCCATCCATATAAGTTTGCCTAACCATTTGAATAAAGTGTTTAGTATTAATAATATTGGTTTAGTTAGTGTTGCACTTGGTGTAACACAAATGTGTCACAAAAAATTTAAAATTAGTGATACATATTCCCTCATCCCAAATTTATTGTTTTAATTTAGATTTTTATTTTTATTATAAATTAAACTAAAAGTGAAAATCTAAAGTTTGAGACGGAAGAGAGAGTAATTATTTTGAAGGCTAATGAATTTATATAAAAAATGATTAACTTCTAATTTTTTTGTGAAGTAACAGAGTAATACCGTAATATCAATGGAGGAACAGTCTCTTTGGTAAAAAAGGATAAAGTAAGGTACAAATATCTCTCCTATTAAACTAAGAGGATAATGTAAGGTACAAATATCTCTCTTTAGCTAAATAAACTAAGTAACCTCCCTAAATTAATTTTCTATTAATTAATAACCTCTATTAAATAATATTTTTCTCCCTTCCCAACTCGGGACTAGTACAAAAATTGAAAAAACTCGATTAATTTATTAAATAATAATTTTTCAAGATTCTCCTATGTATATATAAGTTCCCACAATTTCATAAATGAATAAATACCTAAAATAATAAATTAGATTTGAAGTTATACTCAAATTTTAACTTAAGTAGTTTTGTTTATGTTTACAATTATCATGTTTTTGTTCCATTAAAAAAATTATAAATTTGTTTATGGCTAGAGGTGCAACGAACTTTTCTTGATATAAAAATAATAAATTTTTGTATTTCTTACTAATAGGATTGAAAAAACTCTTCAAATTAATAAAATATTAATTTATATCTATAAATTAATAAATTTTTGGAAGCATGTATTAATTTAGAGAAGTTTTACTGTATGTGATATTTCTCAACGATGATATAATTTTTTGAAAAAAACTCCAAATCTTTCTAATTCATAGAGTGTTGATGGCTTTAAGCTTTTAGACCGACGCATTTTTAGAATCGGGATTCTAACTAGAATTATTTTGGAGTTAGAATTGCGAGTCGTAGAATTGTATGTTAAAATCGTAAGATTGTAAGAAAAGTTTTGTCAAATTTAATGTGATAGTAGTTATTATCATAAAAATTACCTATGTAATTTAAAAATTACTTTCATTCCCATCTATACTTTTTCAAATACAGTTACTTACATTTAGGTACTACGTGTATCAATAGTTACAGCTTGGTAAACAAATACACAAAATAAAAAATCTCAAATCGCAAGTAAATACACAATTTCAAACTCCAATCGTTTAAAATACAACATTTACCACCATATCCTAAAAAGCCACCATCAAAACACATCATAGAAAAACCAAATCAATGGCACCGGCGGCAAATCTGATACTCACCTTACTGGCACGGTGTGCCGCTTCAAATTCGGACCGGACGTTGATTTACTCTAATTTCTTCAAGAGAGCTCCAATCAGAGTAGATTTACTCTAATTTCTTCGATTTGAGAGGTTGATTTTGAGTTTGGGGCTTAGGGTTTGCATAGAAGGAAATGGTGTGTGTGTGTGTGTGTGTGTGTGTGTCTTTTTTCCGACGGGGCGACGGTGGAGTAAATGATATGAAACTGTAAAAGTGATGATGTGTTATGTATTGTAGTAATTTTTTTTTTGGTGTGCACTTAATTTTTTTTTATTAGTAATTTGAAGTTTATAAATTGTGTAAATTGAAAATTTTATACCCAAAATTTCAGCCAACAAGTTTAATTCAATAAAAAAAGACCAAAAAAAAACTTAAATAGTAAAATTTCTTAGAATCGCATAGAATCATATAAAATTGTAAGATTTTAACATTTTTAAAGATTCTAGCGAGACTCTATAGATTCTAATACACGGTAAGATTCTAGTAGACTTAAAATCGTTACAGTATAATAAGTCGTATAATCATAGATTTTAAGACTTAAAGTCGGAATTTTAAAAACTTTGTTCGGACCTTCTCTGTTGTCCCTAAAAAAAAAAGAAAAGAAAATGTACAGTACCCAAATTGAAATATACTACTGGAGCAACATGCAATAGTTGTTGGTCAAATTTATAATTTGATGCATATTAAAGGGACATATGTGATAAATTATGTGATTGGTGAAATGTGGCAGCTTTGATGTTGTTGAAGGCTTGAAGCTGAAGGTGATGATGAAGGGGAAAATTGGAATATTATTAAGTGATGGCTTTATGCTTTTGCCGATCCATTATCAATTCTCCTCCATTCTCACGTCAATCCCCATTCCCTCTGAATCACCACCAAAAAGCCCTTTTTTCACCTTCTAGATTCAACCCTCTTCCTTTTGCTTCTCCTTCTTCTACTTCCCTCAAAGCTTGCCAATTTACTGCTCCGACACTCACTCATCAGAAGAAACCCCGTTTCAGGGCTTCAATTTCTACTCAATCGTCATCCATGGAAAACCCACCCCAAGGTTATCGAAGAAATGTTGGTATCTGTCTCATGAATCCCTCTTCCAAAAAGGTCCGCTTTTGCTCCCTATTTACTCTACTGCTATTATATGTCTCTGTTTTGTAGTTTTTTTTTTTTTTTCACTCCCGAAGAAATGAATTTCATGGTGAACTCGTTGTTTGTTTGTAGATTTTTGCGGCGTCGAGACTTGATATCCCGGACGCTTGGCAAATGCCACAGGTATGTCCTTGAATGCCAATGTGTACATATGCTGGGCTGGGGTGATTTATTTTGTGATGTTCATGTAAATTCAGTTCGCCGACTATAGGGATTAAGGATTAGGCTCCGTTTGCGGGTCTGAATTCAGTGAGATGTAATTGTAGGCAAAAGTTGAACTTAGCTGTTGAAAGTGTACTATTTTGATTGGAAGACTGATCTGAAATAGCGTTATATGTGTTCTGCTTATGTCTATTATCAAGTGAATGTTTAAATTTTCCTTCCATGCTTGTTTGTTCATGGCATACTGTTTTATGTGGCAGGGAGGAATTGATGATAGTGAAGATCCAAGAACCGCAGCAATGAGGGAATTAAGAGAAGAAACTGGAGTTACTTCAGCAGATATTGTCGCTGAGGTCTGTTGCTCTATGCCATTTTTTTCCTATGCGTTTTGCATTCTGTCAAAAGAAAATGTTGGGTCCGGATCACCTTTATTGAATGGATTTTCCATTTCAGCTAACCAAACCATTTAGTTTCGGTTTTAGTTAACTGATGACACACACAAAAGGCAAAATGTTGAAAGATAGTTAATAGCTTCATATTGGTTTTGTAATTAGGACTTCAATGTTGAAGGATATCTGAAATTGTGTGTAAAAAACTCTCGAAATCTCTAATTACATGTCCCCAACATTATGAGATTGGTAACAGGGTAATTCTGAAATTGGCTCCCAAATCGCAGGTGCCGTATTGGTTGACGTACGATTTTCCTCCAGAAGTGCGGGAAAAGTTAAAAGTTCAATGGGGATCAGACTGGAAAGGTCAAGCACAGAAATGGTGAGCTCATATCTTTGGTTATTTATCGGCATTTGCTTTCAAGTAGTGTAATGTCAGCATTGTGTCTTATATGGTCTGGAAATTAGTGTGAACTTTCTCATGTGATGATTATCTTCAAGCTAGAAAACTCGCGAGGTGATCCAAACTAATACTGTACGAAGAGTTGATCCTGAAAATATGTGCATTGCTTTTCATGTCTTTTCTAAATTCTAGATTGAAATTCTGTTGATTTGCGTCTGCTGCTCAGTTATTGTGTTGCTTCCATGCTTGCATTAACTCTCTTGAGTTTACAATTTAACAAAATCAGGTTTCTTTTCAAATTTACTGGAAAAGATGATGAGATCAATCTTTTGGGTGATGGCACTGAGAAGGCTGAATTTGGGGAATGGGCATGGAAGTCACCAGAAGAAGTCATTGATCATGTAAGTGATTGTCAAGTCTAAACTCTAAATAAACTAAGCATTTTACTGTCCGCACTAAATAGTAAGACCTGAACATATTGCCAAATCCTCTATGCAGGCAGTTGATTTCAAGAAGCCTGTGTATAAGGAAGTTCTGTCAGTTTTCTCGCCTCACCTCCAGTAGTTTCAATGATGATGTTCTGTCCAGTGGCAGGCATAACGGTATCAGTTTAGATTTCCAGGACAGCAAATCAGCAAATGCTAATAATTCTAGAGCTTTTACATACTGATATTGTTCTCGCTGAAGGATCCATACTTTCAGATAGTTTTTTTTTGTTCTCAATGAGAATTGTATATCTGAGACTGATCGGTTGTATCTGAAGCCTTGTAAGCCTTGTAAGAGTTAAGTTATCAGACAGACTACCAGAGTGAATAATATTACATGAAATTATGATCATGCTCATTGTCATTTTGTCCGAATATTGCATAATTAGTTGTGCTGTTCTCTAATATCAACCCTGCTCTCAGTCAGATGCGATGATTAAACAATCTGAATTTTTCGGAATAAGGCAGATTGGGTCCAACTTTTCGGTAGGCTAGCCTTGCAACACTGCCAACATTCAACAGATTTGTTGCCAAAAATAACAGTTTGGTGCTACTCTGACTCTTTACATGTTTATATGCGATGAATTCTTTAGCACAAGCAGTAAGAAGATTCTTTACAACAGCCAGTAAGAAGGCTCTTTATGTGTTTGCAAACGAAAACAGATATAATCCGCGTATTTCCAATGGGTCACGGGTTCGAGTTACACCGGGAGTAAGTGGGGAACCACTATTGATCCTTTAAAAAAAAAATGAAACAAGAATTACGAGCTCAAATTCATTGTAATTACATCCTAATGCAATCTGTCGTTTCACTTCCAGTCCAACGATTACATCTAATTCTCATTATGCTATTTATAAGTTCATCAAGCATGACCATCATTGTAGCGATGATTTGGCCAACAAAGTAGTCTTATTTCAACTAGTCTTTTGTACAGTATGACACTCTTAAATTAAATTACATCCTTTCGTTGATGGTTAGGATTAAGTAAATCAAATCTAGGTTGGAACATGAGGTTATCGGATATCATACCCTAGGAATGTATTAATATGGGGGTATGACTCCTTCATTTTAACAAAAAAGGATTAAGTAAATCAAAATCTAGGTTGGAACATGAGGTTATCGGGATATCGTACCCTAGGAATGTATTAATATGGGGTATGACTCCTTCATTGTAACAAAAAAGGATTAAGTAAATCAAAATCTAGGTTGGAACATGAGGTTATCGGGATATCGTACCCTAGGAATGTATTAATATGGGGGTATGACTCCTTCATTGTAACAAAAAAGGATTAAGTAAATCAAAATCTGCACCAATTAAAGTCCTATCATTCAATTGCCTGTCTTTGTTCCTTCTTCATAAATCTGAATATGATAAGCACTAACAGATTGTATTTCTGCCCCTTTTAAGATAAAACTTGAATGCCTTAAATTGGATGGACATCCACTATCTACATCACCATAAGATGAATCTGCAGAAAGAATAGGCCGCTAAACACATGAAAAATATGGCAAATTGGCCCCTACCAATCCAATATCTTAGTTCTTGAACAATTAGTGGTTGAAATTAATTTTTTCCATATGAAAAGATCTTGACAAAGACACAGTGAACTCATTTATTGGCTCTCCAAAAGATTTTACTAATCCAGCCAATGAGAAATAGCAGAATCAATGAATGACTAAACTAATTAAGACTTAGAAGATTCCATGTTTAATGAAAGATCCCAAATAAAAGATTTGTGTGGATAAATTATCCACTCACAGCTGAGTCATCATTCTGTTGCTAAATTTTTCTTCAAGGACTCCAAAGTTCAAGAATTTTTTGAACAAGGACCTTTTTTCTTGGATATAAATGCATGTGTTCTAAACGGCTGTGATGTGCATTGCTTCTTGTTTACATCTCTCTTTTGTTGCTTTGTTTTCTTCTAGTAAAAATGGGTGTACTCTTGGAGCAAGGTAGCCATGGTGGTAGTTTTTTTTCTTCTTCTTTTTATGTTGCTTCTCATGGTCCTTTCTTCTAGCATTCATACAAACTGCCTTGTTTTATTCATTCTTCTGTTTCCACATTTCAGGATCAGAATTTGGGGAAAAAAAGCTGGGCATTCCAAAAAATGCGTCCAGTGATGGATTTGTTGTGCCTGAGAACAACTCTTTTGGCCAATCATTCAGGTTTATAGTAGCTAACTTACAATGAAACCATTTTTCATCTTGGTTAATGTTGTCTTGACATGAAAGTAATGTCCTGCATGCAGGGATTATGGTGCAAAAAACGAAAGGAATAAGACAGTGGAAGAGTTCTATCGACTCAGCCACATTAATCAAACATATGACTTCGTAAACTATCCCAAAAAAAAAAAAAAACATATTCCTAATATCAGAAAATGGTTTCTCTGTAACCAAAACCACAAATTTTTTCCTGATCATTGTAGGTGATGAAAATGAGGGAAGCCTACAAGAAAATGGATAGAGTGGAGATGAGTATCTGGGAATGTTGCGAGCTGCTGAATGATGTCGTGGACGATAGCGATCCCGACTTGGATGAACCTCAGATTGAGCATTTGCTCCAAACTGCTGAAGCTATCAGAAAAGATTATCCAAATGAAGATTGGTTGCATCTCACAGCTCTCATCCATGGTACATAACTTTTCATCACTTGTCAAATTTAAGGCCATCAGGTTCTGCCCTTTCTTTTTTCTCCTCATATATAATTTTGTACTCTTAAACCTCAGACCTTGGAAAAGTTCTTCTCCTCCCTACTTTTGGAGGGCTTCCTCAGTGGGCTGTTGTAGGTAAAGTCTTGTTTCCTTAACAAGTCTATGTTCTTCAAGAAATTATAGATTTTTTTACGAAAACACGAAATTTGATGGTTTGTTTGCAGGTGACACATTTCCTCTGGGTTGTGCCTTTGATGAGGCCAATATCCATTACGAGGTCGGCCTATTTTCATTTCTTCTAGCAATAAATCTCCTTGTGAAATTATATCATTGTCCTTGGTAAAATTATTTTCATTTCCTGGCAGTTTTTCAGAGACAACCCTGATTACAAAAATCCATTGTACAACACTAAGACTGGAGTGTATACAGACGGCTGCGGATTAGAGAATGTAGTGATGTCTTGGGGACATGATGATTATATGTACTTGGTATTAATTATTTCTAAGTCACTTCATTTGTTTGTCAGTCAATGTGGGGAGTAAGGATTGTCAATTTGAAATCTGGTCTCCAAATTTACATCCAAAATTATGCAGGTGGCTAAGGAGAACAAGACTACATTACCAGCTGCTGGATTGTTTATCATCCGATACCATTCCTTTTATGGTAAGAATTACGCACTATATATTTTTGTGACATCAAAATGATATTTGTGGTTGTTTTAATCTTTCTGTTGCCATTCAATTTTGAAGCTTTGCATAAGGGTGATGCTTACAAGTACCTGATGAATGAAGAAGATGTTGAAAATCTGAAATGGCTCAAGATTTTCAAGTGAGAGAGCTGCTTTTCAAATTCAATTTATTTTGCCACCAAAAAAAAAAAAAGGCGTCAATTTTTTGTATGTTTTCTTTTGCAGCAAATATGATCTCTACAGTAAAAGCAAAGTGAGGATTAATGTGCAGGAAGTCAAGCCATACTACTTGTCTCTGATTAACAAGGTAATTTCCAGACTCAAAATATTGATAGTTTTTGAAGATTACAGTACTTTTGGACAATGATATATAAAGTACTCTTTTTTATGCTGATATCTTTGATTCTTGCAATTTACAGTACTTTCCTCCCAAGCTCAAGTGGTGAGATTCTCAAAGAGTTAGAAGACACACTTCACCACTTGGAAAAATAAGGAACCAATAGTCTTGTTTGCAATGTTACTTTGATAGTTGGAAGAGCTGAAACTATTTAGTAGTATAATACTGTACTTTTATTTGAGCTTCATGAACTTTGTTATATCATAAATATAATGTTCAATACTAATTACCTTATATTTTAGAACTGACTCATTCCGATGCTTGTTTTGCATGGAAATTTATGATTCTTTTCCGGCTAAAATCAAGTCTTACTGGTCTTATTTAGATTTTTGCAAATATTATTCGTTTCTTTAAGAGACAAAATGACAAAAACTCCAAAAGGTCACCCTGTGGATTCAGCATCTTCAATGAAAAAGATCATAAAGCTGTGGTTGTGGTTTGTGAAGAAGAGTCAAAGGGGGTTTCTTTTCATTCTGTAACTCAAAGGAGGAAAGAAAGAGATCTTTTTGCAATAGCTATGTCTGTTTCAACCCTTAATATTGTAGTTGCTTCTAATGCAAAAGCAGCAGATAACAGAGAAGGAAGAGGAAGAACCAACAGATTGGATGACAAAGGAAGACGGGGTCTGCTCCTTTCAGCTGCTGTTGCTGTGACTCAAGTGCCTGAGTCCAGAACTGAGCTGCTTAACAGTATTATTTAATGTTCATATATATTGTAAAGTCTGTTTTTCATCAACTCAAAACAAACAGTTCACTGTAAAAGCTTATTTCCTGTAATCATTTTGCCAGAATATCTGAAGAAATCCCAAGACAACAAAGCTAAAAATGATAAAGAGGTAATCTTTCTTGTAACCTGCTGCTCCTTTATCCATATTAATCCCCATTTGAATTTGAAGGGCTTAGCTTGTTTTTCCTCATTTCGGTTCTTCTGCAGAGATTGGATAGCTACTACAAGCGCAACTATAGAGACTATTTTAGCTCCATTGAAGGGACCCTGAGGCAGAAAAACAAAGAAGAGCTTTCCGAGTCTGAGAAAAGCATTCTTGAGTGGCTTGACAATAACAAATGAATTCGCACGATATTAGCCGATTTTGTATCTGCACATCCTTTATCTCCATTGCTGTATTTTGCGTCAAATCAGCTGAAACTGTGGAAAACAAGGAGTTGGCATACTGCCTTGTTAGTGCCTATATCAAGTTCTTTCAAGTTTCAAACAATGTACCTTCGGAAATCATTTGAATTCACTTCATTCACACTGATCATACGCTTACTGCTTCCACAAGTATGCTGTTCTTACATCTCTAGTGGTCGTTGATTTTTGAACCTTTGGACCAAAAGGCATTGAAATTCCAAAAGAAAGCAACCAATTTGAATTCAGAAGCTAAATAGCAGGTTTGAGCATTCTCCATACATTTTGGAAGACCGTTATCAAGAATCACGACATGCATTCTTCACTATCAAACTTAGAATCTAAAAGCTTTACAAGATAACATATTCAAGAGCTAAGCAACGTTATTGATGATTTGTTGTACATTTTCAGCAACAATCTCGGCGACAATCTCAGGAGCAAAGTTAGCGATCATGTCTTTTCTCGCTTGCCTACCTTTAGCTTTAGCTTCATCAACATTGGTCATCACATGCCTCATCAGATTCTGCAGTTTCTGAACAGAAGGCTCAGCCCATAAATGGCCTTTAAACGGTCCGTCCTTCACTTCACTCATCCTATCTACATCTAAAGGGTAGCTATTCTCCAGAGTCAAGTACTCAGTTGGTCCTGACCAGTTTGTAGCAATCACCGGCAATGCCATAGCCATAGCCTCCACAATAGGCCTACCCCATCCTTCTCCTCTCGATGGCAGGACGAAAGCGTTAGCCGCATTGTAAAGTCTTGGCAGATCAACCTGAGGTATATGATCATCAACAACATAAACCGGAGCCCAACCGTTCACTGGTTTTTCCAAGTCAGAATCCTCTACATATTCAACTATTTTGTTACCAAAATCTCTATCAGAATGGAATGGATTAGTTAACATATACAAAGCAACACCATCAGCTGCAGAAAACTCCTTCAGATAAGATCTTAACAACACATCCCAGCCTTTCCTATACTCCCACTTGAACATACTTAAGAACACAAATTCTCTTTCCGAATTTGCTTTCCAAGTCCGAGAACCTAGCACCAATTTCCCTATTGAAGCAAGGTCCAAAGGCTTATACTTTCTAGAATCAAAGAACTCAGAATCAACAGGCTGAACAATCTTGACCACCTTCAATGGATCAACCCCACTCTGAACAAAACTTTTGTTATGGAATTCAGTAGGAACCCAGACATAATCCATCTTATTACAACGCTTAACGTGTTCAGCATTCACCCTATCAGTCTCAAACATTGTCCTCCCAACAACAACCTTAAAACGACCATAACCGGTAGGAGGACAAGGAAGGGTTTGAAACAGGGGAGGGTACCAAGCACCAGGCTCACTGTGGCATACCACAATAGTCTCATTCAATCTGCATTCAGTTTGGTAAAGCTCAATAGCCAAGTTCCTCATTTCCACCGGTAAACCCTCCCAAAACTCGAGGCTTTCAAGATCACCATGGTGCTCGATGCTCAATCTAAATCTAGGGTTCTTCCGTTTCAAGTAATCCTGTAAGGCTAAGATGTACGACCAAGCTTCTGAGCAGTACCCACCGCCTGTAAGGAACGGCGCCATCCATAGAACACAATAAGGGGAAGTGGGAACAATGGCCGAGGGTTTTGCCACATTTTTGTTTCCAACTGGGTGTAGGAATCTTAGAACGTTGTGAAAGAAATCGGACTGGGATGAGAGGGTTGATTTGAGGTGGTGTGATTTGTACCAGTTTGTGGTTGGAATGCTGAATGAAATTCCTAAAACTAGCACCAAGATGGACAGCAGATACAGAGGATTCAATTTCAGGGGAAAAATGCGATTTTGTTGGGGTGGCTCCGGTTGTGTTTGATGAGGTTCTTGGTTTTCGCCTGGATTCATCTCAATTCAACATGAAATTGAGCAAACTGTGAACAGTAAAGCGAACTACACAGAATTAGGTTTGTGGAACTTTAGCGAACAATCTATACACCTTCTTACAGCCGCGGGATTAAAACTTAAAAGCAACGCAGATGCTTACCGTTTGGAGCCCAATTTACCAACTGGGGAAAGGTGCCGTCCAGTTTGGGGAATAGGCGTAATTGTAACCCTGTCGGCAAAAGATGTTCCGTCACACTATTGTATTGCATTCTCGACGACACTTGTTTGTTTCATTTTTTTAGTGTGTGTTTAGGTGTTTTTTATATTGTGAAGGTAAAAAAATGTATTAGAAATATAAAAAAGTATGTTGGGATGGGACAGTTATTAATATATAAATCTGAAAATACCATCAAAAAAAGTAAACAAACAAAATTAGTGTTTATTTTGTTTTTTTTATGTGTATTTTTAAGTATTTTTTATATTAAAAATAAAAAAGTATATTAGAAATGTAAAAAAATATGCTGGGATAAGATAGTTATTATTTAAATATTTTAAAAATACTATTAAACAAACCTAACAAACAAAGTTTGTGTTTTGCTACTTTGCTTCAAAAAATAAAAAATAAAAACAAAAAAATTCAATAAAAATCTGTCTGTCCAAAAATTAATTCCAAGCAACTACCATATGTTACAGAACTTAATTATTGAAGTCTGAAGATGTACATATGTTACAGTTTGATCCACAACCCAATCAAACATTCACATGAAAATTTACAGAAGTGAATAGTTAAGCTTATTTTCAGTTTCTTTTGATCTGGTACCAAGTCCAAAAGTCCAACACCCTTTACTGATCCTTGTTTAGGATCCCTTCCCACATTGCTTGACGTTAAAAGAAACCAGCAGCTCAAGGCAGGATTTTTCCCTGAGACAAGTCTTGACTTCACAAGTGAAATCACTTTGCATCAGTATTCACAGCTTGGATTGGATGCGGCTCAAACTTGCTTCAATCGCTCCATGTGGTTCATCAGTTGGTAGATATACATCATCTTCAAACTGCAAAGGACCAGCACTGAATTTCAATGCAAATTAACATAAACGAAACAACAGTAGCAGCAAACTCCCTGTATCTCAGAATTTCAAAGAGATTCACTTTAAAGACTTGAAGATGCATGACGTCACTGTACTTAGACCTGGGACAAAATTTTAACTTTCTGAATCAGTTGTTCTCAAGTAAGCAGTCAAACATATTGTTACAAGAATAGATGAGCCATATCTTTTATTCAATGGTTAATAATGTAAGATGTTTCATCGAATTTAACAGAACACCAGTGAGTGTTTCATGAGTTGCAATCAACCCTATCAGGAACATGCTCAGAATATAATGGAAAGGAGAACAGGGCCCAGTTCCTGTAGTTGATCTTAAGAACTTCAATTGTAAGGCAAGCTTCAAAACTCTCTCACCACAGTAATAAAAAGTTAATGGAAACAGAAGAACTTAATCACTAGACTTTACAGAAGTACAGAGTGGCACAATGAAGTGAAATTTTAGTGCCTGGTGAGATCATCTGAGTACTAAACTTATCTCCAACTCAATTAGGAGTGACCAAGGGCTCTCCCAATCAGCATAGAAGGTAACAAATCATACCTTAACGATGGCTGGGTTGTCTTTGCTTGACAAGTTAACTGGCAAAAAATGAATATTTGGCATCTTTAAGGTCACTGATGATACTTCATGAAACCTGATCATGGATATCATGAGGCATTAGCTCCCAAGCCACGGAATATAACCCAAAGAGAAACAAAAATGAACATGAATGTGCAGGGACAGTGAGAACCTTCCAAGAACCATCTTTGCCATCTCATAAAGTGTGTACTGTACAGATGGGCTATAGACGCCTTTTTCAGGGCCGAAGAAAGTGTCAATCAAGACCTTTTTCACATCCGCGTTTCTATTTAAGAAGTAGAGTGGCTGCTTTGGGATACTTTGAAGAGATTCAAAGACATATCTGCACAAAGCAATTACCTTTCACTTCAGAGCATAATTCAAGTTCATCCATAAACTACTGTCAGCATTTAAATACTTTGTTATAAAAGATTTTCCAAACAGAAACTCCAAAACTTCATCAGTTAACAAAAAACAGCTAGAACTGGAAGTAACATCATTTCAAATAACAATAAAGATAATATACCTCCACGAAGCAGTGACTTCAGTTCCCAACAATCTCTCTCGTGTTTCAGGCAAAATAGTATACTTGTCCCTTATGAATCCTTCAAAACCTGACTGTATAAAACAAAAGAAAACCGTACATGAGCTCTGTTAAATATGCGACTGCTTCTTTAGGAAATATGAAAAAGGCACGAGGAAAGTTTAAAAATACAGCTTCCTAGCTGGAAATTACAATTTTGATGTAGTTCACACAGCATCTGGGAAATGAAAAAGTCACTCGGACAGTATGAAATAACTATATCATCTGCAATGATCTGAAACAAACTGTAGTACATAGATCTTAATGAGAGAACTGAAGACTGATGTGAATGTTCTAATATTGATTGAAGGTCAGCAAAGACCTTTTTTTTTTTTTTGGGTTTTTTTATTAAATGGATCTAATTCATATTAGCTTAACAGCATGGGTCACCATGAGTTTCAGTTTGTTTAGCATAAATCACATCGCCTCCGCTTAAATTAATTAATTTAAAATATTGGACAATCATTTACATTTCATCAGGCTTGGTAAAAGTAGAACACCAATACACTTTTTCTCCATTGTATAGGAATTCTTATTTTTCATACTAAATCTAATATCAAACGCCCACAGACTGATCCAATTTCGATAACTTACTTGGGTTGTCTTTAACAATCTCAATGAAATCTAATATCAAACACCCATAGACTGATCCAGTTTTGATAACTTACTTGGGTTGTCTTTAACAATCTCAGTTTTCTAATTCCAGAGCTCACTTGCAAGGCACCAGATTTCTTCAGTTGAACTTCAGCCGTATGCTCCTCAGATCCAAGCTTAAAACCTGTGAAGAAAGATGCACATGAAATTAAGACGGTGATATAACTCCTGTGACTTTGCGGAACTAAGTGCCTGGCAAACCAATACTGAAACTAGGGTAGTCGTTCACAGAAACTGCAAAGATTAATATAACTACAACAAGCCGCGAGCAACTTTAATTTTAAACGCCATATCACGAAGTCAACTACAACAAGCCGCGAGCAACTTTAATTTTAAACGCCATATCACGAAGTCCTCCAGGGGCTATGTATTTCATATCCAAGCCAATCCAAAAAATTTTGTTCAACCAAGGAATCATGGGATTTCAAAATTTCAAGTGCTAATGAACGATAAGAAAGGCGAAGGTATAAAAGCCCGAGTATGGTTGTATAAGACATTGATGGCAATCACTGCCAGGCAATGCATTCACCCATGGCGAAGCATTAAAATCAGTAACTGAGAAGTATATTAACTCAATGAAAAAAAAACAGTTTCCAATTTAAAGAAAGCAATGGGGGTAATGAACTATGGGCAAATAAACCAACTCAGAAGCACATTTATTACTTAATACTTGAGCAATAGGCAACTACAGCAACTGAGAAGCACGCTTATGAACTTGATACTTGAGCAATTCAAAGGACTGACCGTGTCTATGAGGCTGACCGTCTACATAGACTCGCTCCCACTGCTTTTCAACAATATTGACAAATGCAGCAGTAACCTATATAAGAAATGGAGAAAGGAAATTAAATAAGAGAACAAGTAAAGTTCTTCCAGACAATTAAGGTTGGTTAACCAGCTAATTATAAACACTACACCGACTCCCTCGCTCTATAAATTTCTAACCAAATGCCAGTGCTTCCAGGGAAAACAGATAGATAACACACAACATGCACGTCTCCCACCAACTCTGGAATTATGCAACTGTATAGTTAGGCCATACTACTTAAACTTCAGAACTAGATCCGGCTACAAAAACCCACCTTTATTTTCTCAATTTCTAGTTAACAACCACCCAATAGCATCAAAAACATATAGAAATTCCTTTTTTTCCCAGATAATTAAAATTACCGGTTCATAAAAAGTAGTGAAATGCTTGGCAAGATTAATGGCGAACAACTCCACCGGAATCCTCTCGGTAGATTCCTTCGCTTTAGCATACACCTGCGCAGGTGAACAAGAAATGGGTTGAAGATCCAGAATTTGGAAGTAAAACAGCGAGTAATAATGATCAATCTAAATTACGGAATTTATACAACAGAGTAATATCAAAGAGAGAAAAATTTACAGTGTTTTTCATGGTATCGGTGGCGACGATGTTGGAATTGTCTCCGGTAACATAAGCAGGGAGGCAGTCGGAGAATAAGGCGATGGAGACGGTCCATTCGACGAAATGATGGGTTCCGTCGGGATCTCTCCAAACCCGGCCTACTCTAACTCTGTCCTTGCCGTGGCGCTGCTCCAGCTTCAGTCCTTCCACAACTCCTACGCTGGCCATATCGGAATTTTAATCAATCAATCAATCAGTCTGTCACTTCAACGGAAGAGGGTTGTCTCCAATTTTATAGTTGAGCTGATTAGACTAAATGAATGTTGGGTGTGAAACTGTGATTTATATAAGCAGCTCTGTTGATACGTCCACGTAAGTGCAGATTTGCGAAAGGTGGTACACGTCAATATCAATATGGAAAAATGCACACTTATTCCACATGTAATTTCTTAGGTATAAATTACTTTTACCACTTTTAGTTGATGAACACCACCCCGATTCAGTTCTACGATTTTGGATAAGTAAGCCATATCAACTCTGACAATGTATAAACATTTTCGAAGTATTTTTTATATTATAATTCTCACATTCCGAAATTAATACGTTCCATTTGTACTCAAAGTGCAAATATAAATGAGACAATAATTTTAAGATATAATTAATATATCTTTTACAACGTGAATAAAAAATATAAATGTAACATATCCAGCTTTTATTTATATGAAATAATCACATATAATATTTTTTTTTGGTATAATGAGAGAGGTTGAAATTTAGTTACAAAAAATTAAGACTTGTTGGGAATATGAAATTCCCATAACGTCATGTTCTAGCCGTTTTCGTGTTAATTTCATTGAGCAAGTTAACTATCTTTACATTATATATGCGGTGTTTAACACCCAGTATCTTTTACAACGTAAATAAAAAATATAATGTAGTTTTAAAAGTGACTAAAACCAATAATACCAGCAACTTTTGTCTATCATCGTAGATAATTTATGTTAATCAAACTGTTGGCACTTTAGCGGTTTAGCAAACTGTGCGGTTAGATTAGATAGGCATTTGTTTCATTGGAGTAGCCTCTTGATTTGGTTTGAGGACGTCATGGTTATGATATAATGTAAATTACTTTAATAATTGATGGTGATATCCCTCCTACCTGATAGCACATTGGGTTTTGCTTCTAACGTCATCCTTCATAGTTTCCAATGATAGCTCATTTTTGCATTGAGTCCATTCTGGTAACATGGACTAAAATCTTCACTAAATAAAAATTTAAAGATAGCTCACAATTTAAATACTCTCTGCTGTCCTTGTTATAAGACATTTTGATTTCTTCTTAGGGTTTACCTAGGATGCCTTTTTAATTAAAATAAAAATCTTAAAAATATTTCATAATAATTAAAAGAATACAAAGAATGTGAAAATATATCTTTAAGATTTTTTTTTCCAATTAAAAAAACATCTTATGTTAAACATAGCACGAAATCAAAATGCATTGTAATAAGTATCGGAGGGAGTATATGATGTGTTTTCCGTAACCCCGAGTTGGAGATATATCTACTATGATCATTTTTTACTTCCTCAATCTCCAAAGAAATCCAGAGTTAATTTTAATACAATTTTTAAAATGAATTAGTGCTCTATTACATTGGCATACTATTACTACTGTACTTAAGAATGGCATTTTCATTTTTATATAAATGCCACATGGACAATAAATAAAAACTACTCCTAAAAAAAAAAAGAAAAAGAAAGAAAACACGTTTAAAAGATAATAAACCTAATTTTACTAGGGAATCCTTAATGCCAAAACAAAAATTAGGGGTCATAACAACTTTTGATATATTTTGACCATAATATCCTTAATGTACGGAAGTATGAACCCACGTCATGGAGGGTATTTTTGCCAAAAAAATTGTTTTGGCCCCTAATTTTTTTTTTCATCATGGATTCCTTTACTACTGCGTAGAATATTTTCTCGTGATTCTGTGTGTCTGACGGCTTTATTCTCCGAGGAGGAAAAGCCGGAGAGGAGACACCTCACCCCCCATTTATTGCTTCGTCGGTGGTTTTTTTTCTTTTTTTTGCCAACTTTTTTGAATTCTCCATTTTTCTTCTGGTAGCTGATTGGATTTTGGAAATGGATTTGGGGGATGTTGCTTCCGCCAAGAAGAAAAGGGTGGTCGTCATTGGTGGCGGAATTGCCGGCGCTGTTGCCGCCAAGAACCTTCAAGACCACGCTGACGTTTTCCTCATTGATCAGTAAGAATGTGCTTAAGATTCTTCTAGTTTTTGTGGAAAAGTTGCTCACTCAAGTAATGATTCAGTATATTTCAATTTCTTTGCCGTCAAGTTCTTTGAATATTTGCTTGATTCAGGCTGCAAAGATTAGCTAGTGAAGCTACTTTTATTTTTTTGTTCGAGTTGGGGGAAAGGATTTTGGTTGTAATTATCTTGTGACACGCCCAAATTAGGAATCATTTTCGATCACTTCCTGAGTCTGCCAATCTTTTCCGTTAGTAAGATTAGTGTGAAATGATTACAGGAAGGAATACTTTGAAATCACTTGGGCAAGTTTGAGGGCAAGGGTTGAACCAGCCTTTGCAAAAAGATCTATTGTAAATCATGTAGAATACCTACCAAATGCACACGTTATAACGACCCCAGCAGTTGATGTCACACCCAATGAAGTCTTGACTGCAGAAGGCCGGTTGATTGCCTATGATTATCTTGTTATTGCCACCGGCCATGTCGAAGACGGGCCCTCCACCAAGGATGATAAGCTTAGTTACTACCAAGAAGGTGATAAAATGCACTGAATCGATAACGCTTCCGGCAGCTAGTAGTTTGATTCATGTGTATTCTCTTTCATTTCAACCTTTCATGTTTGAACAATGTTATTTGTGTATCTCCATGTGCCATTTGTTCTATAGTTACTTACCCAAGTTCTTACAAATTGCCAAAAAAAGAAAAAAAAAAAACACTACCTTCTTGGAGAAAGAGGTATTAAATCAGATATTGGTCTTTATGTTGTAGTAAAAAAAATTCGTGATTCTTTTGTCTTTTGATGTTAGCAATACTTCTCACCTATCTCATTTTGTGCAACTGCTTGTTTTGAGGAAGCGCTTAGCAAGTAAGGTTCTGAAAGTCTGTTACCTGGTACTTTGATGTAGTTTTCCGAATTTCAGCAATACTTCATTAGCTTCTACATTAAACTGTTAAAGATATAATGTGCAACTGTTCAGCAACAAAGGACATCCAATGGTTGGATTTGTGGTGGTTTAATTGCTTTAAAGAATGTGAATTAAACTTAAGTGATACTGAATTGCTGTTGAAGATCATTGTTGCACACCCTAACTGAGGACTTTGGCCTCATTTTATTATTAACTAATCTAATTGTGTATTTTTTCAATAATAATGCTTGTAACTATATTTCACTGCTTGTCTCGAATTTCTTTAAAAGGCCATATAAACTAAAATGTATCCGCTATTCACTGGTGCTCATGAGTTTATCTTTTATTCTTGCAGAGCATTCCAAGATTAGGTCTGCTAACTCAATCTTGATAGTTGGTGGGGGGCCAACTGGTGTAGAACTTGCTGCTGAGATTGCTGTCGACTTTCCGGGTAAAAAGGTGACTCTGGTTCATCGTGGATCCAGGCTGCTAGAGTTTATTGGAGAAAAGGCAAGCCGAAAGGCCCTAGATTGGTTAGTTTCAAAAAATGTTGAAGTCGTTCTTGGGCAATCAGTTGACTTAAATGGTGTTGTAGATGGTGTTTATCATACTTCTGCTGGAGAAACCATTAAAGCTGATTGCCACTTTCTTTGCACGGGCATCCCAATTGCTTCTTCCTGGCTGCGAAATACTCTGTTCTCAGAAAGCTTGGATGCTAAGGGAAGGTTGATGGTTGATTTGAACTTGAGGGTCAAGGGTCATAAAAATGTTTTCGCTATTGGAGATATTACTGATATTCCTGTAAGTACATCATTCTCTTTAATTGCGCCTCTTTTGGCTCCGTACATGGCTCCTTGTTGCAAACTAAAAAAATAAAAATAAAAATGCAATTCCCCTTGTTCATTTTATAGATACATTCTTTGTACAACTGCAAAATGTCGGCCGCCGAGAGCATTAGCATAAAAAGATCTGAAAGTTGTTCTCTGCCTTTTCCAATGAAAGATCTTAACTGGGGATAAAATTTTTGAACTGTTAGATTATTACTCTGAATTAATACCAAATGGCAAATGTGATAGAGCTTTAAATTTATTTGTAAGGTGACTATAATCTGAACAAAACAAATTTGTACTGGGCTTGTCCTATTATCATATGCATGAAAGCATGCAAGCGCTGTTTTAATTGTCTGAGAAGAACCTAAAGATCTGGAAATATTATCTGCGAGAAATGTGCTCGGAAACTGCATGTCGCTGTGTATCTTTTCTTTGAGTGATATCAAGGAAGAATTTCTTGGCATAGTTTCAATTTCTTTTGCTTTATTGCTAGAAAGTTTAGCTGTATGTTATCATCGGCAGTTTGTTTACTCATGCGTCATGCCCTTTGGCTCTGAAGAATCTTCAATATTCTGCAGCAGTGTACTTATTTTGGTGAGCAAAATACACCAACATACCCCCTTATATTGATTGAAATGCTCTGTTGGTTCAGGAATTAAAACAAGGATACCTAGCTGAGCAGCACGCGTTTGTGGCTGCCAAGAATGTGGGGCTGTTAATAAGTGGTGGAAACGAGAACAGAATGGAAAAATATAAGGCAGCTTCAGGAGTATTAGCGATTGTTTCACTGGGGAGAAAAGACGCAGTGGCTCAATTTTATTGTGTAACCATAGTGGGTCGCGTGCCTGGCTTGATCAAATCTGGGGATTTATTCGTGGGGAAGACTAGAAAGCTAATAGGTCTTAGCTCTGATATTTAGAGTACTAGTATGTCTAAGGGCCCTTGATAATAGAAACTCTGCCTAAGGTCATGGTACACATATCAGACTACTAACATTTGCTCAAATGAATTGTTACTGTAAATCTCAACTCTTAGTACAAAATGTATGCTGTTTTGCAAGGCCTTTCGGCATTGCAGAAGTTTTTAATTTTGTGACTTCGATTTTGATAACAAGTTTGCTCTTTTGACACTTAGAAATTGAAAACATCTCTTTGCGAAACAGTGAGTCATACATTGTTGGCCTTGGACATTCATGTGTATTGGTGTAATTAAAAGATAGTTTATTCGTGTCAAAATTATTGTCCAGTTTTGATTTTTGATTAGGTTGTAGACGTAATCTATCAACCTTTCAAATATGAGGGGTTAAAAGTGGGATTTCCACCGTTGAAGTCACGTGCTGCGCCCGTGGCCCTGCGTATCTTTTGCAAAAGAGGGGAAATAGAGAAAATTCTGTCGTCTAACCCCAAATTTTCATGGAAGTTTCTCTTTTGTGTGTCCTCTACGTACAGATTAGTTTATCTTTTAACTCGACGAAATTCACAAGAATCAAATCCTTAATTTCCTAAAGCCCTAATTCAATTCACCCAAAGCTTATCTCTCTCATCTCTCACCATATCTACGCAGTTCTCTTCGTCTCCGGCGATCTATTTTTATTTGAAGATAAGGTTGGTTGGATCGTAACCCTAATTGAGAGAAGATGAAGAGAGTGTTTGGGGTGAAGAAGGACAAAGAACCTCCTCCGTCTATTCAAGACGCCTCCGATCGGGTAATTTCGATCGTCCTGAGTTTATTTCTTCGTTATTCTTGTTTCCTTTTCGTTTGAAAATTCCCTCTGAATTGGATGTTTACTTTCTATTCACTTCTTATCAGATCAACAAAAGAGGTGATACCGTCGATGAGAAGATTAAGAAGCTTGATACTGAACTTGCCAAGTATAGAGAGCAGTTGAAGAAGATGCGTCCTGGCCCTGCCCAAGAAGCTGTCAAGGCTCGTGCCATGAGGGTTCTTAAGCAAAAGAAAATGTTAGTTCTCAATCTCATTTACATCCCCCATGGCTTTTGTTTGATGCAAAATTTTCTTTGAATTTCCATAACCTGATTATCCGATTAATGCTAAACAGTGTTTAAAGTGACAAATTCGAGAAGAAAATTGATTGCAGTAGTTGATGTGCTTTTGGAAGTTGTTTCCCTTTGTTCCATGTTTCTCTACTAGCTTGCACATTGTCAAGTTAGTTGGTTATGAAGTATGCATCAACCGCCATGCCTTTTTCATATGCAGGTATGAAGGTCAACGAGATATGCTCTATAATCAGACATTCAACCTTGACCAAGTTGCCTTTGCTGCTGAGGGAATTAAAGATGCTCAACAGACAGTATGTTTTCCATGTCTTCCTGCACAGTTTTTGCAGCTTCTTTATCAAGCGTTTTAGTAATTTCTGTTTATAATTCTAGTTTGCGCTATTAAAACATGCATTTATGACTTTTGCTTTAGATTTCGTAGAGAGACGCCATTATTTTCATGGTGCTTCCTTTTCTTCACCAGTGATTTCTTATGCGAGCTTGTTACCTTATAGTTTGATTTAGAACTTGGGAATCTGTATGACATCATTTGGGAAGGAAATAAAACACGTAGTTGCCGCTTACCCTAGTGCTGCTGTAACTTAGAGATACTATCTACCATCATCAAACGTTTGTTCCATGTTTACTCAAATTCATTGCTTTCAAGCTACACATAATTTACATTAGATTATCTTTTTCTTGGTAGCGCCCTATGGGGCAGAGTTCAAGGCTTGTGAGATGGAGCTTGTTTTCTAACCCGATGGGAACCTGCTGCCTACCACCTCCTTAGGTAGGGGAAACCCATTTGTCTGCGGGAGGGTTTTCGAGTTAATTCAATGATAAATCTGGACTATAATGCTCCATGTTTGCCTTAGTGTTCAGTACTAGTTGGAGGTGGTAGATTTGTGACATGTTAGGACTGAAGCCATTGATGTAAACATTTTTTTTCCTTTTTTGTTAATTGATAGGACGAATTATTTCCCTTGGCGCTTTCTTCTTGCAGATGTCAGCTTTGAAGACAGCTAACAAAGAATTGAAAGGGATGATGAAGACAGTGAAGATTCAAGAGATAGATGTCAGTGGGCTCATTTCTTTTTCTGGGTTTTATATTATCCATTCTTTCTGTAGCTTTTGGTTCTTATTGAACCAAACTTGGATATAAGTTTTGAACTCGAATTTATATGTATTTCCTTTTTCCTGCAGAACTTGCAAGATGAAATGATGGATTTGATGGATATCAGTAATGAGATTCAAGACTCTCTTGGCAGGAGCTATAATGTTCCTGATGACATTGATGAAGAAGACCTGATGGGAGGTTAGATATCTCATCCTGCTTCTCTTTTGTCCTTTTCTGGCTCAAATGGAGAGAAAATTTTTCTAAAAAGTTCTCTTGAGAACCCTTTTTTCATGCACCTTGTGTAATTTCTTTTCTCTTTCCAATGCAGAGCTTGATGCGCTGGAGGCAGACATGGGATTTGAGACTGAAGGGGATGGAGTCCCTTCATATCTTCAACCTGACAAGGAACCTGATCTGGATGCAGAGCTTAACCTACCATCAGCTCCATCTGGGCACGGACCTCTACCCGCAGCACAGGTGATTTTGGCTAACGAAAGCTTGGTAGTTTGTGTCTTTCTTCCTTTCACTCCCCATGTCTGTACATAAATAATAGGTTTGAAGACCAAATAGCTCTATTTATGATATTTTATAAGATTTAAGATCTTAAACAATGAGAAAGATGATGACATAGATCAAAAGATCATAACTTTTTATTGGTGATGAAAAGACGAGAAATCCAAGGGGCAATTTATGAACCAAAAAAATTAAATTTATCGATGATTAAAAATTTTGGGTTCCTGTTGTGGGAGTTGTTTATTTTCAAAGTCTTTTTGAAGGTTAGAGCTATGCCTTTCAAGTTCTCGATAACGAGTAGAATGTTTTATGTGTTTAAAAATTATGTTAGTGATTATTGTTGCCCATTCAAACAGTGACACTGAGATTGTGTAATGATGTTTGGCAGGGTGAGGATGAAATGGGTCTACCTGCTGTTCCACGTGCATCTCTTCGTGGTTAGTTTGAAGGTTAATGATTGCGGAGGACATCTGATACTTTCATTTCATCGTTCCTGACCTCCAGATGATGGATTCTTTCAAGGAAATGACGGCTAATGTAAACATTTGTGCAGAATCTAAAATATTTGATTGTTATATACACTTCCTGATTCAGGAAGCAAATTCATTCCTTGTTGAATGATCACACTTAGTTGTTAGATTACTTGTATTCTGTGCAGACTGCAGACAGATGTGGCAAAGAACTTCTGATGGTTGTGTTACATATTTTTTTTTCTCATCCGTTTGGAATTTACCATAAGCGAGTGGTTAGAAATGTTTTTATTTTCTTTCTAAAATAAAATAGTTTTTTTTTTCAAAAACGTAAATTTGATTTAATGAGGTAATATGAAAATATCAAAAGTGTTAGCTATTTTATCAGTTGGAAAGTATTATCATAACGAATTTGTTAGGAAGATTTAATTTTTAAAAAAATGAAAAATCAAAGAACCTTCCTAGCAATTTGTCAGGATTTCAGCATTACGCTTCTCTTCTTGTAGAGGCAAAATCATTTCTTGGGAGCAAGTGAAAGTGATTGAAAATATAAAGCTAGATCAATTTATTCCAGTACAGATCTCGGTTGAAGTATTTGATGAGTTGGGAATATGGTGGACTCCAAACTTGAAATTCCTTATCAATGTTATGTCTGTCAACAGATAAAACGACAGCAATGGTGACTTGGAACATTCTCAGATGATGACTCTGATGAGACGATAAAATTATCTAAGATGTGAAGGAGGTGAGCGTCTGGGTCGCACGCCATACTGGTCATGATTAAAGATACCTCACTAAGAATATCTGGGCGAAAATGCAATGCTTTTCAAAGATCATTACATTTACTGAAAGATGAACATCTAATGTCCAAGTGAGTTATCCTAGCAAGTTATCCTGACATATGCTGGACGTATACACAGGTTTTTAGCTGGAGGTGGAGTCAAGATCAACTATTTTCACTTATCTAGGGTTCTGCAAAGGACACACTCTCTTTCAGGAGATCAACTTCTCTAGTTGAGATCGAGATTCCCCATGTCTAAAACTTGCCAATGTGCTTCTGTACTTGCAATATCAGCAGAAGTGGTTCGCCTGAGATTGATGTTCACCTTCCTGTCTGATGCATAAGCTAAATACTTTAACCTCTCAACTTCTTTCCTCAAAGACCTGTACTGGCCTGTAGAAGATAACGTAAATAAAAGAGCAATGATGTAAAAGTCAGTCTATGCAACTCAGTTGATTTCCGACTCAAGTTGCGATAAAACATCAATTGACGTAAACAGTGAGGAAACTTGTGAGACATGCCATGAAGATGCACAGCTATACAGAAACTCATCATGAAGAGGCATAACTAACCATCCACAATCTGTTTTTCCCGTTGCAATCTGGCAGCCTGTTGCTTTAGTTTGTTATTTTCCAATGATAATGAAACACGCTGCTGAAGCAGAGAAGCAACCCTGGAGGCCATGTCTCTCTCTACTTTCTGCTACATCAAATATGCGTAGTTTTATACCAGCAGAATGGTGCAAAGATGAAAATAAGCTGTAAGCATATAACTCTTAAAACAAACCACAGACAAACAGCACTCTTCATTATTAGTAACTCACTAACTGATCAAAAGATTATGTAGCTCAACTAACATAGCTCGAAAGGAATAATAGTTCACAAAATTCAGAAAATGTCCTGGAAGCTGATAATCATGTATTAGAAGATAAGGGTTGTTAAAAAGTTGCTCTAAAAGGATAATATCTCATCCAGGTACTAACGCAATCAAAAGCAACACGTAATCACAAACGAAAACACCATAAGCTCTTCTTATTGAACAGTGGAGAAACCTAGAACAGTTCATACAATAAATTATCCACAACATAAGGTGTAGTCAATTTTCTTTCCATCTGCCAAAACATTACCTGAAGAATATCAACAGTTCTTTCCAGTTCAGCTATGTACTGGAGTTTGCGCACCCTTGATCGTTGTCCAGGATGTCTGCACAATCAACAACAATGTAGATTTGCTGGAATGACTTAGGCGGTTATGTTTTGAGAGAAGTCTAGCAAGAGCAAAAAAAACTCCAAATATTTCTATTTGAAACTTTCTAGTAAATTTGATGTTAATAGGTAAATGGGCCAGGATATATAAGAAGTCAAAAAAGGAAAGGTGAGAAATGAATGTTGATAGCCGATTGAGTTATTAATCTATTTCTGAGCGGAAAAGACGATATGGATGAATGTTGTGTTTAGTCGTATTCTTTTTTCGTGGGATGCTATCATTCGCTTATCAGGAACAGACATAATCTATGTGATAGAATTAAGAGAAAAATCTGTTCTTATGTAGAATGGAAAGGTATTTTCAAAATAGTAACAGTCAAAAATAATATGATCAATGCCACATATGAGCTCAGAAGTAATTGGTCCTGAAAATAGCTGAACAGAAGATATCCACATCGAATAAGTTTCAACTTTCAAGATAACCAAGAATCTGAAAAAGAGTATTCAAACCTACCTAAGATCTCTCATTCTCTCTACACAGGTGAACACTATGTTTTGAATCTAAGCTAAATAAACCTTTCATTCCCCTCTCTAGTTTTATTTTACTTAAGAGATGAGTGACCTGCTGCTGGACCCCTTGCTGGCGACAGACTTAGTTCTTCTTTCCTGATAGTTTCTCTAATGTACTTCTATACTGCGAAATCCTGATATGAACTAGAAAACTATCTTGTGATTTCATGATAGAAACAGGTAATTAAGCACTAAAAACAACTATTGAACTCCTAAAAGCAATGCAGAGCATAAATTATTCAGTATATATTCTGCGAAATGCAAGTCAAAAGGCACCAAATAGCAACTCAGAAAAAGGTTCTTGGTCAAATAACTTAGAATGTAACGTCCATTGAAAAAAGATGTTAGTCCAGAATCAAACCGTTTAGCTGGCTTTCCCTCAGCAATAATTTCACAAGTATCCTCCTGTGCATCAAAATGAGCAGCTCCAGAAGAACACATGTCCCCACAGAAATTCCATAGATGTTCCTGAGAGATATATTCGGACAATGCAGAAGCTATGGCATCCTCGGCAAAGGCTATCTTACCTTTTGCACGAGGAGAATTTGGGCCATATACAGAAGCAGAATCCAACACCCCACCAGTTGTATGAGGCACAGAATTGTCACTTCCACTAAATTGATGAAGATTTTTCAGGGGAACAAGATTATCCAAAATGGTTAAAGAATCACTAGCTGATCGGCGATGTGATAATCCAGACGAGTCCAAGTCTGATTCATCCAGAAGATCATCAAGCCAAGCTGGTTTTTCCTCTGCAGCAGAGCTATGGGACACAGATTTCTGATGCCTAGGTCGCAAGTGAGTGTCTCCGTTCAAGGATGGGGCACCACACCCGGATAAGGTTTTCCTTTGAAAAGGACATCGTGGAGGAAGATGAGCTTGCCTTGACATTCTGAACTTGCATAAAACTACCAGCTGAGAACTGCAGCCTAACTAAAATTATTCATTTTCTTTTAGCTTCTATCAAGCTCTGCAAGCGGATAATATCATCATCCCTTAATCCAGAGCTCCACTGCCATTTTACACCATCCTAATTGGAGAAACAGTTTCCCAAAGCAAAAAGAAAATCATAATGAGAGAGCCATTACGAAAAAAGAAAATTCCTCCAGACCAAAAGATATTAACGGATAAGGTTCTTGAGAACACAAAACTGAATCAAGAGATTTTCAGAATTATCTGGTATCAGGGTTAACTGGCTTTGCAGCTAGAGGAGAGTTAATGCCAGAAATGAAGCTCGATGTAACTTCAAACGTCTCAAAAGTAACAATGGTTGATCATTTATGCAGAGGGGGGGAAAAAAATTGCCTTTCCAACCAAAAATGGATAAAGAATGGGATATGCTCATTTGATGTTGCCATTAAAAATTCATAAAACGAGTTGGATGTAACAGTATACACAAGGAGACAATGACCCGAGCAGGATCCACAGGATTCACAATATAAATAATCAAAAACCAAACCTTCACTTCACGATAATGAGTTTAAAGTATACAACAGGAAGAAGATAACTACAAGTTAGAAACCAAAAAAGTCAATACAGGAAAAAACTGAGAAAAAACAAAATTGTGAGACCGATACAACTGCACAATTGCACATAATGCCTATAAAAAGACCCCACTGGGAAAAGAATATGGTCGAAAATGAAGATGACCAAAAAATCACTAAATCGAAGATGAACCCTTCTGGTTAGAAGCCAGTATTTGACAACAATAAACGAAAAAGACCAGAACTTTTCGATTTTCCCTTCCATTACCCAAAGTTTTCTCTGCAATTAAACACCAAATGATAAGGACCCAGGAAAAAGAAGAAGAAGAAGCAACATTCTTTACAACCAATATCACAGAACTAACCCCAAAAAAAAAAAAAAAATACTAATGCATATGGAATCAAATAATCAATCAACCCATATGAATACAGCAGTAGAACTTCAGAACATGAGAATTATTACCTTTTTTTCAACAATCCCAATCGATTTAGGCCAAAATGTAGGAGATAATTGATGGGTTGCTTTGAAAATAAGGTAGATAACTCAAAAATTCAGAAAGGGTAATGCAATGATTTTAGTTCAATGGCCAAAGTAGACTGATGATGAATCTTTTGAATGCTCCCCAATAAAATGGCAGAAGTACACACAGTTTAATGAAGGGGAATGGAGCTCCAGAGTGGGAATTAGACCACTGCCATGGGAGAAGCAACAGCACAGCAATGAAGAGAAAAACAAAAACTGAGGCTCAAACACACAATCTAATAAGTAATGGCGGTTGAGTTGTATACAGCTCAGCCTATGCTTTCACTTTTCTTGGGTTTTGCTGCCATGACAATACAAAACGTATGGTACAATACACAACAAAAATGAAAAGAAACCAACAATTGAAGAAAAGGAAGTAATGGGAGTTTATTATGACTCTGTGGAAGAATGATCCGATGATTTTATGGAGCAATTTGGTGACATTGGCGGGGTTTGCTTATTACTCCAAGATTTTATGGAGTACTAATATTTTCTAACAAGTACGATCTTGGAATTGACAATTTTTATTTTTTTTTTACAGGGATAGAGTCTATTAATGAAGTCATGTCACCATTTGTATAGTTTAGTAGTAGTACCTTCAACTTTATTAAAGCACGAGGTCAAATTATTTTCCTTCTCAACTAGCCAGAATCCATTCGTTATCACGTTATGGACTCAAATTTATGTTCTTGTTCTTATATGTCTTTGTCTTTGTCTTCCTGATCATCTTTTCCATGACAAAAGTGATGACTAGTACTTGGCTGGTGATACAAATTTGAAGTCGCGTTATCAATTCATTGAAAACTTAGATGATTTTAGTGAATCATATTCGACCCAAAATTTTCAAGCAATTGGTTTACATAAGTGATTAAACACCTTATAAGTATTGAATTAGTTTCATCTAATGTGTAAGACCAAAGTCCTATAAGAATTTTTTTTTTTGTAACATATTAGAATTGTTATTCATTCCACAATCTCAATAGGGTTTGATTTTCGACATTAAAAAATAATTACCCTGAATTTATTAGCAAATACTTATTCTAACTTAAAATTACTCTCCAGTTTGGATGGGAGCAGAGCAGTAATATCATCTCCCCCTTATTGAGCTGACTGATTTTGATCCCAATTTCAACAAAATTTTCTGGCACAGACAAAAATGATGATTATGATTACATAAAGATGCCCTACAAAGGAGAAGTGATAGAACTCAATATATGGACTTTGATAGGGAACCCAAAAAAATCACCATTACCAAACTATTTTGGATATGTGATAAGTCATAATCTCGCGTAAAAGTGTGGTTGAAAAATCAGAATGACTTTGTCTTTGTTTCTCTAAAACCATTGGAACATAAAAGCTTCAGCCAATATATTTTTTAGGCCGACGAGATATTTTTTTCCAGAAAGGGTCGAAAAATGATGATTGATGACAATTAATTAGCTTTGAGGACGCTTATAAAATATAATGGTGGCCTTGGACCACAAAAAAGTACGTAATTATTTATATATGTATATCACATCTATGAATAATCTTTAGAAAGAATGCCCACTTTTGTGTTCTTTGTGCGGACAGAGATGTTATTGTTGCCCATCTTCGTTCTTTTGGTACTTTTTTCCAACAGGGACAAGGTGCCGTGAGACAAGATAAAGCAAAGTATTTTCTACTTTTGGACGGGAGCTTCATTCAATTTTCTTCTTCTTCTTTTTTTTTAATCAGTTTGCTTTTTTTCTTTGAAATATATCTGATATTAGAAATTTTTATTCTGATTAATCCGAATTCGAAGTTATTATGCCAGTTTCGAAAAGTAAAAAATAGCGCCAAGTTAATCATGGACATGGGATGGCCTTCAGTTCAATCATCAATGACAAACCTTGCAAATTTTATCTTACGCATGATTGAAAAAGAATGACGGGTCTAAAATTAGAAAACAAGTTACTTATTTTGTAATTAGACAATGAGAAATTTCGCCACAAATCTTTTTTTTTTTTTTTTTGCAAAAGAAGGAAACTCCCGCCTTAAGAGAGGAGTTTCTAGTCGTTGTAACTTGCAATCCTTCCGAACCCTGAAATGCCAGTAATGCTAAATAATTTGCAATAAAATTAGTTTCTTAAAACTCATGTACCAGCTCAACCTTCCAAGACTACTTTCGCCACAAATCTTTTTTTTTTTTTTTTTCGCCACAAATCCTTTAACTTCATATTCTGTGTCTTTGCTTGTTGGAATATGCGAGGTAGTCAAATCTTACCATGTTGACTATTGTAATTTTATTTATTTTTAATTCAACTCAAATGGAATAGGTTTAGGGATTTTTTGTGATATTTTATGTGACATACGTGTTTAAGTAATTAGTTATTAATAATATCATAATCAGATGGTTAGTGAACCCTCTTTAACAAGTGATTAAACGCGTGTTGAAATTTTAGTTAATGGTAGAGAGAGTGTAACACATTGAATCAATACTAATCGAGGTACGCATGCTCGTCTCATCAATCAGAATTTCAGATCAAAGGGTACTGTACTTGAAAGGGGTATTGTATATGCAAGCAAAACGAAGCTGAAAAACAATGTCGTCAATTACCCCTGCAAATCCTAATTTGTTTAAGCTGTGTTTGTCTAATTGCTTGCAATAACAAACTAAAATATGATAATCTAAATCAACTTGTCACAATCACATATACGAATACACAAAACTCATGTTGTTAAACTACTATTAAAGCTTAATAAAACTACAAAAGTATCAGAAAATCTGTTGGTTGGCGAGTAAAACAAAACGCAAGTTGCAGCTTATTGGGATGACTTTTTATCACCCAACATCTCTATCTCCGTCAACTAAAACTTTTATATATCTACTTTTCCATCCAACTTGTTGAGCAAACATTAAAGTGCATGCATTTATGCCATTATCACAAGTTGTCTTACGTTTGGAATTATTAACTACTTTATCTTCATATGATTGACGAACTCACTCAGATATATTAAATTTAGGTTCACTTCACTTTGATTCTTGTAGTAATAGTGTTCATATCACCATCAATTATCCACTCAATCTTTGTTTTATTGCGTCTGCTTCCCCCTTCTATCATGTGTCAAAGTGAAAATGTCAAAACCAAAAATAAGGGTGCCATTATTTTCGCGGCAAATGCATGCCACTCTCGCTTAACGTAAATATTGAGTGAGATGTTAGCGGTTGAAATGAAGGAATAAGTTTCACAAGATTTTTTATTTGTTGCATATCATCCCCCAACCTCAATAATCTCATAAGTTATAACTTATAGGTATTTTCATAGGTGAGAGTGTAATGGCATAAGGTCTTCTATAATGCTCCCTGTGATACTGGTTAAATGGTTGATACTTGTTTAAGTAATTAATTACTCACACCTTTAGTAAATGGTTAATGAATCTTATTTGGCAAGTGATTAAAAACGTGTCATACTTTTAATTAATGTCATCTAAAATTTAGTTAAGAGAACAAAGGTATTGAGTCTGGTTTTGGATTCGGATTCATAAACCCAAAACATTGGACCAAGGGCCCAGAAGAGGTCTGATCTTGCGAGTCCGATTGTTAGTGGAAGCACACACACATCAATTTTTAGCGTAAGTCCGCTAGTAGCCAACTAATGCGATTAACTGAAAGAATTATTGGGAGAGCTTTTACATACTGAATATAGACATGTTCAACTTAAAATCTTGATAAATCGGAATAATAAGTTCAGACATGGAATACCTACCTAAGATTCTAATAAAAGCTTTAGAAGAAATAATCTACCACGAAAGTTGTGGGCTTGTGGCCCTTGTGGGTGTCGGTACGTCATTCTTTGCGAAGGGAAATGACGAGATTGTTAAGGAGGCCTTGCCTCATTTCCAAGATGTTCACCAACTTCTTGGCTAGTCTTTGGAACAAACTAGTCATGACGGCCTCCCCAAAATGACTTGCTAAAATGGGTTCACAAACTGCCCTCAGGTATGTGGCCACATATCTAGCCCTACCAATTCGATTATCTTCATCATCGAAAGCTCTGGATTCAAAACTAGCATCGAGACAGGTCTTGAAGGTTTGAAAACGCATGATTTTGAAAGATCCTTCATTTTCAATGATCTGCTTCGCTTCTTGAATTGTAGGGTGGTAGATGGGCATATTGAATGTGTCCAACTTCTCCTCCTCTATGTGTCCCTAAAGCCAATCAAAGTAACATAGAGTCATATTCCTGTAATTGTAATTTGCTAGATGTGTCTCTTTCATTGTAACAAAAAAAAAAAAAAAAACCTTTAGACACTAATTTCTAAAAGATATTTTGCGTATATCTATTGCTCCAATCAATCCGCGGGTTCATTGAAATGCCCACTTAGCTTATTATGATGATAAATTATCCAATCACAACTAGATCAACAAATTCAGGATTAGTATTAAAGATTTGAGTCTCCCTTATTTTTGGGACAGAAAATGTATGAAAATGATGAACTTCATGGTGAAAAGTAAATCTTTCACTATAATTTAGGCGCAGATGTATAGGGGTTAAAACGAACTAATTTACCTCAGCCACCATGTCGGATAAAGCATTCCCCAACAAAGATAGGTAGTCGGAACCTTCAACTCCCTCGCTATCTTTACATATAAATGTTAAAAATACTTGTCCATGTTTTACCATCTCCCGAGAACGCATTCTTAAAAACATCATAAAGTCTGTAGTAAATTGGTTTAAATATGCTTGTTGCACATAAGGAGGACTTGTCTTGTTATAGTAAATACTTCCCTTATTCCTTGGTTTCCCCGATTCCGTCGACAACCCTCCAGGTACCTGAAAAATCATACTCCCGGTTAAATAATATTCATTCTGTTTTGGAATGATATCTATTTAAATTTTATTCCTTCCCTCCGATCTTTATTATAAGGCATTTTGATTTTATCTTAGATTTTATCTAGAATGTTATTTTAATTAAAAAGAAAATCTTAAAAATATATTTTCACATTCATTTTGCTCTTCTAATTATTAGAAAATGTTTTTAAAATTTTTATTTCATTAAAAAAGATAACTTAGGTGAAACTTAGGACAAATTAAAATGCCTTATAATTAGAACTGGAGGGAGTATCTTTTAGAACAATTTATATTAAACAAAAAAATCTAAATTGAACAGTTATATTAGGATAGATGAAATACTCGGAAACAATTTGCCCTCGTTAATTTAGGTTCTGTTGTGAACGTTAACCTTAGATCTCTCAAATTAAGGAAGTAGTGAGAGCTCAAACATTTGGAAAACTTGACATATTTCGTTGACAATTTGATTACTTGTGTTATCTTGAAATTATAAACAATCTAACTATAAATGTAAATTATTTTTGTGGGATGGAAGGAGTAATTAATTAAAAAGGTAGAGAACAAAACCATAATGCCAGTACCTGGGATAACCAGTGGAGACAGTAAGAAGAGTGAACAAAGTGCATGGAGCGATCCGGAAACAACTTGCCGTAGAAACTGCCCGGCAGAGCCGCAATGTGGCATGACCCGAATTTCCGACCATTTTCTTGATTCTCTAGCCTTTCATAAATCTTGGGCAGCCCTTTAAAAACAAGGTTAAAATCATTGGACACCAGATCATTCAGGAAATACTGAATGTTGGGCAGTTCTTCATCTGAAATTTGGGACCAAGCTTCGTCGATGCTCCGTACGATATGTTGGATGGTCACAAATGTATTTGGCCCTGAAGAGCATCCCAGATCAGCTACCTTGATGCAATCATTTGGGAGATCCATTTCCACCATTTCTCGTAACCAACATTTTCCGATGTATTTTCGAAGGAAGGGCTTCACTTTCCTCAAAATCAACCTCTATACTTAATCAAACACACATGTATATATTTATATGAATAATGATATTCCACTTTACAACTCTGCGAAAGTAACATTAATTACTCCAGTTGTTCATTTTGCGTACAACTATGTATAAATTAAATTTCTGTACATGTACATACTATTTTTGTTACTAAAAAAAAGAAATACTAGTAAGTAAAGATAGTAGAGAATAAGTAGAGGTTTAATAAATTACTTGATGAGAAGAATTTCGGGAGTAGCTGGCTTCATCTTCGCCTCCATTCATGTGAAAGACTTCGTGCATTTCCATTTTCATACTCTATAAAGCGATGGTCTTCTGCTGCCTATTTGTTTATTTTAGTGGAAGGAATTTCCAAAGAGGGAGTGCATTGAATTAATATGTACGTAAAGGAAAAATGGAGAATGTGATAAAAGTGTCTGTCTATTATCGCATAATGTTATCAAAACTATATATAGGTGTAGAAACGTGCCTTCCCTTTTCATCAAAAAACAAAAATAAAAATAAAAACTAGTATACATATAAGGTGGCTTGACCTCTTGTCACGTGTTGTTTTAAATGTGCCGAACTCTTCAAATTTGGTCGGTCATCCACTCTTCCTCTCCAAATTTAGAAACTTTATGGTTCACATTGTATTGCAAATCCTTTTCCTCGTCTGCTTTGAATACACACTTCACCAACGTTGGTAGGTCTGGAATCTGGATATGTTGATTCAGAGGACTTCTCCCTTAAACCTAAATAATTATCATTCTCATGGTTTCTCTCTCTCTTACAACTTGTTCTCGTCTTCTCCTTGTCTTGTTGCCATTTTTCTTTTTCTCCCATGGGGAATTAATTAATAATCATAATGTTTATAACTTTAAAAAAGAGAGGTTTTGGTTTGTACTGCAGAAAATAGATAAACATTGATTTTGCGTATATTATCAAATACGACGCTCTCGGTTCTCATGACTACCATTGGTGAGATTTTCACAACAGCGAAAAATAAATGTTATAGCTATAAAAGAAAAAAGAAAAAAAGTGTACGTTTCCTTTACAAATACTACAGTGTTACGACATACACCTTGAATTATAATTTTGAATTTTTCAACAATTGAAGTTAATATATTGAATTTACACTTTATTCCTAAAATACTTCTTTTGGAAAAAAAGAAAAAGAAAAAATGAGATTTAGATACTAGAACATTTGTCAACTACAAAACTCGTGCATAGTGTGGAACTTATGCAGTGAAATTAAAGGACATGGCAATAGATAATTTGAGAAAAATAGACAACCGATGGCAGATGCTCCACAGAAAATGTCTTATGTGTACATTATACACGTTATCTACGTCCTTCATCACTTGAGTGGTGCAAAATGAACCATCGTCTTCCCTTTATGATGAACTGTTGAACTTTTGCTATCTAAACTTGATCACAAATTCACAATTAACCAAAGGGGTTGTATTCTGGTGGAATCCTCCACCCCTTAATCATAAGTTAAAAGATTCGAACATGAACATAAAATAACTTTAAATACCAATTTTTTTACCCATCAAAATACTTATTATGAGTGTCAATGTAATAATTATCACATGTTAGTTGTGTTGAGAGTCATATGGCAAGAATTATGAATCCTACATCGGAGGCACGAGGACATGTGAATCAGTTAATAAGTAAGGTGGATTCAGAACCCATTAACTTGAGCTTTTGAGTTCAGATGGGTCTTATCTTACTTATTAGGCTCCATGTCGGGTTTTTTCCTCCGAATAAATCCACAACAGTGGTATCAGAGCTACGGTTCGGTAGTTGAGGTGTTACACCAATAAAATGGAAGAGTCATCGGGTGCTAGTACGATGATTAAATTAACTTCATCCAATTATCATATGTGGAAACCTAGAATGGAAGACTTGTTGTATTGCAAAGATTTGTTTGATCCTGTTCTAGGGGATGAAGGTAGGCTAAGTGATATGACTGATAAAAAGTGGGCTAACATGCACAGGAAGACTGTTGGTAATATTCGATAGTGGATTGATCAAAGTGTATTTCATAACTTTTCGGGAGAAACAAAAGCTGATGAACTTTGGGAGAAAATCCAGAATATGTACTTGAAGAAGTCCGGCATCAATAAGTCATTTGCACTGAAACAGATTATCAGGTTGAGGAACAAAGATGGTGCTAGCATGAATGAGCACTTGAGTTTGTTTCAGGGTTTGTTGAACCAACCTGTGAATGTAGGTTTAAAGTTGGATGATGAGGTGCAAGCTTTGTTATTGTTTGGTTCTCTTCCAGACAGTTAGGACACTTTGGTAGTGTCAATCAGTAATTCAACCCAGGATGGTGTCTTGACCTTAGATCAGGTCAAAGAGGCTTTGATAAATGAAGAAGTCAGAAGAAAAGAGCAGAGTATTGAGTCTGAGTCGCATGCTCTGGTGACAGAAAAGTCAGACATAAGAGGGAGAAGTAAAAGCAGAGGGCCACGTGATCAGAATGACAAGTCCAGGGGACGGTATAAATCCAAGAAAGATGTCGTCTACTACCATTCTCAAGGGAATAGGCACTTTAAGAGGGAGTGTAGGGTTCTCAAGAGAGAACTAGCAGCGAGAAAAAGTAAAGGCAAGAAGGATGAATCAAGTGATGATGACACTACTGCAGTAGTAACTACCAGTAATGTATTTGTGTACTGTGATGATGATACAATTAATGTTGTGAGTCACGACAGTGATTGGTTAGGTGATTCAGGTGCGTCTTATCATGTGACGCCTCACAGACACTTCTTTACCTCTTACACACCTGGAGATTTTGGTCATGTAAGAATGGGCAACCAAGCCTCATGTGATGTTGTCGGCATGGGAGAGGTATCATTGATAACGAATACAGGTTGTACTCTTGTCTTGAAGAATGTTAGACATGTTCCGGATATGCGTCTGAACCTTATTTCCGTTGGTAAATTTGATGATGAGGGTTATCATAGCACTGAAGGTGGTGGCCGTTGGACAATTACCAGAGGGAATCTTGTTATTGCTAGAGGAAAGAAGTTGAACTCTTTGTATGTGTTGAATGCAAAGTTGAAGAATGGAGAGGTGAATGCGACTCACAATGCCTCCATTGATCTCTGGCACAGAAGGCTTGGACACATGAGTGTTAAGGGGTTGCAGATTCTTGGTAAGAAGCAATTTCTCCCGGAGGTGAAATGTACTGCTCTAGAACCTTGTGTTGACTGCATCTATGGTAAATAACATAAGGTTTCCTTTCAAAATTCTCCTCCATCTAGAAAGTCCAGTCCTCTATAGTTAGTTCATACAGATGTATGTTACATGAAAGATAGGTCGTTGGGTGGAGCATTGTACTTTGTTACTATCATTGATAACTATGCTCGAAAGGTTTGGTGTTTTTCTTTGAAATCTAAAGACCAGGTATTAGATGTGTTCAAAGGCCTTCACCTTAGAGTTGAAAGAGAGACTGGCAAGAAGTTGAAGTGTGTTCGAGCAGATAATGGTGGTGAGTACAGGGGTCCGTTTGAGAAGTATTGCCGAGACCATGGCATTAAACTTCAGAAGAGTGTTCCGAAGATTTCGCAGCAGAATGGCATGGCAGAAAGAATGAACAGAACTATTACCGAAAAGGTTAGGTGTATGCTCTCGAATGCAAAGCTGCCTAAATCTTTTTGGGGTGAAGCCATGTAGACAACAGTTGATTTGATCAACCTATCTCCCTCAGTTGTGTTGGATAGTGATCTACCACAACGAGTTTGGACAGGGAAATATGTCTCATTTAGGCATTTGCGAGTTTTTGGTTGTCGTGCCTTTGTTCATATTCCCAAAGATGAAAGGTCGAAGCTTGATGGCAAATCCAAGCAGTGTGTATTCTTGGGGTATGGAAATGATGATTTTGGGTACAGACTTTGGGATCCTGTAGAGAAGAAAGTTTTCAGAAGCAGAGATGTGATCTTCTTTGAAGACTAGAACATTGATGATATAGGAAAAGGCGAGATGCGAGAATCTTTACCTGAGATTCCTGTTGATCTAGATCCAGTTCCTCCACAATCAGATGATTCTCCTGAAGGGGGAGCTGAGACAGAGCAGGATGGTGAGTTTGATGATGATCCTGCTAATGAAACAGAGACACCACCGGTTTCATCACCTCATGTTCAGCCTAGGAGGTCCACCAGAGACAAGAGACCTTCCACCAGGTACAGTGCTCATGAGTATTTGTTGCTCACTGATGGGGGAGAGCCATAGTTGTATGAAGAGGCTCTTAGTCATGAGCAGAAAGATCAGTGGTTAGCAGCCATGCAAGATGAGATCAAATCCTTGCATGAGAATAACACGTATGACCTGGTGAAGCTGCCTAAGGGCAAGAGAGCACTCAAGAATAAATGGGTGTTTAGACTAAAAACAAGTGAGAACAGCTCACAACCAAGGTACAAAGCCAGATTGGTTGTGAAGGGATTCAATCAGAGAAAGGGCGTAGACTTTGATGAGATATTCTCTCCTGTTGTAAAGATGTCTTCGATCCGAGTTGTGCTTGGGATAGCAGCCAGCTTGAATCTTGAGATTGAACAGCTTGATGTGAAGACAGCCTTCTTACATGGTGATTTGGAAGAAGAGATTTACATGGAGCAACCAGATGGGTTTCAGGAGAAGGGGAAAGAGAAGCTTGTATGTCGTCTCAACAAAAGCTTGTATGGGTTGAAGCAAGCTCCGAGGCAATGGTACAAGTTTGATGCCTTTATGATAGGGCAGGGATACCAAAGGACTACAGCTGATCACTGAGTATTTGTAAATAAATTCTCTGATGGTGATTTTATAATTCTTTTGCTTTATGTCGATGACATGTTGATTGTTAGTCATGATACCGTAAAGATTGCCAAGTTGAAAAAGGAGTTGAATAAATTCTTTGCGATGAAGGATTTGGGTCCGACTAGATAGATCCTTGGGATGAAGATTTCTCGTGACAGACAGAATGGGAAGTTTTGGGTATCTCAAAAGAAGTATATCGAGAAGGTTCTTAATAGGTTTAACATGAGTGGTGCTAAGGAAGTCTCGACTCCACTTGTAGGGCATTTTAAGTTAACGCAGTGTCCTAAAAGTGAGAAAGATAAGGAAGAAATGAAAAAGGTTCCTTATGCTTCGGCAGTTGGCAGGCTGATGTATGCAATGGTTTGCACAAGGCCAGACATAGCTCATGCAGTTGGTGTTGTTAGTCGGTTTCTCTCCAATCCTGGTAAGGAGCATTGAAATGCTGTGAAATGGATTCTCAGGTATCTTAGGGGTACTTCCAGATTGAGTATTTCCTTTGGCAATGGGAAGACCATGTTTGATGGATATACAGATGCTGACATGGCGGGTGACCTTGATGGTCGGAATTCTACTTCTGGTTACTTGATGACTTATGGAGGGGGAGCAGTTTTATGGCAGAGTAGATTGCAAAAATGTGTTGCTTTGTCTACAACAGAGGCAGAGTTTATCGCAACTACTGAATCTTGTAAGGAAGCACTTTGGTTGCAGAAGTTTCTACAAGAGCTTGGCATGAAGCAAGAGAAGTATGTGGTGCATTGTGATAGCCAGAGCGATATTCACTTAGCGAAAAATTTCACATTTCATTCGCGGTCAAAACATATTGATGTGAGATATCATTGGATCCGGGATGTGTTGGACTCCAAGGCGTTGTTTCTTGTGAAGATCCATACGGATGACAATAGTGCCGATATGTTGACGAAGACTGTGAATAAAGAGAAGCTTCTGTTCTGTAGACAGGAAGCGGGTTTGGTTTTACCCCCCAATTGAGGTGAAGGGGGAGATTGGTGGTCCGCTATTCCCCTCAATTGGGTCAACAAGGAAACAAATAAAACCAAGCCAAATTTGGCTTTGGTTTTAGGAAACAAAATCTACTCCAATTGGGTTTTTGTTTTTAGGCTTTTTTTGCTCTATAAAAGCAAGGCTTTGGCATAATTTTTTAGGCGTGTGTGTTTTTAGCCAAGAAGAGAAAAAAATTAGGGTAGCCGTGCATTGTTTTTGTACGAGAGAAAAAGAAAGAAAGTTAGGGTTTAGTTTTCGGTTTAACTCTCTTTTGTTTAGATCCTTCCAGTCCTACTTTATGATAGGTGTGTGTGGAAGTTTATTGTTGTAATCCACCTTTGGGTGAAGTCCTGTGTATCCACCGGTTGGTGAAGACTGTTTTTCCCATTATTTTGATAGTGGAGATTTGACTGTTTTTACAGTCCCGTGGTTTTTTCCGATTTGGATTTGCACGTAAATTCGTGTGTCTCCTTTATTTTATCAGTTCTTGAATTAGTTGCTTCTTTGGTTGGTTGTCCTATTTTATTGGTAGTAGGAAAAGAGATTTTCTTGGGGTTCGCTTCCGTGGTTTGTTGTGTTTATACCCTTTCCGCCACAACAGTGGTATCAGAGCCCAGGTTGGGCCAAGTGGGTGGGCGATTTAGCCCAAATTATCTCGGTTGATCTGACTGAATCCAGGCAGTCAAAGGCCCACTACGAGCGGAAACGTAGAGATTGGCGGCCCAGTTACTCAGGTGAAGTACAGATTTGGGCTTGTCAAGATAATTTGGAAGTCCGATGTGGAGATTGCTCATGACAGGGGAGAATGTTGAGAGTCATGTGGCAAGGATTATGAATCCCACATCGGAGGCACGAGAACATGTGAATCAGTTAATAAGTAAGGTAGATTCAGAACCCATTAGTTTGAGCTTTTGAATTCAGATGGGTCTTATCTTACTTATCGGGCTCCATGTCGGGTTTTCTCCTCCGAATAAATCCCTAACAAGTTGTGATATTATGTAATTAGGATTATCTTATATTTGATATTATCTCATGTGTTGTTATCCTAGTTTAGGTTCTTCTATTTAAGTCATGTAATAATCTAGTGATTAATTGCTCAATTGAAGCCACTCCACTCTCTAAGTATGTTATGTTAAAGCGAAATACATTTATTCAAAATACCCCAAAAAGAAAAAATCTAGTGACGCAGGGTGAAGCAAAGCCTTCATTTCATCCATGTTTTCAAAGGGAGGAATTCATTAATAGCTAGTTTGGCCAAACTTGCCTCATAGATGCAATTTTCTCAGTGCTGGCGATTGAAGTATCTAATGCCTATAATGACAGCTCCCCGATCCATCCACTCCTTTAAAAGGGCTACTTTCATGTAAATGCATGACTATGCTCTCGCTATTGAGTCAATGGTAGGCCGATGCCAGATAAAATGGTATAGGCAAAATAATGAGAACAAATTCTAAAAGGGTAGTTCATGATCAGACCCCTAACGTAGTTATCCTCCAACAATTGTGTGTTTCTTAGACAATAGAAAATTTTTATTATGTAAAATGATTTAAACTATATAACACGTTTTCTAATCATATTTTTAGATTATTAGATATAAGTTTTTTTTTTTAATAAGGAAAAACTGAAAAAAAAAACAAAAGGAAATTAAGCATTAGACTCGCGCGTCAACACACGATCAGTTGGGAGACGCTTGTGTCATAGGCGCGCCCCATATTACCTTCTTTTTCTTTTTTCTTTTTTTTTTTTGGGTTACGATAAATAAAGACTCAACCCCTGCAATTTAAATGAAAACACTATGGAAGTAAACTATGCCTATAATATCAAGCTCAAGTCAAGGTAAACATCGATGGTGGATCATCGAGTCATTATAAACCTCATGGGCTCAAGGAAGGTGAAGTTTCATTCACATGTTTTATATTAATCCTGGCATGGCAAGACATGTAAAACAAGTTAACAGAATCAAAGATCAAACTAGAAGCTTCAGGAAGAAGCTTCAAGAAGAAGAAAGAAACTGAAAACGAGAGCAGAGCTTTAGATCTGAAAATTCTGCATCATATATGCTTTACAATCGCTAAGTTACTTTTACAATGAAGCTAATCCAGTATTTATAGACAACTAGTAGCTAATCCTCATCTAATTCTGTACACGTGAATTGTAGAATATACAAACTCTAAGGCAGTTTCCAGAACTTATTTTGCGTAACTTCCTCGCTGAAAGCTGACGTAATATCGGAACAAGTGGCTGGAAGCTTCTTCTCTTTCGGTCGAGAATTCATGCTGCAACTCGTTTCTTCATTGCTGATGTGGACAAGACCATGTGAAGCAACTTGATCACAAGGCGTGATTGCAGACGTCAAAGTCGTGGCTGCCACGCTGCTGTGTGAGTTAGGAGGCGTGAAGTCATTTTGTACTGAAGGCGTGATCAGAGAACTCTTCAACATGCTTATTCGGTTATTACCTCTATCCAAAAAAAAAAAAAAAAATAGTCAATCTTGAGTTTTCAAATTTGTACTTTTTGTTCAATACATCACTTAATTAATTGCATGATAATATTATTGTACTAGGAATATGTCTCCACTCCATAAATCTTAAGGCCAGTCGTTTACTTCTGAAACATCAAAGAACTGATCTAGTGCATTATTCATAGGTCGATCGATTAGGCTCTATCATATTCGGAGGAGTTTTTACCACTCCTTTATTATCTACCACTATACTTTTCTTAGTCTCCAACCAACCTGCTTTGAGTTTCAACAATATGCAAACCTGTTCCATTCGGTATTTTTGTTTTTGTTTCTAATCGGATTGCCATCATTCTTTGCGAAGGGAAATGACCAGATTATTGAGGAGGCCTTGCCTCTTCTCCACGACATTCGCCAACTTGTTTTCGAATCTATGGAACAAACTATCCATAATGGTCTCCCCAAAATGACTTGCCAAAATCGGTTCAAAAACTGCCCTCAGGTAAGTGGCCACATATCTAGCCCTAACCATCCGATTATCTTCATCATCACAGGTTCTGCTTTTGAAACCAGCATCGAGACAGGTCTTGAAGGTTTGAAATTTTAGGATTTTGAATGATTCTTCATTTTCGATTATCTTCTTCACTTCTTGGATTGAAGGCTCGTAGATGGGCAGATTGAAAGTATCCAACTTCTTGTCCTCTATGTATCCCTGACACAAATCAAAGTAACATAAATCAAGATCCCTAAAAGCTTATTATGTATATACCCATGGAAATATTTGGTTGTGGGGCAAGGGAGATTTTGAAATTAATAAAAGGGTATGATCATAAAATATTTTTTATTAAGCGCAGAAGATATATTACTCAATATCATAAAATTAACACATTTGTACTTAGACATATTTGCCCTTAGTTTGACGAATATTTTTTTATTTTGAAACGGGTAAAATATAAGAATGATAAAAGTTAGAGCGAAAAAGTTATTTTTGCCTCCTTCAATTCTCTTATAATAGTCGCACATACATGATATTAAAAAAAATATTGATTACCTCAGTTACCAAGTCCGATAAAGCATTCTCCATCAAAGATAAGTAGTGGGAACCTTCAACTTCCTCGCTATCTTTGCATATAAACGTTAAAAGTATTTGCCCGTGTTTTACCATCTCTTCAGAACGCATTCTTAAAAACATTGTAAAGTCTCGAGTAAATTGGTCCAAAAATGCTTGGTGCACATAAGAAGGACTTGCTTTGTCATCGTAAATGCTTCCCTTATCCCTTGGCTTGCCCGATTCTGGAATCAGCCCGTCGGGAACCTGTAAAACTATACCGCTGGTTAAATATAGAACTTCCTCGATCCGTTTTTATAAGAAAAAAATCCATATTAAATTTTAAAATTTTTAATACAAATTTCCTCATGTCCTGGAAAAATAGTCTACATTGAATTTTCAAATTTGTACTAGTTTTAGCTCAAATTTCAAAATTTAATGTCGACTATTTTTCTACGACGGAAAGAGTATTTTTTTAAACAGAGAGAGTACTTGGAAACAATATAACAAAGTTTTAAAATTCTGTTTAATTTGAAGATTAATCAGATGCTCAAATATTTGGAGAACCCTAGTTTCAAACCTGGGATAACCAGTGGAGACAGTAAGAAGAGTGGACAAAGTGCATGGAGCCATCCGGAAACAACTTGCCGTAGAAGCTGCCCGGCATAGCCGCAATGTGGCATGACCCGTATTTCCGACCATTTTGTTTTCTCTCCAGTTCTTCATAAAACTGAGGCAACCCTTTGAAAACAAGGTTGAAATCATTGGAGACAAGATCATTTAGAAAATACTGAATGTTGGGTAGTTCTGCATCTGAAATTTGGGACCAGGCTTCATCGATGCTTTGTACGATGTGTTGGATTGTCAGAAATGTATTTGGCCCAGAGCAACATCCCAAATCTGCTACTTTTATGCAATTATTATTTGGGAGATCCATTTCCATCATGTCCCTAAACAATTTGTCTGTGCATTTTTTGAGGATGGGCTTCACTTCCCTCAGAATCAACCTCTTTTTAAACGAACACACACATATACAAAAAGAAACATTACTCCTTAATTTTTCTTCTTTTTGGTACAAAAAGAAACATTACTTTAGTTATCAGTTGTCCACTTGCATTCAACGATATACTACCTCTGACCCCATAATGTAGTCATCATTGAGTTATGAGATTTTTACTAATAACAATAAAAAAAATTCAAAAGTCATTATGATTTTATTATTAATTTATTTTTAGACATAGATAGTATAAAGTAATAAATTATTGTGTTTTGTCTTTGTTCCAGAATAAAAAGGACTTTTTTTGGGACGAATGAAGTCGTAGCAATATAGAGAATTAGAGATAAATTACTTGTTGAGAAGAATTTTGGGAGTAGCTTGCTTCATCTTCGCCTCCAATCATATGAAAGACTTTGTGCATTTCCATATTTACACTCTATCCCGTGGTCGTCTTCTGCTGCCCATGTGTTTTATTTTCGTGGAAAGAGTTTATTGCAAAGCGGGAATGTGGGATACAAATACAATATAGGGCCGGAGTGCATTGAGTTAATATGTAAAGGAAAAATGAATAATAAGTGAAAATGTATAATCTCATTATATTATCAAAACTATATATAAGTTGGTTTGACCTCTTCTCACGTGTTAAATGAGTGTGCCGAACTCTTCCAATTTTGTCGTTTCTTCCCTCCAAATTTAGTAAGCTTATGGTTCAGCTTCTGTTACAAATCCTTTTCATCTTTTGATTGAATTCGAACGTTGGTAGGTCTGGAATCTTGGTACGATGATATAAAAACCTAAATAATTGTTACTGTATTGGTTTCTCCCTCTCTCACTCGTTCTCTTCTTCTACTCCTCTTGTGGCCATTTTTCTTTCTCCCATAATATCATGTTTAACTTATAAGAGAGATTTTGGTTTGTAATGCAGAAACTAGTTAGATATAAATTTGCGCATGTTGTGAAATACTACTCTATTCGTCCCAAAAAAATATTCCATATTGAGACTTAAGTTTTATACTATTTTAAGTATAAATTTGAAAACTCAATACGAACTATTTTTTTGGGACGGAGGTAGTATTATTAACATTAACATATTTCCAAGTAAAAGTGTAAAGGCATACAATAGTCTGGGTAAAGGAATTGTTAATTAGTTTTTGTAAGCACAATAACGAGAACAAGGAATAACATATCGCGTCATAGAAGGAGACGCTCCCATTGGTGAGATCCCACAACAGCGAAAAATATATATTTCAGCTATTTTTTTTATTTAAATTACTTTGGAGGTTTATATTTAAATTTACTAATCCAACAAATGCTACAAGTACGTGTTTCTGCTATAATTTATAAGTTTCCTATAAAATTTCCCTTTTTAACAAATATAACTGTTTTACGTCCATAAAAGGTTTACTTTAATTCTTACAACAAAAGGAATCTCCTGACTGTATCTCAAAAATATGTACAGGTGACAAACCTTGGTATAAAAATTCTAATTTTTCCATAATTGAAGTCAATACATTAACTTTACGCTTTATTTCTAAACAACTCCATCCAATTGTATAAACAATAAAAATTCAAATTGACAATAATTTTAGGACGGAAGAAATACTACTACTTAGCCATTATACTATAAATATCTGTCGATTACAAAACTCGTGCATAATGTGGAATTCATGCTTTGCAATAAATGGACATGGGTGTAGATACTTTGAGAAAAATGGACAACCGATGACAGATGCTGCACAGAAATTGTCGGGTACATACATTATACACGTTATCCACATACTTCATCACTTGGGTGGTGCAAGATGAACCATGATCATCTTCCCTATATTATGAACTTGTGGAACATTTTGCTATCTAAACCTTCATGTTGGTATTAATTCAAAACATCTCCCGCAAATTTTAATTTCTTTTTTGTTGGAGTGCAAGCTCTTTTTTTCCCCCTACAAAGAATGAGACGGGTAACTGAATTTAAGTTGCTGGAAAGTTAACATGAGGATATTTCATATTTGAATTTTCGGCCGCAAATAAGTAAATACTTAACCTGAGATCGGGAAGTGACATTTTCAAGAGTGCATTACGCCCATATCAAAGATATATGTTTTTGTCCTATTTTTACCGGGGGATAAAAAGATTATAGATTCAATCATCAAAGGAGCCCAACGAAAATAAACATTCCAAACCCCTTCCATGTACGGGTAATGACAACGCAAAAAGTTTGTTGGACGATATGGGAGCTTGATTTGTGGTATATGTGTGTTATTGTGTTGGGATTGGCAGCTGAAGATCAAACGTATTTTTTGGGAGTTCAATTTTGCAGCGGACTACTTAGTATCTGAAGCGACACAATATTCAGTAGGATTGCATTATCTAAAAGTGTCATCTAATAAAGTAAAATCATGGTTTAGAACACGATGTTATCGGTATTTTTTATCGTTGAAATATTCTAATTTAATTTTTTAGGCATTTTGCCTTCTTATTTGTAGGAAAAAAAAAGTTACTATTAAACAGAATGGCAACATAAATTTCTCAAAGCAAACTTTATAATGGTCTACAGTGACTACATTCTCTATCAAAATAGGTGACATGATGGCCGGTCTCTTACCTAGAAATGTAGCAACCTAATTCCGTAGTTTGTGCCTCATTTTATTGCAAAAAAAATTATAATAATCAAAATGGAAGGAGGGGGAGGGGGGTGGCGGGTTGTGGGGAACTGAACCAAAACTCTATCAAATAGGAGTACTAGCCAAAGAGCACGTTGTTGAATTCAAAACAGAAATAAAATGGACTAGGCCAAACAAGTATTAGCATACGGTAGGTCATGTATTGAAGGAAAACGCTAATGTTATATCTAAACAAAATAGATCTCAAAAACGAATTGAAGCATACAACAATAATCGTATGTACATTCAAAATTTATAATTGACGGAGATGCGTGACTTTTGGTTTTACGTAAAAAAAAGAGTGCTAGACGTAATAAAAATGAAATGTACAAGATGAAATGTTGGCATTTGTGGTAGGAGGCATGTCCTGAGCAGTTTTCATGTGAGTGAATAGAAAAAATATGCAGTTGTTTACCCAAAAAGAAATTAATTGACTACGCTTTTTAACATATATAAATCCTAGACATTATTGAATTAATTGACAAAAATATTACTAGTTAAAAAAAAAAAGAAGAAGAAGACAAAGAATGGTCGATTTTAAAAAATGGTAAAATGAAAACTCTCCCCGAGAAATTGATAACTCCTCATAAAAGTCTACATCCATGGTGCAGAAGAACTAGAGTGGAAACTTTACAGATCGAGTTATGATAATTAAAGATACTACTTAGGTGATATTTGTTTGTCCTTGAACTTCCTTAGTATTCAACTGTTCATTGTGGATTTTTCGTGTTTAATTTTTTTTTTTCTTTCAATTGTTAGATCAGATTTAAGTTTATAAGACAACGTAATGAATTAAATTAAATTAATAAAACCAAATAACCCAACAGAAAAATTGCAAAATGACTTGAGAAGAAAATTTTAAAATGAAATTGGTAAACTTCTATTAAATAATCTTGTAAAACTTTATGAGTTTTGACTTTATTTATTGGAGTAAAGGAATTAATTAGGAACAGCAGCATTTGCATTTTCCCAAAAAATGAGTGCATCTGCCATCGTTACAACCTTGTTCTTTACATGCAGGCTTACAATCTTTGGAATCCCAACAAGGCCCCGTGAAATATTTAGATGGTACATCGCAATCAGCCTCAACAACCTTCATCTCTTCATCTATTATTCACCCAAAAAACAAAAAAGAGAAAAAGAAAAGAAGCTAATTAGTATCAACTAAAATATTGATTTATGATATAACTTATATATGTCCCAGACAAATTAAAGCGATTTAATTAATTTTGAAATGTTATTAGTAATACACGAATTAAGAACAGTATATCGAAATCATGAGTTTGAGGTTAAAAGTTTGGTTGAAAAAAATCCAAGAAAAAACGAACATTAAACTCTGACTTACGAGAAACAAAGAGGAGGAAGATTAATATGCTGCAAAGAAAGCTCCTCATCGTTGTCATCTTAATCATATTTCCTAACGTCTCAAAGAAGAAAGGTGCTCACAATGTAAAAAGTGGTTCCAGAAAATGTCAATTTATACTAGTAACTTTCTGGATAATTAAGTACGTAATTAGTGTGCAATTATTATTGTAATCTTCCCTCCCATAAGTTGCCATATTCAATGGAGAAAATTCATATGTATAATTGGAATATTATGTATAATTATTACTAGGATAATATACCATTTTTTACCAAATATTATTTTTATAGGGTTGCCAACTTGTAACTTGTTTACTGCACTTTTTGGTTTGAATTTATTTTAAAACTTAATTAAATAATTAGGCATGTGATATTGCCAGGACAATAAATTAAATAGTTTCCAAAGCAAAAAAATGAAAATGTCTTCTTTTTCGAAATTACCCTTCATTGGTCAAAATGAACTCATCTTGCTCATCTTAATTACTAGAAAAAAAATTAAAAAAAAAATAGTCCAACCTCCAATTACACTGTCTAACACCAACTTTTTCTTGTCTAATACTATTCTAAAACCTGTCGTAATCGTCCTGCTATTAGAAACGTTGCAACTACGAAGAGGCATCGATTTTCCCATCTATGAAGAAGCAGGGAAGGACAACATTCTTCATGACTTTCTCATGGGTAATTCAGCACATCCTGATATCAACATAGACTTTCATTATAATAATTGTAAATAATATTTCAGATCTTTTACTGACGTTATCGAATTATAATATTTTATCATAAATGAATACAATATGGGGAACATTTAGAAGACAATCAACAAAACAACCAGTTGGTAAAGCATCAATAGTTGTCACCATTCTCTGCGAAGGGAAATGACCAGATTATTAAGGAGGCCTTGCCTCTTCTCCACCAAATTCACCAACTTATTTTGGTACCTGTGGAACAATCCATCCATAATGGACTCCCCAAAATGACTTTCTAAAATCGGTCCAAAAACTGCCCTCAAGTAAGTGGCCACATATCTAGCCCTAACGATTCCATCATCAAGAGTTCTGGATTCGAAGCTAGCATCGAGACAAGTCTTGAAGTTTTGAAATCGTAGGATTTTGAACGATCCTTCATCCTCGATTATCTGCTTCACTTCCTGGATTGAAGGCTCGTAGATGGGCAGACTGAAAGTATCCAATTTCTCTTCCTCTATGTGTCCCTAATGTAGTAATTACGTATCCAATCAAATTAAACAAATGTAGCACATCTATACAACCCATAATCTCTGGGGAAAGAAAAAATAAAAATATTGTGAATGTCTATTGATTACCTCAGTAACCATGTCAGATAAAGCCATCCCCATTAAAAGTAGGTAGTGGGAGCCTTCAACTTCCTCGCTATCTTGACATAAAAATGTTAGAAGCAACTGCCCATATTTCACCATTTCTTGAGAACGCATCCTCAAGAACGTGGTAAAATCTCGTGTGAACTGGTCAACATATGCTTGATGCACGTTGGAAGGACTTGTCTTGATAGCGCAAATGCTCTTCCCCTTATTCTTTGGCATCCCTGATTCCATCACCAGTCCACGAGGAACCTGAATATCAACATTGAAATATACTACCCCCGTCACAAAAAAATAATCCGCGTTGAGTTTTTAAATTTGTACCAGTTTTAATACAAATCTCAAAACCTAATATGAACTATTTTTTTGGGACGGAAGGAGTACTACTACTATTTAATCACTTATAATTAATAATGTCAATTTGATTATTTTTGTCATTGTTGATTTTCGAAGTTTTTGTTAAAGCAATAATAGAGCCAATGAATTTATAGTGTAATGACTTTGATGAATCGGGGAAGAGCTTAAAGTAACACCCCGGCTAAACATTGGAAGAATTAGTGGAAGTAAACTAATTATGGAATTCTTGTTTCCGATCACGCGCGAAAAAGGATCGAAGCTAATTATATATATATATATATATATATATATATATATATAAAAAGAAAAGCTAATGAATTCCAATTTCCAAACCTGAGACAACCAGTGCATACTGTAAGAAGAATGCAGGAAATGCATGGAGCTGTCCGGAAACAACCTTCCGTGGAAGCTTCCCGGCATAGCTGCGATGAGAAATGAACCGCATTTCCGACCATTTTCTTTCTCAAGGTTTTCATAAACACGAGGCAACCCTTTGAAAACAAGATTGAAATCATTGGAGACGAGATCATTCAGAAAATACTGAATGGTGGGTAATTTTGTATTTGAGATTTTGGACCAGGTTTTGTCAATGCTCTTTATCATAAGCTGGATGGTCAAAAATGTATTTGGACCTGAACAGCACCCCAGATCAGCTACTTTGATGCAATTATTAGGAAGATCCGTTTCCTTCATATCTCGTAATAATTGTTGTATGCATTCTTCAAGAATTGGCTTCACTTTCCTCAGAATCAACCTCTTTGAGTAAAACAATATTACACATATCAAAAGAAACGCATTACTATAGTTGTTCATTCAACAGTTACATGCACTATACCTGACCTTCCTTAAAAACCATCATATACGTACGTTTGATAAAATAAACTATTTCAATTATTTTTCTTACAAAGAAAAACTTACTTGATGAGAAGAATTTCGGGAGTAGCTTGCTTCATCTTCGCCTCCAATCATATGAAAGGTTTTCTCCATCTCCACATTTGCTCTATCATGTTATCTTGTAGGTGGTAATTACGGTGCTCTTCTGCTTCCTTTCTATATCTTTCTACTCCAAGGAAACATAATTCCCAAAGGGGCGATTTCACATGTTCCATTTGAGGCCACACAAGTGGCCGGGATGGTGTGGTACGAGTAGAAATATACTATATTATCTTAGTGTAGTATAATTCTCGACATGTTTTTGCTCTATTTCAGATATCTCGGTCTCTTGCATTTTTTTAAAACTAATATACATACATTCTTTATATATACACTCAACTTTCGTATCATCATTAAGATGTGACTAGATAAGATCGTGCATAAAGACGAAATTAAATAATTGGCTTATTGTACTGGGAAAAAAAAATGGTCTCGAATAAAATTTTTCAGTTTCCTTTGTAACAAAACAAATGTAATGTCGTTGGAACAAAAAATCCTACATGACTTGTGCGAAATGACCTGAAACGTGTTTATAAGTTTCTTGTGTCATCTCATTTATTGTTAATTGATTTTGAGATTGGACCCCATGTTAAAAATTATCTTATTCCAATAACTACCCAAAAAAAAAAAGCCCTTATGAAATCAATCACAAAAAAATCTTGATATTTTAAACTTAAACGCAAGAATCTCTAAAAATCACGGTAAACCCTAAACTCATAACGCACCGAAATACTACTGGTTTAATAAACAAACACGCGAAAACATTTGCTTTATTGGGTCGTTTATTTCGATTCAGTTTTGGATTGGCCCAAGCGTAATTTTCTTTATATCCAGGGAAAACTTTTCTAAAACCCTATTTTATCCTTCGTAAATATTCTCTACCTTGGCCTAACATACTACCAAGGTAATCACCAAAATTGGAATCGCATCAGATTTGAGTGGATTATCAGATTGGAATTGACACACAAAAAGGTTTGTTTCATTAGATAATTGTAGTTTTTGTGTTGGGCACTTTGGATCTCCACAAAATAACAAATGTTGGGCCTCAAATGATAATAGAATAAGCTTGTGCCCTTTTTATTTTATTGTTTTTTTTTTTTTCGTTTCGGTTTTCATATGTGAACACGGCTGCTTTTACTCAAAAAAAAAAAAAAAAAAAACCGGCTGCCCAAAATTTTATCCTCTTTTTGATGCAGCCCATCTCTCTCTCTCTTGTGCGTTTTTTTTTTTTGTTTTGAAAAATCCACTTTATATATCCTAAGATTTGGGAGTTACTAAATTTTATACCCTAACAATTGCTCTCTTCAAATTATGTATCTTACGATTCACAAAGTGCATTTTAGCTCCAATTTAACAGAATTAAAAGTGAATTAACGATGATGCCCATTACTGTTGTTAATCTTTATTTTTTTAATATTTTCCAGTAAGACTTCGTTGACTAAACTATTACCCTAATAAAAATTAAGTAAAAAAAGCAGATAACAAACAGACTTCGGGGAGTGAATCACTTCACTTTTATCCACATTTTTCTCTTATCAAAATTCAACCCCTCCCATCAAAATCTTAAAGCCAGAAATATGAAAATTAGGAGTAAACTCCGTCGAAATCGAAAGCTGTTACGAGGAGACAAGCAAATGAGAAACCTTGTGTCATCAAATCAAACTCAAATCCCGGAAATAGAACAATAAATGGCATTGCGGTGAGAGATGCATCGGCTCCGACCTGCGTACGCCTGAGTTGATTCCTCAAGATCTGATTCTGTTCCTCCATTCGATTCAAGCTTCTGAGCAGACTAGGGATCACAACTTTCGATCTCTCACACATTGGTGGGTCAAACCATTGGAAATAACCACATGCCGATCGAGTCTAAAATATTACACATCATCAGAAATTTCAAATCTTGATTAATAAAATATCGGTTTACATGATACTTACCAACCAATGATGGCACCCAGCACCCATGGAACCTTCTCCCCGGATTAATATCGCGCTAAAATGTGGTCAACCTCCATGGTAGTTGACAGTGGCACAAAACACTATTGACGGCTCCGTTTTCGTCATTGGCGCCTTCTATCTTGTGTTTCTAATCTGAATTTCGATTAAAATTATTGTAGAAAATTGAAGGAAAAAAGTAATATTTTCTCCCTTGGAAGCTAATTGCAAAGTAATGGGGTTTGGGCGCTAGAATTACCGCCAATTTACCACCAGAAACTGTGCCAATTGTTCCATCTTTTTCCCTTTACTTAAATTTTTGGAAAAATTTCACTTTATGTACTCTAAGAATTAGTCTTACCAAATCAAGTACTCTATATTTGAAGTTTGTTGTTTTAGGTACTTTTTAAAGGGCAAAATGGAAAACTACTAAAATTTTGTCCTAAACTACTACGTTTTTACCCCCAAATTTTTGGAAAAGAGCAAATCGAACCGTAATTCTATTAATTTTACAAAAATTTATCTTCCAATCAGATTTCAGCAAATTACACCTAAATTTTTAGTCAAAAATTCACGGCTTCCAGTATTTATTATTTTTTACGTACATATTTGTTTCATTTAGCGAGTTTTTGTTATTATAAGTTTAATTTATACTTTAATTTGTCCTTTCACATGATTATTTTAAAAAATACTTTTTTAGTCCTTCCTTTTTTGTACTTTTGTTCAAGTTCTTGGCACTTTGATGTATTTCTACGAACACATTTTTTTTTTAGATTTTGTTTTAATTCGCCTGAAATAAACTCTAAAAATTCGTGTAAAAAAAAAGTGTGTGTTACTGGAATTGCATCAAAGTGCAAAGAATTTAAAAAGTACAAAAAAAGAAAGACTAAAAAAATATTTTTCAAAATAATTATGCAAATTGACAAATGAAAATTTAAATTAAACTTATAATAAAGAAAAACTCACAAAAATAACAAAAATATATACATCAAACTAATAACATTGGAAGTCGTGGGAAATTTTTTTACCAAATATCTAGGTGCAATTTATTGAAATCTGACTGAAAAATAAATTTGGGTAAAATTAATAAAATTTATGGTGCAATTTGCTCGTTTCTGGAAGTTTGAGGGTGAAAACATAGTAGTTTAGGACAAAATTTTGTTAATTTCCTATTTTACCTTTAAAAAAGTATTTAAAACAACAAAATTCAAACATAAGGTAAATGATTTGGTGAGACCAATTCTTAGGGTACATAATCTGGAGACCCCCTATTCTTAAGATACATAAATTGACTTTTTTCTTAAATTTTTTATTAGGGTAATAGTTTGATCAACGAAGTCTTGCTGAAAAATATTTAAAAAAATGAAGGTTAACGACAATAATGGGCGTTACCATTAATTTTCTCTTAATTTTGTTAAATTAGGGCTAGAATGCATTTTGTGAAACGTAAAGTATACGATTTGGAGAGAGTAATAGTTAGAGTATATAATTTGGTGACCCTCAATTCTTAGGGTATATAAAGTGGATTTTTTCATTTTTTTTCCTCGAAAAAATTTGCTTCTTTGATTTTGTATGAATCGCTGACACAACTAATTGATGAAGAATTACCGAAGGATGAAAATTCAATGCAAAAGATGTCAAATTATGGTTATATGGAACCTGGGGTTTTTTTCGTGGCAGCCTGCCTGAAGAGATCATATTGTTTGCCATGGAAACATCATGTGTAATTAAGCTTAAACATAGTCCTTGCTTTGGCGATGTCGGAGAAGAAGGTCAACAGAAATAAAGTCAACAGAAAACATACGGCTAAATGGTGATGTCTCAAATGGAGTTATTTATCACAAACTCGTCTGGATTATTTATTTTTTATTTATTTGGAAATCTTCCTCTGAGAAAATGATGATTAGAAGTATACTGAAATTAAATTTTATGATTGTTCGATGAATTAGGAACGCAATTTTGTTGGGAAAAATAGAAATTGGCCAAGAGACAACACTGGATCTGCTCCGACTATGGTTTTTAGGCCACTGACAGATAAAATTGATATTGTATCAGTAAGGGCAAAGTTGGGTTTTTCAAAAATTGACCCTGGATTTAATGAAAATTACCCCTGAATTTATCAGCTGCCTTTTGGATTTGGTATCGATGTCTCACGCTTTTCTCTTCTACAAGTTTTAATTACATTTAGGTTTGATTTATTTTTTCAAAATTGGAGTAGGATTGGAATATAATATTTTCCCACTACTTGCAATATTTTAAATGTATAAGCAATGATGAAGTCTAGTGAATAAAAGATGGCGAAAATTTAGCTACTGATGGGTAGACAAAAATGTCTAATTTCAGGGGAATAAAATTTCAACTAAAAAGGCCAAACGGATTGACAAAAAAAAAGAAAAAAAGCGAGAACTTATAATACTACACATCAGTCATTATTTTTTTTAAGTACATTAAAAACTCTATAAATTAATGGTTTAGGCCCCAAATTTATTAATTTATAGAGATTATTATTTTATTAATAAATTAATAATTATTATTGTATTGATAAATTAATTTTGTATTAATATAAAGTTATTCTTTAATTCTATTTAAGAATAAATACTTAATTTCAACCCTATTTTCTATATATTTATGATTTTATTATTTTTAATTACTAGTTGGGGAGGAAATCAAAGATAAAATTTTCTTAGATATAAATTTCCGAAAAAAAAACTCAATAGCCTCCTACTTCGTAGTTTTTTTTTTTTTGGTATCTTATATCATTATTAATTTATAATAATTTTTAGGGAACCTATATTTATAAAGAACTTGTCTGAAAAATTATTATTTTATTATTTTGTCAGTTTTATTTGATTTTTGAGTTGGAACCGAAAAAATTTGTTACAAAATAGAGTTTTTTTATTTATAGAATATTAATTTAAGGAAATTTTACTTCTAGAAGCGATAGAAATAACCCACGCTCCCTAATTAGAATTGGGATCGATTTTTAAGGATTACTGATTGAGCATTATTGCTCTTGCTTAGTTTCAGTGTTTCACTGTGCATTTTTTTTTTTTTTTTGTAAATAAATTTTTGTACCTGAGTTTCATTCTCCAACTATTTTTACAAGATCCATATCTTATTTCTTTTATCCAAAAATGTACTAAAATAGCATAATATAAAAATTGTAATTAATTTTTATTTTTTTATTTTCTGAGACGGGAAAGTAACGTATAATAATAAATCTTATAAATACGCAGCACTACTGGTCACAAATTAAAAATCCAAAAATTTTAGTATGTATCCAATTTCGTATGACTCGTGTTGTTTTTCCAATTTGATTACTCTCTTCAGAACTCTACAGTCTGCTTATAATATCTTTTTCATTAAAGACGTATACAGTTGTAGTCATTCATATTTTATTTTATTCAAGAAGAAAAATCTAGGGAACCCGAGAATTTCCGCTTATTATCTATTTATTTAATTATTTTTATTGTTGCTCACATGATATGGGCACATCGATGACCCATCTAGCCTCATTTTGTGTTGATTTCCGATTGGCGAAATGTCACAATCTTGACTCGGACAAATATGCCGGAAATTTTTTCCCAGACACTTGTTGGGCTTAATGACTAATGTAATACTCTGAGCTATCCTCTCCACAAATCTTAATAAGAAAATACTCCCATCGATCCTTAAGATAAGACATTTTCATGTTAAGCAGGCTCTTATTACGTAATGTGTTTACGAGGTGAGTAAGCACAAATGTGGGACAATCTAAATTACTGAAATACACATTAATCATAATCACCATTATGTTACTAGAAGAACGTAGCATATTATTGGCAGTATAAATAAATCAGTCAGAAAAACTTTTGGTTCTGAAAGCTGATACGTGCAAGTTACAACTTAAAACTGAATCAGCAAAGTATAAAAAAAAGAGTGTACCTCAAAACAAGTCATCAACCTTTAATATATTTTCATTTTAGATCATTAATTAAATTTATTTGTAACACAGGTTATCTTACTAAAGTTTTAATCCATTTCAGATCATTCTGTTAATTTTGGCCGTTAAATAGTAACGGAAATCCATTTTTTACATGCTTTTGGGTTCAGGGGTATTTTTGTCATTTTATTATTTTATTTGTATTTTTTAATCTTTTTAAATTTTTTTTCTTACAATTCTTCTTCTTATACTTCCTAACTTGTATACACTAGTAGTATAATTCTAAATTTAAAAAATTTATTTTCCTTTTGTATTTTAACTTCTAGATTATAAAATTTTTTTTTAAAAAAAATTGAGAAATGAAGAAGAAAAATTCGAGTTAAAGTAAACATGAAAATAAATAATTTATCATTTTTTAAAAAAATAAAAATTAAAATAATTAACTAAGACAAGTTGTTTTTTCTAGATTATTTAATTTTTTTCAACTTGATTGAATTATTTAATTATTAATTTTCACGTTTCTTATTCCTTTTTTTTAATAATCTACAAGTTAATATACAAATAAAAAATTAATTTTCAAAAACGAATTTATTTTTAATTTGTATCTTAACTTCTAGATTACAAAAAAAGGAATAAGAAACGTGAAAATTAATAATTAAATAATTCAATCGAGTTGAAAAAATTTAAATAACCTAGAAGAAATAACTTCTCTTAGCTAATTCTTTTAGTTTTTTTTTTATTTAAAATGTTAAATTATTAATTTTCATATTTACTTTAACTCGAATTTTTCTTCTTCATTTCAATTTTTTTTTAAAAAAAAGATTTTTATAATCTAGAAGTTAAAATACAAAAAGAAAATAAATTTTTAAAATTTAGAGTTGTACTACCAGTGTATACAAGTTAGGAAGATAAGAAGAAGAATTGTAAAAAAAATTTAAAAGATTTAAAAAATAATAATAAAATGACAAAAATACCCCTGAACCCAAAAGCATGTGAAAAATGGATTTCCGTCACTATTTAACGGCCAAAATTAATAGAATGATCTGAAATGGATTAAAACTTTAGTAAGGTAATCTGTGCTACAAATAAATTTAATTGATGATCTAGAGTGAAAATATATTAAAGATTGATGACTTGTTTTGAGGTTCACTCTAAAAAAAAAAAAAACCCAATCACTCATCTCAATTCTTTTCATATTAGCTTTGAAGTTTCATTCGAAAGCGATATATACTAATCACACCATTTCACATTCAATGCATCATTTTGCACAGGCAATTCTTTCCAATTCTCATTTGTTACTTTTGCTTAACAAAAATAAACATTGGCTATGGCGACCACTGAAGTTGAACCTGAAGCAGCTCGTTATTCTGAGTCCCTGAAGCCATGGATTGATCAGCTACCAAAAGTTCAGTACGGAGATAATTTCACCCTCTATAATTGGGAAGGATTTTGGTATGCTCCCCGCCATTTGGAAGCTGCAAAATCCGTTCAATCCCACTTCAAAGCTCGGGATGATGATGTGATCTTAGCTTCTTCCCTGAAAACAGGTACAATTTGGCTTAAGGCACTTACTTTCTGCATCATGGGACCTAAAATTAGTGACATAAATGAAGACCCTTTACACAAAAATCACCCTGCTGTTTATGTACAAACGCTGGAGACACAAACTTACATCACAGATTCAAATCCTGATTTGTCCAACCTTCCAAGCCCAAGGCTTTTCCACACTCACTTACCTTACTCTGTTTTGCCTGATTCCGTCAAAGATTCCAAGTGCAGAATTGTTTATATAGTCCGGAATCCGAAAGATACTGCGGTATCCATGTGGCATTTCTTTAACACTGTAAAGCCAGCTCCTTTTGAGTTTTTATTTGAGGGATTCTGTCACGGGGTTCATCCATTTGGTCCATTTTTTGACCATGCTCTGCAATATTGGAACGAGAGCTTGAAGATGCCTGAAAAGGTCCTGTTTCTGAAGTATGAGGAGCTGAAAAAGGATCCAAAAGGGCAGGTGAAGAAACTGGCTGAATTCCTTGGAAGGCCGTTTGAAGATGAAGGAGAAATTGATCAAGTTCTGTGGAGGAGTAGCTTGGAAAGGTTGAAGAACTTGGAGGTGAACAAGAATGGAGTGGATCCTTGGTCTCAGATGCCTAATAGCTCTTTCTTCAGGCGCGGTGTGGTTGGAGACTGGAAGAACAATTTCACCCCTCAGATGGAAGAAAGGCTTGATCAGATTACGAGGACGAAGTTGGAAGGATCAGGGCTTGATCTAACAGTTTGATTTGATGATCAATCAATCACTATTACTACGTTGTTGATCTTCAGTGATGGTGGAAATTGTGGCACTTACATTGAGTGCGATTGTGTTTATGATTGAATAAATCCTCTCCCTTTTGTCATTTGATCAAAGTCATTTTGATCATATTGTGTTACCACTTTCATTTGTGAGAAATGATTTGTATTTTTGTCTAACATTTATATATGGTTTATTATTGTGAAATCTCATTGGAGATTTGGCTAAAAGTGTGTAGATTTATCATCTTATTAAGAGAAGAACAAGGAAATATGTCCATAATATGCTAATAATTATTCAAGGAACCTAGGATTTGTGACCATTTACAGGATAATAAATCTTGTTCCTTAGTAATTGCCCCTTAGTGTGTGTGTGTATTTTCTGGCGATCTCCAATAAGTTCATTGGTGGTAGGGGATCTAGAGTATGGGCTCAGTAAAGCCCAATTTTGAAGGTCCATTCATCTACTGCTAAAATTATCAATCAAATCCTATAAATATGATCCTATGAATAACGAAAGCAACCTTCTTATTTCAAGTTACACATTCCTCCTTCACCAAAAAAAAAAAAGTTACACATTCCTCCAAAAATGTCCATGTCTTCATCATACAATTAGAGTTATCGATTTATACCAAAATAAATAAATAAAAATTATCGATTTATGATTTAACTGGTTGGACCATATCTGATTGACTTTTAATTGAGATTCGAGAGTTATCAAATTTGATTTTGATTAATCATTTAAAAGGTATCAAACTAGTCATACCTAATTGTGCTATTAGAGAACAAATTAACTTTTAGTTAATTACACGACTGTGTGACTAAGCTATATTTCTTCCTTTACTTTCAGGAATTTCTGTCAAGTAGTAGTAGTAATGCTTTTAGCATTTTGGAGGTTGGTTTTGGTCAATGTGACAAGCCAGCGTTGTAAATGCCGTAAATGGACATTGATATGGACAATTACTTGTAAACTGTTACTGTTTTACATGACCTCATTAAATACGAATTTATATGAATTTTACGTTAATAGTTATCATATAAACTATGTAGACATCTACATCAAGGAAAAACACTGACCTCACCGTATTTTGATTTGCTTGACTATATGAATGAAAAAGGGAAAACTTGTTTACGAAAAAAAAAAAAAAAGAGGGGGGAAACTTCAGTTAACCACTTCTTTTAACCATTGTCCTCATTGGATTAGGCAGGGTTTCACAGTTGACTTCTGCTCAAATATCATGATGTAGATCAGATAAGTACTAATATTTTCTGTCCTAAAATGATCCTGCAGTTAAAATTTTATTTTCTAGAATTTCATACTAAATAGTATAAAACTTCAAATTAGAAGATCATATCGGGGTGGAGAGAGTTCTAAAATTAGAAGGTGAATAAACTACTTTGATTTTTTTGAGCACAAGTAGGTGAGAAGGTATCCCATCGTTTTCTGTTAATCACCAAAATCTGTTTGGTCAACAAAAAGATATTGATAATTTCTTATTAATCTAAAGCAAATATGAAAGCATTTTTCTTGTCTTGAAAACCCTGAATCTCTGATACCCTTTCTTTCTACATCTCGCACATCAGCACATATGTCTTTTTTTTTTTGGAAATGGATCAGCACATATGTCATTTGCACAAAACTTCAAAAAAAAAATTTAGCTTAAGTACTCAATAATGTTGGCAACCACGACCGAATACCGTGTATAATTATTTGTACGGTCATCATGATTGTTGTAGCATACGCTGCAAGCACTACCGAATATTTTGAATATACAAATCTTTCTGTTGTACGACAAACACAGACAATAATATTGTTTTGAGACAAATGGAATATAATCCAAGAAGACGAGGAGCATAGCCAAAGAAAATTTCAACTTTAGAGGAGTAAGCCAGGAACGGTAGGAAGTCTTATTGAAGTGAAGATGGATGGACAAGCACATTGGCTGGCTAATCATAATTTACAGCATCATACAAAAGATGCTCAAAATCGAAAGGAAAGCAAGAACAGGGGTTAGGATGCGGCAGAGCAAATGGGAGATTCCCCTGAAGGAAAGAAGGAAAAAAAAAAAAGGGAAAGCAACGAGCCCTTTGCTACTTTTTGCCCCCTTTTTTTCATCTTTTGCTATGAATATAAAAAAAACTCCACTCTAAGCCCATATAACCGCAGTGTCCCCTTCTGCTTCTACCCCTATATATATATATATTTTTTTAAAACTCTGATTTTCAGAGTAAACTTTTCCCGAAAAAAGGAAAGAGGAAGAAAGCTTCAACTCTCTACTAGATCTTGTATGTACAGGCACACCATCACGACGGTTCGAGGATCACAACAAAACTAACTCCGAGTCCCCGCCAAGGCGCCAAATCACGTCTGTGTCCGGACCGGTGATCTGCGGGGAAGACACCTTTCTGGGCTTATTTTGTTGCATTACCAATGGGAATAGTATTTATAACCTAAAAGGTTTCCAATTACATGAATTCACGTGAGTCAAAGCAGGAAAAAGACCAGATCCAATATCACAGACACACAGCTAGAGATCAGGGTTGCAGACAGCATCCACATGTACTACTAGTGCATTGTAAATCACACACACGTACCAAATTTGTAAATTAATCATTTTCAAGTCATCAAAAATCTCATGGTTGTTTGTTACCGGAAAAATAAAATAAAATAAAAATCTCATGGTTGTTCAATCAATCAATAACTCTAAAATGCACGAACTATAACATGACTACATTTTACAATTTGCACAAAAGCCTGTCCACATGCAACATTACAACTCTTGTACTCCTCTTCTGCCAAAATCAGCTGACAAAATTTATTAGTCTTTACTATTTTCAGAACTCCAAAAAAGGATGGTTGGGGAAAGTTTCCATCCTATATTGACGGAGGTCAACGAAAATCTAGAACTATCGACAGATTGACCCATGTTAATTACCAGCTAACAAAATACCACATTTTTGGCGCAAAAACCTGGATCATTTCTGAAATCTGATAGCCCACAAAAGAGGTGGAAAATTTGCTTCAAATTAAACAGAACTCAAATCTCATCCTAGCTTATTGTTCATATCAAATATTAGAGAGGATCTCGCTGGTATATTCATTTCTGAACGACCAAAGGCTCCAATTTCCAAGTATGGTGAAAATCACCTCAAAAGCAGCATGCCCAATAACTGACCAATTAATGTGCCGACCTAATTTACAACAAGAAAAAGAAAGTTTCTTGCAGGTACCATTTGTCATTCTCCAACCAGAATCACTCCCACTCTTAACCTGAGTGTGGACAACCTTTCCTCTAATTGCACATAGTGATGGATGTCTAATTATACAAAAACTCAAAAGAAATAACCAATCCTAATAATGATTCACAATAGCCGAAATGCATGGTTCAACTAGCATAACAAGGATTCAAAGTTAAGCACAGTTAACAACATCAAAATCAAACATCAGGCTAATCAAAATGTTGTGTGGAACCAAAGAAAAGAATGCTTACCGGAATATATTCAGTCACGAAAGATGACCTTGTCGGCAATACGTAACAGAGGTTTCAGGCAATCCGGGGAAAACTTCCTGGCAAACATGTACGAATAAGTCGAATTCGAAAACCGGAGCTCCTTTATTAGCTTCGGAGACACCTCAAAGGGTTGATAAGTATGAGGGTGCCCATCCGTGCTATCGGTCCAGTTGACCCGAGTCAGAGTGTAGTGGGTAGCCCCTTCCGGATCTTCCATGGACAAAAGAGTCGGAAAATAATGCTCTTCCGGGTAACAGGAATGCACATTTAAACAGGGTAGCCTGAACTTCCTCCACAACTTCCTATCTTTAATCACCAACAGAGCATGCTCCCGGTTCAGCACGAAGAACTGTGACCCGACCCGGAACCGATCGAAGGGCACTTCTGGGAGCATCACGTCCTCTCCCCTCGCATTGTACCTAGACCACAACGTAGGCTCACCTGAAAGGATCTCGATGAAGCTCCGGAACGCGCGCTGAGTCCGGGTTTTGCCCGAATCCGCTCTGGCCGCCTCCCTGATCTGGTTTGTGAATAACGAATCGTACAAGTAGTCGAAAGAGTGGAGAGGAATGCAATGCTGAGAAACGACAGCGAAATACGAGTTTAAAGGGTCGTCAAGGAGGGCGGTGGCCAATAGGCGGCGGGTGGCGGAGATGAGGGTCGGGGAAGCCCGTTCGGTTTTCTTCGCAGCGATGAATCGGTTCTCAAATACGCCACCGGGTTGGCTGATTACCACGGAAGGATCAGCGTGGATGTAGATATTGTATCGGCCGGAATGGTTGGCGAAGAATCTCTCCCAAAGAGGGGCGAAATGAAGGTCGGAATTAGTCAAAAACAGAAAAGCGATCTTGGGCTTTTGGGCCGAGGAGGGATTGGTGGAGCCAAGACGGATGTGGTGGCGGGGATGATGCTTGTTGCTGAATTCCAAGGAAGCGAGCGTTGCGCGGCGGAAGAGAGCAAGATCGTCGAGCTCGTCCGGGAGGGTAATCTGGGTATGTTTAGGGGGAAGAATCCGAGGAGCAAATAGGAAAAGGAGAGGAAAAGAAAGCAAAACAGCAAAACACAGAACAAATGGTGTGTTAAACATAGCCTCAAATTGTATTCCTTTTACACCTTCAATCAAGAAATGAAAACAAAGAAACCGAACTAATAAATCTCAGAGAAGGAAAAGGGGTTTTTGTAAATTTCTGTAATCTGTACAAATTAGGCAACAACCAACAACATGAAAACTGTGTAAGCCGATTTTGAGGGGGTGGAAGAGAAAATGAGGGGAGGATCCGATGGAAATTGATATGTACAAAGACAAAAATAAAGGGGAGTTGGGGATAAGGATGAGGAAGGGCCACAGTGAAAAGGGGGATTGATTTTGATTATATATAACGTAGCGGGGGAAAGGGTGGTGGTTAGCAGTGGAGGTCTGAATCGGAGATGGGGATGATGATGTAAATTTGCAGAGAGAGTTTTGGTCTTTGGGAAGATATTGATGGTGGGACCCAGGTGACTGCTTTTATTTTTTTAAATTTTTTTTTCTCTTTTTGTGTGTGTGGCTAATTTATACAGTCAGCAAAAAACGCCATTTTTATTTTCAAAAAAAAAAAGCATAAAAAGCCATTCGCAGGCAAAAGTAGAAGAAGACGACAATGATGGAAGAAGGGTAATCTGGTATTTTCATGAATATTTCTTTTTGTTTGCTTTATTGGATAGTTCTATGACGTTGCAGGAATACGAGAGTCAAGAGTGGAGGGAGGATGAATAAGGCATTATACATTATACATTTATACTAATACTATGTCATCATTTGATGACGTG